TCCTTTTTGTTGTCCTTTTGCTATGTTTATTCAATAGGTAAAGTGGACCTGATGGCGGCCTCTGCATCTGTTTTTCAAATGTCTGCTCTGTTCATGTGTACAGAGGGTGGCTGCAGTTCAATGTCAACATCAAAAACAACATTAATCCTCTTCCTTCTCTGCTCTTCCTCTTTGCATTCCATTGCTTTAGATACTTTTCTCCCTGAGCAGCTCACTTTCACTATTGGAGTCAGGCTGGGAGAAAAATACATAAGACTCTTGCCAGGAATTAAGAAGGCAGGGGTCAAGATATATGAATAAACAACCCCTGACAGTTCTGTTTTAGCTCGGATATCAGGCTTGAAAACTCACTGCAAAACTTCAGCCTTCCCAATAAAGTTATTCCCTTCCCAGTGGAATTTGAACCTGACGTAAGTTTGAAATATCTTTCTGATTTACCATTGTACGGAAACTCCCATCTGAGGCATTACTCTTGCCACTGCAAAAACTGTGGTCAGTCTGCTGGAAATCTCATGCCTTGTGTTTTATAATATGCATAATGTGCATGTTTACAGATCAAGAATGAGATGTTATGGCCCATCCAGACTAGTGCTTTAACACATTGTCTTCTATGTATCTTTGCTCTTGACTTGTGGGAAAGTGCATTAGTGGTGTATTTATCCTGCATTAGATTCTTCTGCAATGTTATCCCAATGCTATCCCGCTGTTGCTGTCCAGAAGGGCTACAGCACAACAAAAGCAGGATGAAAATAAACCAGTACATTTGTGGTATAAATATTTACGGGATTTCAGCAGGGAGCTATGGGAGATGCACTGATTGGGAATGAAGCAGTGTGACCACCTCAAAGCTTTTGCAGGATAAAACAGTATTGTTATCTGATGAATGTGAGCACATACACTGTATTAGTCTATCAAATTGCACTGTTTGCAACTGCAGCGAATAAAACCTGAGCACGAATTTTGAGCCAAGCATCAATGGGTTTGTAAAGGAAACTCGTTAATTTGAGAAAGTTAAAATTTAGATCTACCTTCAAAAAAGTTTATAATTGATTTTAATTTTGATTCTGGTTTTATTTTATTTATGGCGAGTATAGTTATGTATCCTTTATTATTGTGTATTTTATTGTATTTGCTACAAGCAATAAATATTTATTGTATTGAAAGCAGAATAAGCACAAAGCATCAGGAATGTGTAATGAAAAGGACGTCTGGAGGGGACATTAGCTCAGCTAGTCACATGCATGCAATCTATATTCTAGACTCAAATATGCCTGGAGTCATCTGATAGTAGCAAAGTCGGCTTATCTCACATTAAAACTGTCTTGCCAAGTACAGAACTTCTTCATGATTGGGTAGCTCAACAGAAGAGAAGCATGCCAAACAGATGGCAAATGAAAGCAAATGCAACTAGAACAAAAATGTGTTTAAAAAGGGCATGCATGATCAAAGCAGCCATTGATTTAATAGGTTGTTGCAGCTTTTATCTTTTGCATGCTTGTGCACATGTATTTGTTACTACTGAATATTCATAGTAACAGTGCCATAGTGTCATGGTGGATGAGGTGGCAGACAGCTTATTCTGTACCTGACTATATATATGAATATGAAATTATTATTTACTGGTATGATTCACTTTATATGCTATATTTTTTCTTTACCTATACTATAGCAATTAATAAAAAAATAAAAAATTGTCCAGTAGCACCTTAGAGACCAACTAAGTTTGTTCTTGGTATAAGCTTTCGTATGCATGCACACTTCTTCAGATACCAATTTCGTGCATACAGAGCCCAGAAGACAGATAGAAAACAATAATGATATTGATCTATTACAAGATCATCAACCTCATATCCTTGGTTGGGCTGAGTTAGGTGAACTCAGGGTGTGTTCACATTGCTGCCTTAGAACACAGTCTGTCCCCCGCTTCCCAGTGTGTTTCCCAGCTCTTTCCCCTCTAGCTGTTCAGATCAGCACAGCTTCATTGGTGTCAGATTCATTTCTCTGTGTGTATACACAAGAGAACATTGACAAGGCCCCATGTAGAGCACATTACAGTAATCCAAACAAGATGTAACTAACGTGTGTCAAATCAACACCTCAAGGAACAGGCATAGCTGGCACACTAGCTTTAACTGTGCAAATACACTTCTGGCCACTGAAGAACATGAGCACCCATCAGGGCTGGGTGCAAGAGAACACCCAAATTGTGGTCCTGTGTATTCAGGGAGAGTGTTACATTCCATCCAGCACCGGCTGAATCCCTATTCCCTGTTCTGCCTCGCAACTGACCAAGAGCACATCTGTCTTGTCTGGATTAAGTTTCCATTTCTTCACCCTCATGCAGTCTGTTACATGTGACAGACACCAGTTTAGAACTGAGGCAACTTCTTTCAATTTAGGTAGAAAGGATTTAAAGCTGGGTGTCATCAGCATACTTGTAACAATGAACCCTGAAACTCTAGACAAGCTCTCCTAGTGGTTTCCTGTAAACAATAAATCACATGGGAGACAGAACAGAATCCTGAGGAACCCTGCAGGCCAAACATGAGTTCTCCACCACCACTTTCTGGGTTTGTCCCTCCAGGAAGGAACAGAGTCAGTGAAAAACAGTGTCTCCTTGTCCCATCTCAGTGAGGCAGCCCAGAAGGATACCATGGTTGATGGTATCAAAAGCTGCCAAGAGGTCCAGCAGAATCAATAGAGCGACACTACCTCTGTCCAGTTCCCGACATAAGGAATTCATCAAAGCTACCAAAGCCATCTTTGTCCCATAACTAGGTCTGTAACCAGATTGAAATGGATCTAAATACTCCATCCGCTCCAGAAATTCCTGGAGCTGAGATGCCATTATACCCTGGGATATTAGAAACTGGCCAATAATTAATCAATACGGTGGGATTCAAGGAGGCCCTTTTCAATAGAGGTCTTTTAACTGTCTCCTTAGGCTTGCAGGATCCTTGCCTTGTTGTAAGGTGGCACTGACCACTCTCTTCACACATCCAGGCAGTTCCCCACTGGCTTTTTTGATGAGGCAGGAAGAGCAAGGATCTAGTACACCTGTGGTAGCTCTCACATTTCCAAGGATCCTGCCCACATTCTCGGGCTGTACAAATTGAAAAGTATTCATTAACACTGGAGAAGCAGAGGCCAAAGTTACATCCACCTGACATGTATCAACTACAGTGTCCAAGTCAGAATGGATCTGAGTGATTTTGTCAGTGAAGTGCTGGGCAGGCTGTTGAGTACTCTATAAATTTTCCCATGGGTCAGAGTGTAAAAGATATCTGACCACTCAAAACAGCTCCACTGGATGGCTCCTTGCTGATGCAATGCAGGCAGAGAGATTGTTGCTGTGCTCACTGCTACAGAATAGTTATTCAAATAGGCTCTAGCCTGTGTTTGGTTGGACTCATTCTGTGTTTTCTGCCAACATCACTAGTTGCTGTCTCATGTGTTTCATCATCACGTGTTTCTAGAGAACCAGGGGGTGGGTTTTGCTCCACTCAGTAAGATACTCATGAGCGATCGTGTCCACCACCTTGGTTATTTCTCTGTTCCAGAAGTCCACCAGTGCTTCAACAGAATCACCTTCCAAGGCAACAGGAAACTCCCCAAGAGCCATCAGCCACCTGGGGTGGACCATCTTAGTATGTCCCCCACCTCTGCAGAAGTTTCAGTAATTCTAAACTATCAAGAAGTGGTCTGACCATTAAAATGGAACTATAGAAAGTTTATCCACTCTAAGATCACCGTCATCCAATCCAGCACAGAAAACCTAGCCCAGAATGTGCCCAGCTGCATGAGTAGGACCAGAAACAGGGAACAGACTCAGGCTTCTGACAGGGGAGCTTCAAAGTCCCCGAGAACAAGCACCAACCCCAAGACCACCATGGCTAGCTGAGGAAGAGAAACTGTAAAAACCTATTTTACAGTTACTGTAATGCCACATTTGGCTTCCAAATATATTTCAATAAAAGCATCCCATGAGGCTTTGTATAAGATAGAATAGTGCACAGAATGCTTGGCCAGGTGCTGTAAAGGAGAACTTTGAAACTGCTATGTGGTGATAGCTGTATCAACCCAAGCTACACTGCACAATCAGTTTGAGAGTAGAAAAGCTAGTGATAATACTTAGTGTCTTTTATTCAACATTTCAATTTATTTGCACACATTCTAAAATAAACAACTTTTCTTTCCTATAAATATTTAATCAATTTGAATAAATAAAGATGCACAATTTAGAGTCTAAAAGCACGGTAAAAAAAATACCTTCATGAATGTAACAAGTTTAATTCAGTACATTTGAAGCACTGCAGTTTTCACTCTAATTGATTTTAATGGGAGAGTTATTTTATTTAACTTTTTCCTACGGAAATTAAGGTGTCTCAAAAGTGTTCCTTGCTTTTTCGGCTAAGCATACAGAACATTTGTTTGCCTATGGTGATTTTTTTTAAAGAATATTTTCTATTAGGCACATATTACTGTTGTTTACACTTTTGAAAATCCTGTAAGGAAATAAAGGCAGCTTTTAAAATTCTGCATGAGAAAGGCTTGAGGAAGTCAAAAGGTTGGTAATTTTTAATAGCTACACTTGCCCCCTCCATTTCATGAGATGAACAAGATTCTAGAAAACAAATGGCAACATTTCACATTTCCTACACAGAACCCATTACATCTTTACAAGGTTTGAAGAAATAGTAAAACACCTTGCCAGTGTAGATACACAGTCAGTTCTGCTTGGCTCTGTATTTGATTAAGGCACTTAAAGAGACATTCTTCAAGGGAAGCTGGAACCCAGTTCTACGCAAAGGTAAGAGCAAATGATGAGAGTTTTGTTGGGACCCAGTACTGCTTCATGCTTCAAATAGCTGAATAACCTGGATGGCCAGTTCTTAATGAAAATTGCTTTGACTTTTCACATAGTCCTTCCCTCAATTCTCATTTCCAGTTATAAAAATTAGAACTGTTAGGAATTAATGATCAACTGGAAGGGTGCTGGATTACAGGTTTACTGAAGAAACCTTGTTCAATTGAGAACCTTTGGCTTCCAATCCAGATTTTGTTACCAACTTGTCAAATTGAGCAGGACTAGAAGGAGCTTCGGGTACTCTGTGAAAAATAAAATAAAATATTTAAAATTAATACCTATGTTCCAAACATTACACCATTTTGTTTTGTTTTCCTGTCAGGAAGGAAAAAAAGCAACACACAAATACATCTGCATTCCACTTCATGTTATTCAAATTTTAAAAGTAATGTAAGTAACTTTCACACTGAAGCAGTAGCCATGCTGTTGCTTCTTGGGCAGGAAAATCAATTTCAGAAGTTGCAGAAGCAGAAGTACTGCACAGATTGTTAGCAACTGCAGGATATTAGAAGTAAAGCAGATAAAGTGAATTAGGATTACATAAGCACAATAGATATAAGGGTAGGAGACACATAGCCTAAGTATAGAAAAAATAGTGATTCCTAATAGATTCCTCTTAGAGAGCTTGCCCTTCTCTCCACTGGGGTTGTTATTGCCTCTGAATCAAACAAAACTCTTGCCTTTGACAAAACAATCAGCATGCTTTGGTATCAAATCTAAATTCCACAAAAGACTTAAAAGACATGTAACCTACCTGGGACAGAAATTATTGCACTGGATATTCATAATGAGTAAATAATTACTGAATTAATCCATGGAAACAGCTTAATTAGTGCTCACAAACTATGGGAAAATATATGCATGGTACCAAAACAGTAAAATCATGCATACAAAGCTACAACAAAAATGGACAGCCCTGGATAAAAAAATAGAAAGAAAAGCCATGCAAGAGAAATGTGCAGAATAAGTTATTGTTGCAAATTGTTGGTTTAGATTACAGCACTGGCCTAGATTATTCTAGGGGGGAAAACAAAACAAAACATCACTGCCTTTAGAAAGAACTGTTCAACAAATCCATTTTCTTACTGTGCCTGAAAGCAAAAACCACAGACTGCGATACACATTTGTAAAAGAGAGAATAATGTTTTATAACTTTATTTAATAGTAGATTTCAAGATTTTCAGGGCCAGAATAGTCATTGTGAAGTCAGCATTGGGATAGACAGCTGATGTAAACTGAGAAATACCATTTCTGTCACATCTGAACAACAATGCTGGAAATGGGAAAAAATACTGACTAGCCGTTCTAGAATAATTACTGTGCTTTAGTTAGCTTTTATCTGTGCTAGGAGATTAGTGCAACTGTTCAACAAAAAATGTGCAAGCCCTTTCTGAACACTAAGCACACGTATGCAGAAAGTGTGAGCAAAGTAGAAGTCAAGAAGCATACGGAAGCTCACTCAGCAACCAAGAAGGCTACAGAGAACCAGGGACAGCTTCTCTTGGGCTGACTCACTCAGTTTTCTTGTAAGATCTGTATTTCCAAAGTCCAGCAACTAGAGCAAGCACAACTACAAGAGCCACGAGACATCCTTGAAGGGAAAAAAGAGAAAGATATACCGTAGTACCAATAAATAAGACAAAGTAGTTGTTTTTCTGTTGAGGAAAAGCAATAGTATCAATAGAAGTCACAAGACAAGTTGTTACCTTGCTATACTCAATGGATATTAAAGCCAGTCAGGTGTTACTGGGCAAAGTCTCTAGACAAATACCTTGAGCAGCGAGTCCACTGTACATCTGAAGTTATCCCCTTTTGGGGCAGATGTGCAGTTGTCCTCAGAGATTGATTGCAGCTACGAGTCATTCTGCCCCTAACAGATGTCAACTCTGCAGACTGAGAGGCCCTAATGACAATCAAAGAGCAACTCTCCAACCCAAGCAGTGTGTGAAGCTGAAGCAGAGTCACCAGGTTGCCCCCAAGATTGAGGGGGCCCAACATGCGTGTGATGTCACACGTATCGCCTGTCATGCATGTGCAGCGGAGGAGACCAAGCACTCTGAAGGAGCTGGCCATTAGCCCTGCGATGTGTCTCACATACACAGCCACCTCAACACTAGGCCCCCTAGAGTTGGCATGCCTGAGCTCAAGACACCCTTACTCCTGAGGATTTTTTTAAAAGCCCCAGTCACACCCAGGTGCAAGAACATTAAAAGTCACAGCATGGGGGAAGTCTGTGCTGAATTTAGAGACAGCTATGTACATTACAGGAGCAAAGATAGGGGAGGAAGCAGAGCTGGCCTCACCAAATAAACAAACAGACAAAGTATATCTGTCTGTACCCTAAGAATATTTGATAAAGAATCATTTTTCCCCTCCAAGTAGGAGTCTTTAATATTTAAACCACAAATTTGAGAAAAAAGTTAGTGAAATGCACAAGGCATTAAAATACAATAGCAGCAACTGTACACTGAAGTAACTTGCTCTGTAATTACTTACCAATAACAATTGCTGTGATGTTTTTAGATTCTAGAATAGAAGAAAATTAAAAGTGTGAGCTAAAATTTGAAGCAATTTAATTCTGACAGACTGTGGCTCTCTCTCTCTGCTGTATGTATTAATATTTTATTGAAGGAATTCCAGTTATAAAGAAATAAAGTAATACAGACAAAAAAAGGAAAGGTGAGATAAGAAAAAAAAAGAATAAATATGTGTCAAAAGAATCAATATACAAAGTTGCAATGTAATGTACTCCCATGCATACTTATATAAATAAGATATGTTATAATCCTAATAAATATGTGGATATTAATGCTACATTCTGTATAAACTCAGTTCAATTGTTGTCATTTTTTTCCAAACAAAGTCTATGTCTACAAGCAGTCCATTCATAAGTCATGAGTGCTGTCATATTGTCAATCCATTGATTGAAAGGAATCTTATCTTTATTCTTCCAATTCATCAGTCTCTTGGCCACCATTCGGGCAAATAGAATCCATTTTCATTGTCCGGTTGTTAATTTCCATATAGGTATATAGTTCAAAAGAATAGGTATATAGTTCAAAAGAATATTCTTTGCTGAAAGCTTTTGCTTTTTCTGCATAGTCATAGTTATACAGTCCAGCACTTCCTCCCAAAGCATAGTGCGTATACAACACTGTACAAACTTATGTTTCAAGTAGGCATTGTCCTTGCCGTATCTCCAGCATAGAGCTTTACCTGTGTCATCTCCAGGAGGCGTCTCTGGATTGTGCGTCGGTCCTATACAAAAGAGGGGGTTGTTATTCTTATATTTATTTATATCCCACCTTTTTTCCAGACAGGGAATCAAGACAGCTTACAGATAAAATGGAAACAGCTTTAAAAAATCATGTAAAAACAATTAAACACCAATATTGTGTGTGTGACCTATTAAAAATAAGGATAATTACAATAAAAAGCCTCACCAGTTCATAAAAGTAGTATAGGAAATTTTAAATTAAAGCAAAGAAAACTGTAAAGCTTATAAATTTGCTGTCACTACAACTTTTCAGCTGTACCTGTATTGTCTCCAGGAGGCACTGTCTCTGGATCTGCTCCTATAAAAAAAGAGGGGGTTGTTATTTTTATATTTATTTATATCATGCCTTTTCCCAGACAGGGAGTAAAGGCAGCTTACAGATAAAATGGAAATGGCTAAAAAAGTCATGTAAAAATTTCTCACAATTTCTGTACATTAGCTTTCCCACTGACATTTTCTCATTTCAGTTTCCCCTGCTATCCTTTTTTATTAAGAGTTTTCAACATAAAATACAATAAAAGCTGAACTAATCTAAAGAAGATAAATAGGAGAGAAGCAAGAATAACCAAAATAAGAAGATAATGAATAATAAAGAAAAGTAGCAGAAGAAAAGAAATACCAGGTCCTCTATCACAATTATACCTTAACCTTTATTCCACACACAGAAGTGAACCCTCCCAGCTCTCACGTGGGTGGGACTTTCTTCCTCTTCCCGCAGCCTCCCACCCTGGGAGATCCTCTCCTCTGCCCCTTAAGCAGGGCCCTTCATCTTCCATCCATCACCTTCCCGTGTGTATCTTCATCAATCCAAGATAGGAAACTTCAAAAGGCATATAGCTAGATAGATAAACTTAGCAGAGAGAAAACAAGAATTAAAGATAATAGAGAAGCGAGCTAAGAAGAAAAATAAAGAAAAAGATGGTCTTCCAATTCCTTTCATTTGATTCCGATTCCTTTCTCACACAGACAGAATTCAGAATTCAGTTTTGTTTTCGCAGCAAACACAACATGTGCAAGATGGAGATTTACAGGCAGTATAAACTGAAGGTTCAGAGTTTATCTTATCAGTTGTATTCTTTCGAAGTCAAGTAATTCCTTTAAGCTAGCTAGCTTGCATTTATTTATTTATTTATATTTATTTATTTATTTTCTAGCCTGTTAACCAGTGCTTTTTGGGTCCCCAGCAACCTGCCAGCTCTCTGGGTACTAATTAGCTGGCAGATCATGCTATCTTTGAACTTTAACCACCTAGTTTGCCTTAACCTAAATGCAAACCCGGATGGTTGAGTGCCTATTGAACTGCAGCCAGAATATCAACTGTGAAACAATGAGGAGATTTGCATGCTTGGGAAAAGAAAACCTAAAGAGGCAACCCCTTCAAAACATAGACTAATGAAGAAAGAGCAGACCAAACAGCGGTTGAACAGAGTGACAGCTGGAAAAGAAAAACAGAACATGGGACGGGACAAGGGAAATGGAATGCACTGACTGGGGGAAATAGCTTGCTAAATTGTGAATAGGCACAGTTCAGAAGGAAGGCCACACACCACAACATTCTGTTGCAGGTTCTTCTTATGGTGTGTAATTCCAGTATCTCAAAACTACTGCACTACCATGTACCCAAGTCTCCTCATGATATTCTTCTAATAAAATTAATCCTCTCTCTGCTGACTTATCTCTGTAAATATTGACAAGAGTCCATTTCCTCCACTCTGGTTCTATCCATAAACTCAATTCTTGCTCACCCCCCCCCACTTCTTAAAATGCATCCACCAATAACAGTGAAAAGCAAATGTTTACCATTTCCAGGGCCTGGGTTGTCATCTCCTCCTCCTCCTCCTCCAGGCGTTCCTGCTGTGGCATAAAGAGACTGATATCAACTTTCAAGTGCTGACTGCTCTGCATTAATGCCTTCTTTCAAAATTAGCCCATATAGGGTGCCATATGGTCTCAGGACACCAGGTCCTCTTTGGAATCAGCTTTAGGAAATTAAAATAATTTTAAATAAATAAATAAATAAATAAATCAGATGTTACTTATATTTTCATTTCTTAATAAGCCAACTTTCTTTTTCAGTGTCTGATATTATCTGCATTTTTCTTTAATACTATATTGTACTTGTCCATCACGAGGCTGGCAACTGAGAGCACATAGCTAGTCAAGGATGACCTTCTTCTTCTTTGGTGATCACTCATAGCCGAGTAAGATTGTCTTCCATAAACACAGTCTTAACAATGAGTTTGTAAGTGACTGTGGAGGCCAATTCTGGATCCACACATCTTTCCGCAGTGGGGACATAGGTTTCTGGATTGGAGTTGATCATGGTGAAGGTTTGCTAAACGTGCCTTCCTCTTAGCACATTTCTCTTTTTCGTCCCGAGTTCAAGTGTCTTCAAAGTCCTTTTCCAACAGCCGTAGGTAAAGGCTGTTCTCCCATTTCAGCGCTCGCAGGCCAGTGTTTCCCAGTTGTCAGTGTTTATACTACATTTTTTTAGATTTGTCTTGAGAGAGTCTTTACACCTTGTTTGTTGACCACTGGCATTACGCATTCAATTTTTAAGTTCTGAATAGAATAGTTGCTTTGGAAGACGATAGTCAGGCATCCACACAACATGACCAGTCCAACAAAGTTGATGCTGAAGAATCATTGCTTCGACACTGGTGATCTTTGCTTCTTCCAGTACACTGACATTTGTTTGCCTGTCATCCCAAGTGATGTGTAAAATTTTCCAGAAACACAGTGGATGGAATCTTTTGAGGAATTGGAGATGGCGTTTATAAGTGGTCCATGTTTCACAAGCATGCAGTAAAGTTGGTAGTACAATAATTTTTTTAACAAGAATTTTGGTTTCCCTCAGAATGTCCCAGTCCTCAAACACTGTGCACTTTAATCAGGAGAAAGCGGCACTCGCAGAGATCAGGCGATGCTAGATTTCAGCATCAATGTTGGCCCTTGTGGAAAGATAACTGCCCAGGCAGGAGAAGTGATTGACACTTTCCAACGTTACACCATTGAGTTGGATTTGTGGTGCTGCAGAGGGGTTGTTTTGTGCTTGTTGGTGCAGCACCTTGGTTTTTTGGATGTTGAGCAACAGGCCAAGCTTTTCATAAGCTCCTGTGAAGACATTTAGGATGGTTTGGAGGTCATCCTCTGAGTGTTCACACAGTACGTTGTCATCAGCATGCTGAAGCCCTATGACGGAAGTTACGGTAACCTAACTCTTTGCTTTCAGCCTACTCAGATTAAAAAGCTTTCCATCTATTTGATATAAGATTTCTACTTTGCTGGGGAGTTTCCCTTCAAGGATGACCATTACTGCTGCCGCCACTAGCTGGGAGGGTGCAGGAGATGGGACAGAATGAAAGAGAGAAATGTCTGAGTAGGCTGGTGGAGTGAGCAAAGCCAGCAAGTGGCCCAAAGAAGAAATCACTGCCATGCCCACATTGCTGCCACCAACAAAAGAAGGAAGACTGCACTTCAAAACTGCAGGCTTTCTTTTGTGAGTCAAGATGGCAGGGGTGGGGATGAAGGAGAAAACTCCTTCTGCCCTTTGGTCTTCCTGCCCCCTGGTGGCAGGCGGCCCCAGCAGGAACAACGAGTGAGTCACTGGCCAGGCAGGTGGAGCAGGTGGTGAAAGGGCAAAATCACTAACCAATAGTTGTTACTGGAGGAGTTGTTACTGGTTGTTACTGGAGGAGGAGGAGTGAGGTCCACCAGACACAGTGATCCCCTCTCCTCACTCCTCCCCCATCTTGGTAAGTGGCTGTGACCCAGGAAGTCAGGAAAACAACAGAGCCCCATCCATGCTGCCACCTAGAGGTTTCATTATGAAATCTTATATATCCTATTAGTGTATATGGGGTAAAATAATCCTGACTTCGATTTGAGATATTAAAGTCATTTGTTTTCCAGGGTGGATAAAAATCAATGATTTTTCTTTAAAAAATGGATTTTAAAAAAAAAATATTAATTGGATTTTAAAAATAAAATATTTTGGAGGATAAATCTTTCTAAAGATAGTTTTCTATTTAAGTAACATTATAGTCCAAAGGCTATTCATCAGGAAATAAGGATTTGTTTTTAATTATGTAGCATGAGGCTTTATATGCAATGTTTAAATTTTTTGGTAAATGAATTCCATTAATCCATTCACAATGTCATGCTCTTCCAGAGGTTTCTGTAAGATTATTTGGGGCAGTTTTTCTAATGAGAATATATTATCACAGATGCTTGTTTCTGCAGTTCTCAAAAGTGTGAATTTGTGTCTGCAGAGATAACATGCCTTTTCTTCATAGGAAAAATGTTATTAAATGAACATACAGAGTTGAGTAAAAACCTTGTTCTTTTGCACATTTATATACACGCAATCAACCTGTTACCTCTTAAATGCTAAGTTCCAAGAGGTTCATTGAGTACATTGCTTGGAATGGAATAGATCTGCAGAAGTAGCTAAGTGTGAAACAGTACAAATGAAAGTGCAACCTTGTGAGCAGAATACTCCACAAGTCCTGAGCTGTAATAATTGTGCAAGTCAGTTGCATGTCTGTGCAACTCAGACTTCAGGCAAGTGCTGAAGGCACTTTAGGGCTGGCAACCTCTTCTCAATCCCACTGGGTTCCAACAACTGCACTAACACTTAACTGTACAGAATAGGCACCTGAATGTAGAAGCAAATCCAAAGGGGTGGTGGTGGTGGAAATAGTAACTGGATCTGTAAGTCCTTGGCGAGACCTTGAAGTGCTTGCCAGTCAACTAATAAAGAGTTCACTGGTTCCCAGCCCTTCTTCCCAGGGCTCGCCTAACATTGTCCAAACGATAAAGTCTCTAACCACATCAGTTAACAAACATTGGTACATACGCCATAATGTTACTGTTTTAGTTAAAATGTTTAAATTGCTATTAAGGAAATGTTATTTTTTATTTTTCTCCTTCCAATGAAGTACAGCAGAAAAGTTGTCCAAATAGAAACAGCTAACTTATTAAACCTCACAATAATTTTATAATTATCTGTCTATGTATTTCTAATAGTATAACCAAATCAGTAATTTTTGATATAATGGTAAAAACTACTCTGAAAATTTATTATTCCAAAAATGAAACCTTCATCTGGTTGTAAATATTAAGATTATACCAGCAAGAATGAGTCTTTCTGTAAAAAAAAAAGAAGAAGAAGATTTAAATCAAGTCTTACTGACTGGTGATTTAAATCAAATCCACCCTGCTTTTTATTAACTCATCTGTGCTAGAAGTTGTTTTTTGGGGACCTCCATCTGGATGGATGGTGGCAACATTGGTGGCAGAAAACAGAGGGGGCAAAGAAATAAGTATGTTCTGCAGTAAAGTGCAACACAATAGCTCTGACATTTATTTATTGAATTTATACCCTATGCTTCCTTCCAAGGAACCCAATTAGGTGTAGTAAGATACTTACCCTTAAAGCATTTTGGAAAAAGAGGAATCCATGCATGGTCAGGCCCGCATGTACAAGTGCTACTCCCCACCATAGCGTATCCTGGATTACATTCAAAATCTGCACGATCTCCATATGTGTAAAAAGGCTGAGGCTTTGTTGTCACTCTTCCATTTTCTATTTCAGGATCACGGCAACGGACCACTGAAAAGAGAAGAGCAATATTTAGAAATCTACCTGTTAATTAAACCATGGCTGATTAAACTCTGCACAAGGACTTAACTATGGTTTATCTACTGCAAATAAACTACAGTCTGATGTTATTAGCATATAAACTTCAGTTTGTTGCAATTGTAGATTGGCATTGGAGGTGCAGCCAGCACCTTTTTATCTAACTGTGGCTTGTTTGTCTATCCCACCTCAGACACTCACCAAGTTGCAAAGGCAAGAAAGAAGAGCAGCGGGAAAACTAAGCAAACTTCAGAAAAACAAGCAAAGGTTTGCTTATTTGTCTGTGGGAGAATTTAAACTTTACTTGTGGTTTGTTAGGAGAAGCTGCCACTGGTTTGGAGAGGCTGCCTTACAGCAGTAGCTCCTCTAACAAACTGGGTCTCTACCAGATGCTGTGCTTGTATAGGTCTCTTGGTTGCATTTCCTTTAAGGTGTTATTCCCACATGTGGGCATGAACCATTAAGAGGTGGTTTGGAAGTAAATTCTTACCACACAGTTTTGGGGGTTTGGGGGAATAAGCTGCTTAGGAGAAATTGGAGGTGGGCACACAAAAACTGATTCAATTCCTGCTGGCTTAAATTAATTAACTGAACCATTTAAGCATACAATCTCAATTAAATTGAATTATTTATTCTACAAGTCTGTAAACCACTTCAGAGATAGGAACTATCAAAGTTATGTACAAGGAGATAAAATCAGATAAGATACAAAACACTAACCTCTAGAAACAATAACATCATTCCAGCAAGTATAAAATTAAAATAGGCTGAGTCGGACTTCAGGGGAAGCTTTCTGGAAATTGCTAAGAACTAATTAAAGCCCTATACAATTTTTGGATCAGGTTTCCCAATGCCTCAGATTTTGATGTTAAATGGTGTGGATCTACTTAGTACATTCAGAACCTGCCTTCCTAGATCTGCTTAGTTACAGAAAGATGACTGCATCATCTGCCCTCAGACAGTCTGCTGAAGTTATTTCACTAAAGTATTCGTGACCCACTGAATATTTTTCTTAAACAACCACCACATCTATGCAGGCTATTCCTAATGAGGCTGATATATGACATATAGTATTATGCCAGTATACTATTGGTAAAGTTAGGTCATTATACACTGATTACTTCATCTGAATGCAAGATTTGTTTAGTATAGATACTGCACAGAGAGCCCTTGGCATGTAGAAAGCCAAACCAAGTCCAAATGAAATTAATCAAATAAATTGCTCACAACTAAATCTAATTTCCTTTGTTCTCAATGAGACACAATAGTGGTTATTTTGATTGGATTAGAGGCCAGGGATGTCCAACCAGTAGATCCCCAGCTGATCCTGGTAGATCACAGGATCCTTATGTACAAAAAGTTATGGGGGGGGGGAGCTACAAAAAACTATGTGCAATCCTCCCCAAAAAAGCTCAGCAACTCTGGGCACTTCCCTCCTAAAAAATGCTCAACAATTCTGGGCAATCCACCCACCCCATGCACGCTCCTCCCTCCCTCCTCCTCCCTCCAACTGCCAGTTTTTTTATACTGGGAGTAGATCACAGTCTCTTGGGAGTTGGATGTGCCTGGATAAACTTTCAAACTGACTCAGATTACAACAAGCAACTCATTGAGGGGGCAATACTATTGCATCTCCTACACTGAATAATTTGCAGTCCCACTGAATATCTCACAGGTTGAACAGCAGCAATACAGTGCTTAGCAGACTGCAAAGTTAGCTCCTTCTAACAAGAATTCCATTCACCAGCCATTGCACACAAATTACATTAACATAGTACATCAAAAATACTAAACATAATCTCCATCACCTTTACATTTAGGCGGAGAAGGGCTCCACTCTCCACGAGTACCATCTGCAGAAGTTGAACATGTACTAATCGGGCTTCCAATAAGGGAGAAACCTTCTCTACAAGTGTATGTCACTGATGAGCCATAATGAAACTCTTCAAAAGGTCGACCACTGTGTGAGCCAAAGGGAATGTTTTCAGGGGGGTAACATCGGATTGCTGGGAATCAAAAGAAACATTAACAGTTCAGCAGGACTACAATTGCAAAAGCATCTCTGTTAGGAATGTATTTGGACTAAAGTTATTTTCACTTAAATGATGTTCCACTTTATGAAGTAATCTTTTGATAATTCAAGGCCTGATCATCCATTTTAACTGTCACCCAAACACTGAACCAAAGTGGACTGCTGTGAAGGTATTGCAACCTCCTCAAAAGCAAACTGGATCTTCTGTGAAGCAAGCTGGACTTGAAACTTCACAGAGGGAGCTGTCAAAGCCCCAGTGCCGCCTTCAGATCAAGGAATGCTCGGCGGGGGTTGAGTATATTCAGCATGATCAGAAAGCATCCTGAACTCTGAATATTGGTTGAGGACACTTACACTTCTGCAATAAATAGAGTCACACAATAGCACATTGAGTTTATATTAAATTAAATTCAAATTAACAATTCATTTTACGATGGCAAAATGGAGGTCCTGTATGCCACTCCAATTTGTCGCCTACAAGCACACATCGAAGAGTCTTTTCGCCTATCAATCTGTACCTAAAGGGAAAGAGAAATCTTTTATTTTAGTGAATTGGGCATTAAAAAGTATGTGAATACAGCATATTTTTAAATACAGTATACTTGGTTTATTTAGATTATTTATATCCCATCCTACAGAGTCACCAGTCTGCTAGCTGACAGAAACGGAAAAAAATAAAACCAACCACCACCAGTTCAAAAGCAGTTAGAAACAACACAGCAGCAAGAATATAATAAAAGTAGGATTAAAGCCAGTTCAAACAACACTGAATGACACCTGGTAAAGCGGTCTTCACTTGCTGCTAAAACAATGTGAAAATGAGACCAGGGGAAACTTCCTGGGGAGAGGATTCTATAGGTGGGGCAGTGCAACTGAAAAAGCCCTTTCTCTGGGTGCTGTCAGTCTAGGTTGAGACAAGCTACCTATTTAATTTAATTCCAGATACAGTGGTACCTCAGGTTACAAACTTAATTCATTCCGGAGGTCCGTTCTGAACCTGAAACCGTTCTTAACCTGAGGCACACTTTTGCTAATGGGGTCTCCCGCTGCTGCCGGCGCACAATTGTTGTTCTCATCCTGAGGCAAAGTTTATAACCCGAGGTACTACTTCTGGGTTAGTGGAGTTTGTAACCTGAAGAGTTTGTAACCCAAGGTACCACTGTACAGGAATTATCTCTTTGTTAAAGAGTGCCCAGAAAAAGTCACACCAACATAAAAACGCCAGTAGCTTGGACATAGTGCCTTTGTAAGCAGCAACCCAGGCTTTCAAATTTCATCGTAGTGGACTTCCTCAATTCAAGGTGAAGTACTTGAAACACCATTCAAGTATCTAATCCAGGACTGACATTCAGCTATGATGGGGAGTAGTGTGTGACCTCAAAAACAAAGGGGAGCAGTAAAGGCAGGAATTCATGATCTTCCCAACAGATATTATTTCATTAAAAATGTCATAACACCCCACTTGAGTTTATAATGATTTAGAAAATTGTTTTGCCAAAGCAATTGTAGATAAAATCCATGATTATCACACCATATCATAGGGGACAGAGCTGTGGTTGAGAAAGTATGGAACACATGAACTCTGCAAAATATTATTATGTTTATTTTGCTGGAGAGAAGGGGAAGTTAGGGGGGCATCTGAAAACCTTCAAGTGTGGTCTAATATCATTATTCTGTCATATTTATTTTATTTTTCGAGAAATGCACAGAGAACCGTGGACTTGCTTGAAGCAGCAGCGCACTTAATTAAGGGCTGCAAGGAGTAAAAGGAGCCAGGGAAAGAACTGGGGATTTCATCAGTGAGTGGAAACACATCCAGATGCCAGCATTGAAAGACAGTTCTACACACTGAGAAATAACCAAATGAAAGACCTGAATACACATTTCTCAGAAGCCGGAGCTTGCCACTGCTCAGTTACTAAACCAACCAGAAATGGTAGACCTGTTCTCTGGTGCTGCTAAGTTGTTTATTAATTTATTTGGAGTATTTACTCCCCACCTCACCCTTTCCCTGGACACCCATAGTTATAATTATAACACAGACTAAACAAGAATGTCAAAAATCTAGCCTAATATTTTAACAATTAATATGTATCTGTCACGAGCCCCTCCCAGGAGTTCTAAACAAAGCCAAGTAGGTACAAAAGGCAACCTACAACTCACCCCTCATTACAGCCTAGAGTTATTTCATCACCTAGCCGCATATCGCTTGATTTTACTATTCTGCCATTCTCTAAATTTATAGTAGGACATCGACTTCCTAACAGGAAAATCAAAACAAGCATTAGCACATGTAGCCTTGATTTCTTTAAAAAGGAAATAAAAAGGGTACACTACAAACACCAAGGCCACTTCCAGGTGACCTGTTTGTTTGGGGAGAGGTTATACGGCATTGTGTCCAAAAAAGTTATCTTAGTATCTCCTGTGCAATTCCCCATCACATTCTTTACTGCAAAATGTCCAGATTTTTTTATTTTTAAAAAATCAGATTTGATGCACAAGAGAACCAAATACACTTCAACTGTGCTACCTGAATTTGTTGGTATTTAATTGACTCCCTCCTGCAATATAGACACAGTCTGAAAGTGTTCTTGGAAATACTATATTCACTAAAGGATAATTCAATAACCAGTTTTACTGGTGGTTCACAATAATGTCATTTTTAGGGATGGATGCAGAAGTTAGTGTTCTTTCTTTTCTCCTTCATGAGTTGAAAGCAGTTGAGAGACCATTTCTTGCTTCATGTACACTTATCTCTTTGTTACCTCTGGCATTTAGATGTCCAAAGTTTTTGGACTGCTACTGCTGACACTATCCAGTATCAAAAAGACGACAGCTGAGATAATGAAAAACTCTATTTTGTTTACTACAATGTTGTAATATTTCCTCCAAACATGCTATTGCTCTCTTCTTGTTTCTTAAAAGCACCGTGTGTCTACAGACCCAAGGGAATTCACCACTTGAGTCCATCATTAGGAGGAGTGATGTTCAGAATATTACATCTCCTCAATTTAAGTCTCCAATGTTCTATAAAAGAAAAGCCTCCTTTATTATTATTAGTCTCTGGGTCTCTTCCAGTCCTCAAACAAGATATCTGATCTAAGATGGAAGTTCAACAGTTTTAGATATTCAGCTAATTAAGTGAAACTTACCTTGACAAAACCTAGGATTTTCTATTGACCATTTTGAAGTGTCAAGACATGTAAGAGAAAGAGTGTCTCCAGGAATAGACTCATAACCTGCAATGCAACGGTAGGGCAAAACAGTCCCAGCAGGATAACTGTCTTTCGGATCCCCGCTCCTTAGGGTAGCATTGGCTACATGTGGATGGGTGCAATCACTTGGAAATAAAAATTCAGAGGAAGTTCTGAAGCTATAGGAGAGAAGGCAAGGTTCATTGGAGTGTAGTAGATAATTCATAAATCTCTATGACATTTCCTCTACTGGGATCTACAGGACCATGTTCAAATAGACTCTGGGAGTTCATTTGCAGAGCACAGCTGGATCAAGATGGGCAGCAGTAAGACTTATAGAGTAATCATAACTATGTCTCTTCAGATGTAAGCTCTCTTGAATTTTAAGGGGCTTGTTCACAGATAGGTGAGGCTCAGATGGGAGCCTTATCTACCACCTGCTACTCACATGGATTGAGTGGTTGCCTTTTCATCTAAACAAACTTGTGAGAACCACATGGGTGGCACACCTGCTGCCACCATCTAATGACTAACAGGAGACAGAGGGAGAAAGATACAAACAACACCAGCAACTGAAGGATCGTCTCCTTCCCCATGACGGAGCCATTACTTTGAGAAAGAATCTGTGTGGGAGAAACTATGGTTAAAGGTCTTATGAAGCGCAATAGAAAGAGGATGCTTAGCCTTGGAAGATGCAAGATTGAAGAGGAGACGTTAAGGCTGTTTCCAAATATCTGAAGTTCTGTCACAGCCGAAGGCGGAGCAGAATAAGAACGAACACGTGGGAAGGGGAAGAGAGCAAACTTCAGGTAAACATAGACAGGCTCCTAGTTGCCTCCTGCCTTCGCCATCCCCGAGAAAGCCTTGCTTCGCCCTCGGACATGATCCGTCTCTGGAGGGAGGCGGGGCGCCTCCCATTTGAGAGAAGAACCGACGGGCATCCCGAAGCCCCCCCCCCCGCCTCACCTTGAACTCTGGACAGCGAGGAAAACAGCGGCAGCAGCACTAACGGAAACCGCCCCCCGCCAGGAAGAGGCGCCATCGCACGACAGAGATAGCCCGGAGTCAGAGAAAGAGAAAGCGCCGCCGCAGCTCCCTCCGCAGCTGAAAAGCAAAGCGACGGAGCGGGCCCAGGAAACGACTCGACGGGAAGGGAGAGGCGGCGGCGCGCTTTTCCGGCCAAGGGGCGTGAGCAGCGGCGTTGCCTCCGAGGCTCCGCCGAGAGGAAGGCGGTGGGGGGGAGCCACACGTGGAACCTCCTCCGCCGTTATCGGTTCCCGATATTAGCTAACGCCCCAAGGCTGCCGCGCGCGTGCTGGTTGGAGGTTGCGGGCAAGAGCGCGCTCGGGATTGGCGGGTGAAAAATGTGGGCGAAACCATAACTGAGGGGGAAAGGCGCCCTGTTGTTTAGGTTAAAAGCCGTGTGGTGGGTCTGCTGTCTGGACCCCTGAGGGGAAGAGATAACGGGCTCCGCGCATGGCAGCCCAAGCTGGGGCGTGTCCAGCTGCTCCTGGTGTTGGGACCGGGGGACCTCGAGGGACCCGAATTCATTCCCACAGAAAAAGACCCTTTATTCTGCTCTCAGAACGGTTTAACAACCCATCCCACTTCCTAAGATAATAAATAACCCCTACTATTTTCATCACCATGACCCTACATACTGTAAAAGAGAAACTCCCCACCGGTGTAGAAATCATATATCAAACAAATGGAAAGCTCAAAGCAAAGTAGGCTCAAAGCATGTAGTGTGTGCACACTCAGAAGATGACCTCCAAACCATCCTAAATATCTTAACAGAAGCTTATGGAAAGCCTGGCCTATTGCTCAACATCCAAAAAACCAAAGTGCTGTGCCAACAAGCAAGCACAAAACAACCCCCCCCCACAGTGCCACAAATCCAACTTAATGATGTTGGCAAATATCAATAATTTTTCCTACCAAGGCAGTTATCTTTCAACAACGGCCAACAGTGATACCGAAACCCAGCATTGCCTGAGGGCTGTGAGTGTAGTTTTCTCTCGATTAAGGACTCAGACATTCACAGCAAGCAAAATGCTTGCTTACAAAACTATTGTACTACTAACTTTACTGCATGCTTGTGAAACATGGACCACTTATAAATGACATCTCCACCTCCTTGAAAGATTCCATCCACGGTGTTTCCAGAAAATTTTACATATCACTTGGGAAGACAGGCGAACAAATGTCAGTATACAGGAAAAAGCAAAGATCACCAGTGTCAAAGTAATGATTCTTCAACATCAGCTTCGTTGGACTGGTCATGTCATTCAGAGATGCTTGATTATCGTTTTCCAAAGCAACTACTGTTCCCAAATTAAGAATGGTAAGATAATGTCAGTGGACAACAAAAGTAGTTTAAAGACACTCTCAATGCAAATTAGCACTGGGAGGGAAATAAGAGCCCCCGAAGTCTCAACACCCTTACCAACTACATATCCCATGACTGTTTGACGTATTATTTGTTGGCATCCATCTGCCTTAGTGGTGAAGTCAAACGGTTGGAAGGTTGCAGCGCCTGCCTAGACTGTAGAGTATGATGCAGTAGAGACATGTTTTGTTGTAGCTGGGGCAGATGAAGGTGATAGGATACTGCTTTAAGTGTACAGTACAGATAGGAATTAAGTGAACAATGCAACATTGGGCATCTGGTATCAATACCAAATAGGCCAAGAATTACTGCCGTTTCAATGCAGCAGGTATGCCAAGGTTTTGCAGTTCTCCTGTACTCTTCATTAGTTTAGCTTAGAAGAGGATTGGGCAGTGCTGACTGCCACCATCCATCCACCAGCACTATCTCTGCAAACACATACACACAAGTTCTGCTGTTGTCTGCACCCATCTGTCTCGAGAGACAATGGCATGTCTCCAGGGGTGTAGTCAAACAGCGGTGTTAGCAGCACCGGTGACCTCCCTGGGGTGCAAGCTTCTACGGCCTAGACAGCAAGACCCCTTTCTCAGCCTCACTGATGTGGCCCAAAGGAAGGCAGGGCACCAATTGGGCTGCAGCAGCTGCTGAAAGGAGCCATCCAACTATCTTAGGGACTACACTCCAGATTTGTGTAGTTACAAATGGCCTTTTCTTCCTAAAGACATTCTACAATGCAGGGGAGGTTTAGGATCAGAGACTTCCTTCTCCCAGATGTGCAGAAACTGCCTTATTGATCACTGGACCCACTATTGGTCTTGTCCAGTCAATCTGCCAGAGCCTGTCTTTGCATGCAAGACAAATCCCTAACACACTGAGGGTTTGAGACTCATCAGCCACCCTCACCTGGTATAGCCATCCAGCTAAATCCATTTCCTGGATTGTGGATGTTGTCACATGCTGATACCTTCTAGGAGCCACAGGTGAGAGCTAAATGCAGAGTGGGGACCAAAGGTGGACAAATACCCCAGAAGGTTCACAACATGTCCCCCACCACAGGTATCAACACTCCCATAACACCCCACAAAAGTTCAAGCATGTACAAATTACCCCAATCCTCTACCGCCCTGCCTTGGCCCCTAGAGTAATTACAGTACAGCCTCTCCCTCCCAATATTAATCTTGAAGAGGGTCACGCTCCACGGTCCACTTCCTGGTGTAAGTAATCCACATCAAGGCGATCAAAGACGTCTCTCTCCTATGACCAGGCCTGTAACCTGATTGAAATAGATCTGGGTAACGCTTCCAGAAACTCTTGGAGACAAAATGCCACCACACCTGCGATATTAGAAACTGGCCAATAATTATCCAATACAAGGACGGCCTTTTCAATAGAGGTCTTTTAACTGTCTCCCTTAGGCATGTTAGAATCTCTTTGTTGTAAGGCGGCACTGACCATTCCCTTCACCCACCCAGCAAGTTCACCCATTGGACTTTTTGATGAGCCAGAAAGAGCAAGGATCTAGTACACATGTGGTGGCTCTCACATTTCCAAGGATTCTGTCCACATCTTTGGGCTATACAAATTGAAATGTATCCAGTTTCAGCAAGTCTGAACTCCACCAAGTAGTGATCTGACCATGACAATGCAGCTATAGAAAATTCCTCCACTCTAAGATCACCATCATCCAATCCTTCACAGAAAACCAAATCCAGAGTGCGCCCAGATGCATGAGTAGAGCCAGAAATTATTTGGGACAGACTCATGTATCTGACAGGGGGGCCTCAGCATGAATGTTAAAAGTCCACCAGTACAAGCTGGGAGGAGACCAGCACAAACCCCAAGACCTCCTTGGGGCTTTAGCAACAGAATCCCTATTTTGTCCCAGTCACCCATCTTCAGATACACAAATTCAAACCCAACAAACTGGGAGAAAGGGCACCTGGTCAGGGGAGATGCAATCATGATAGACCACTGCAGCTCTGCCTCCCCACTGCACTGATCTTGTCTCCTGCTGTACAGATAATTCCAGTGGCCAAAGCTGAGAGGTTACTCACCCGCCAGTTCATCCAACCAGGTCTCTGTAATACAACCCAGGTCAGTATGCTCATCCCAGATCAAGTCTGGGATGGCTGTTGTTTTGCCATTCATGGACCTGGCATTGATCAGCAGCAATACTTGAGCTATTGGGCCCTCTTGAGATACTGAGAACACACACTTCTGTTCAAGGCACCATCTCGTGAGGCTTTGCATAAGATAAAAGAGTACACAGAATGCCTGGCTAGGTGCTCTAATCGAGAAGTTAAGTACCTGCCCACAAACATCTATCTTCACTGCATCATGCTTCTATGCATCATGCATAGCCAGAAAGCGATTGGAAACAGCTATGTGGCATTAGCTGTATCAACCCAAACTGCAGTGTATAATCAGCTGCTTTGATCATTTGGGAGTAGAAAAACTAGTGATAATACTTAGTGGCTTTTATTCAACATTTCAATTTATTTGCACACATTCTAAGATAAACAACATTTCTTCTCTATACATATTTAATCAATTTAAATAAATAAATATGAACAATTTAGATTCTAAAAACAGTGTATAACAAACAGAATGCCTTCATGAATATAGCAAGCTTTAATTCAAACCATATGAAGCACTGCACTTTTCACTCTAATTGATTTTAATGGGAGAGTTATTTTACTTAACTTGTTCCCACTGAAATTAAGGTGTTGTAAAAGTGTTCTTGATTTTTTGGTTAAGGATGTAGAGCTTTTGTTTGCCTATGACTCTCATAATCATATATATATATATATATATATATATATATATATATAACATATAATTAGGCATATATTACTGTTGTTTACACTTTTGAAAATCCTGTAAGTAAATCAAGGCAGCTTTTAGAATTCTGCATTAGAAAGGCTTGAGGAAGTCAAAAGGTTGGTAAATTTTAACAGCTACACTTGCTCCCTCCGTTTCGTGAGATGGACAAGATTCTAGGAAATAAATTGTAATATTTCACATTTCCTACACAGAACCCATTACATCTTTCCATGGTTTGAAGGAAGAATAATGCATCTTGCCAGGGTAAATATACAATCAGTTCTGCTTGGCTCCGTATATGATTGCGTCACTTAAGAGACATTCTTCAAGGGAAGTTGGAACCCAGTTCTATGCAAAAGAAAGAGCAAATGGAGAGAGTTTTGTTGGGGCCCAGTACTGCTTCATGCTTCAAGTAGCTGGATAGCCTGGATGGCCAGTTTTTAATTAAAATTGCTTTGGCTTTCCACATAGTTCTTCCTTCAATTCTCATTTCCAGTTGTAGAGTAACAGTTCCAAATGAGAACTGTTAGGAAATAACAATCAGCTGGAAGGGTGCTGGAGCACAGCTTTACTGCAGAAGGCTACTCCAAGTTGGAACCTTTGGGTTCCAATTCTGACGCGTCAAATTCAGCAGGGCCAGCAGGAGCTTCAGGTTCTCTGTAAAAATAAAATAAAATATTTAAAATTAACACCTATATTTTGACCATTACATCATTTTGTTTACTTTTCCTGTCAGGAAGGAGAAAAGCAACACACAAATACATCTGCATTCCACTTCATGTTATTCATTTTTTAAAAGTAATGCAAGTAACTGTCACACTGAAGCTGTAGCAATGCTGTTGCTTCTTGAGCAGGAAAATCAATTCCAGAAGCTACAGAAAAAGATGTAATGCACTGATTGTTAGCAACTGCAGGATATTAGAAGTGAAGCAGATTATATAAACACAATAGATATAAGAGTGGGAGACTAGGGCTGGCTGATGTTAAGTTTTCAGCATCTCACATCACCAGGAAACATCACAGTTTGGTGATACACTGCGATGCTGAAACAAGCTGCACTGCCCCAGCCGGCGAGACGTATGGTGAAACTGAAGCAGTTCTCACTGCAGGAGCTGAGGCCCTTTCACCCTAGCGCCTTACAGGCTGGGGTCAATGCAGCTGGCCTCCGCTCCCTGCTTAGTTGGGGGCAGAAGGGCTCCCACCCCCCAACTGAGCGACCACCGATCCCTCAGCAGCATCGGGCTTTGCTCAGCTGCGGGATGGAAGAAGCCTCTCTTCCACCTCCCCTCAGCCAAGGGGAGCCAACCATGCGTCCCACAGCTGAGCAGTTAAAGGATCCCCCACCACGTTGCTGGCTTGCAAGAGCCAATGCTGGGCTGGGGGATCCTTTAACTGCTCAGCTGAGGGGAGCGTCAACTGCACTCCGCTGCCAAGCAGTTTCACGGAGCCCCCACCCCCACTGGATAATGTGAGCCAATGGTGGGATCAGATGCTCCATCAAACTGCTCAACTGAGGCAAGGGCAGCCACACACTCCTGAGCCGAGCAGTTTAAAGATGCAGAGGGAGGAACTATGCAGCTTGTTTCTCCCTTTGTACCATATGAGGGCAGAGTGGGATGGTGGTTTCAGTGCTGCTAGCAGAGGGACTCAAGAGCGGTGGCAGTCTCACAAGCGATATACTGCTGAGTGAAGGTGACATTATGGTTCACTCCTGATATCAATATATCACCCAGGCCTATGGGAGACACACAGCCTAACTATAGAAAAATAGTGACTCCTAACAGATTCCTCTTAGAGAGCCTGCCCTTCTCTCCACTGGGGTTGTTATTGCCTCTGAATCAAACAAAACTCTTGCCTCTGACAAAACAATAAGTATGATTTGGGTATCCAATCTGAATCCCACAAAAGTGTTAAAAGACATGTAACCAAACTGTGACAGAAATCATTGCACTGAATATTGATAACGAGTAAATAATTACTGAATTAATTCATGGAAACAGCTTAATTAGTGTTCACAAACTATGGGAAAATATATGCGTCATATCAAAACAGTAAAATCATGCATACAAAGCTACAACAAAAATGGCCAGCTCTGGATAAAAAAATAGAAAGAAAAGCCATGCAAGAGAAATGTGCAGAATAAGTTATTGTTGCAAATTGTTGGTTTAGATTACAGCACAGCACTGGCCTAGATTCTTCTAGGGAAAAAACCAAAACAAAACATCACTGCCTTTAGACAGTTCAACAAATCAATTTTCTTACTATGTCTGAAAGCAAAAATCACAGACTGCAAGTACACATTTGTAAAAGAGACAATAATGTTTTATAACTTTATTTAATAGTAGATTTCAAGATTTTCAGGGAAAGAATAGTCATTGTGAAGTCAGCATTGGCATAGACAGCTGATGTAAACTGAGAAATACCATTTCTGTCACATCTGAACACCAATGCTGGAAATGGGATAAAATACTGACTAGCCATTCTAGAATAATTACTGTGCTTTAGTTAGCTTTTATTCTGTTCTAGCAGATTAGTGCAACTGTTCAACAAAAAATGTGCAAGCCCTTTCTGAACACTAAGCACATGTATGCGGAAAGTGTGAGCAAAGTAGAAGTCAAGAAGCGTATGGAAGCTCACTCAGCAACCAAGAAGGCTACAGAGAACCAGGGACAGCTTCTCTTGGGCTGACTCACCCAGTTTTCACAGAAGATCGGTATTTCCAAAATACAGCAAGTAGAGCAAGCACAACTAAAACAGCCAGGATACATCCTTGAAGGGAAAAAAGAGAATGATATACCGTAGTACTAATTAATAAGACAAAGTAATTATTTTTCTGTTGAGGAAAAGCAATAGTATCAATAGAAGTCACAAGACAGGTTGTTACATTGAAATGCTCTATTGACATTAAAGTCACTCAGGTGGATAAGTTCATGTGCTGCTGGGTACTGTAAGTCTCTAGACACATACGTACCTCAAGCAGCAAATCCACTGTACATCTGTGGTCACCCCCTTTTGGGGCAGATGTGCCGTTGTCCTCAGAGATTGATTGCAGCAAAGAGTTCTTCCTGCCCCTAACAGATGTCAACTCTGCAGACTGAGTGGCCCTAATGACAGTCAAAGAGCAACTCTCCAATCCAAGCCGTATGTGAAGCTGAAGCAGAGTCACCAGGTTGTCCCCAAGACTGAGGGGGCCCAGCATGCGTGTGATGTCACACATATTGCGTGTCATGCACGTGCAGCAGAGGAGACCAAGCACTCTGAAGGAGCTGGCCATTAGCCCTGCGATGCGTCTCACACACACAGCCACCTCAACACTAGGCCCCCTGGAGTTGGCATGCTTGAGCTCAAGACACCCTTACTCCTGAGGATTTTTTTAAAGCACCAGTAACACGAAGGTGCAAGAACATTAGAAGTCACAGCATGGGGGAAGTCTGTGCTGAATTTGGAGACAGCTATGTACATTACAGGAGCAAAGACAGTGGAGGAAGCAGAGCTGGCCTCACCAAATAAATAAATAAACAGCAGATCTTGGAGAAAAGTTTGCACCCTAAGCATATTTGAAAAAGAATGAACATCACAAGGCATGAAAAGTACAATAGTAGCGATTGTACACTGTAGTAACTTGCTCTGTAATTACTTACCAACAATAATTGCGGTGTTGTCAGATTCTAGAAAATAAGTAAATAAAAAGTGAGCTAAAATTTGAAGTGATGTATCGTAATTGTTACAGATCGTAGCGTGCTCTCTCTCTTTCTATACATGTATGCATTTGTGTGTGTCACACACTGAATAAAATATAGTACAACTAATAACTGGAGTTAATCTACTCCAGTACACAACAGAAGACTGAATTTCACTGGAACCAAGAAATGGGTTTCCCACTTTTAAAAATTTCACATATAGTGGTACCTCGTTTTGAGTCTGCCTCGTCGAGCGTCCGTTTCGTCAAACGTCCGCGGCAAACCCGGAAGTACTGGAATGGGTTACTTCCGGGTTTGCCACTCGCGCATTCATAGAAGTACTAAATTGTGCATGCACAGAAGTGCAAATGCTCCCTGTGTATGTGCAGAGTGGCGCTTTGTCGTGCGTACTTTTTGTCTAGCATCCGGGACTCCGGAAAGATCCAGGTCATAAAATAAGGTACAACTGTACATTCCAAATTTGTTCCTCTAAATCACTTACTTTAGTGATTCAAATCATCCCAAAGCAGTTTATGGAAATGTTAGAAACATATCAAGTAATGTAAGTATTAAAATATACATTTATAAAATCAACAGCAAACAATAAACTATGTCAGAGATATACACAGAATCTGAAATAGAGTAATATCTAGTCAGGAAAGCCTACACATACAAATGTATCTTTAAGTGTCTTACAGCCATAAAACAATTGTAAAATATATTCAAAATCAGTAGATAAAGTTAATATAGCAACACAGCTGAATCACCTCCCAAGCAAAGGCCAAGTGAATAGGCAAGCTTTAAGCAAGTGCCTAAATGACAAGAAAGCTGGAGCCTGCCTGATGTTCACTTGAAGCAGAATCGAAAGGGCAGGCGCTGCCACACTAAAGTCCCTGGTCTTACTGGACGTAAGATGAACCTCAGGAGGACATGGCACTACTGAGAGTGCATCTCCTGAGGGTCAAAATGTCCAGGCAGTAATATACAAGGTAAGGGGTTTCCTGGTTCCACATTGTTCAGGGCTGTACATGCCAATAACAAGACTTTAAACCTGGCTCAGCAGCATATTGGCAGTCAGTGCAGCTTTCAGCACAGATGTTAGGTACTGTCCATGGGCACCTCCTTCAGCAGCTTTATAGCAGCATTCTTTACTAGCTACAGCTTCTAAACCCAATATTAAAGAGACATTGCGCATACCTTTGTAAACCAAGAAAACTTTATTAAAAATATTTAAAAAGGAAACACCATACAGAGCATGTTGCCTGATGTACCATACTAAATTACCCAAGAACTGTATCCAGCTGAAGTCAAGAGAAGGGCACTCCTAGCCACCGAACCCATTTGGCCCCCTGGTTACACAAATAGCACCCCTATAGCACCCCAAGCTCCATACCTGCTTCTTTAGAGGGAGTCCAACCCCATTCAGAACAAGCAACTGAACTGTTTCCCAGTCTCAGGATCTGTTCACCTGCAGACTTGCCATCTTACCAGGTTTCATGTTCAGTTTATTAGCCATCATCGAGTTCACCACTGTGCCAGGCACTGGGGATAAAATCATGCCCCATAAAACTCCACAGGTGCCAGGGGGCTGAAGGGTACTTCCCCAGTGCTACTCTTTGGAACAGGCCTGGGAGATAGGATTGGAGCCACTGTAAAACTGTGCTCCATACCCATCCTATGGAACCAATCCAGGAGGATATCAAGTTTGATGGTATCAAACTCAATCCTTTTTTTTAAAAGTTTTCAGTTACATCATTTCAATTACATCATTTTCTATTTTTATACAGTAGTCCTGTTACCAGCACTCCAAGACAGTTCTTTTTACTTCTTGCTTAACTGCATATACATAAATTCCTTTACCTCATTATCCACACTCTCCTATCTTTTATGTTGTCAACTGTTGGTCACAAAGTATCCTCTACCTGAAGAGTTCTGTTGGTTGGTGGCTTGAGTTTGCAGTACATGCAGAAATTATGTGTGGTTACCTGTGCTCAGGAGGACTTGGAGTGAAATTTATCTCCAGTTATTTGCAGTCCTGTTTCCTAGTCCACAGGTCACCACAGTACCAGGGAGCTCCATAGCATTGTTTGGAACACTCCGAAGAGATTGTGTCTACAGACCCTTGCCACTTGCCATCCAAGGAGTTGCTCACACAGGTATAACGTTTGCACAACAGGCTACTTCACTCAGTGCTCTTGCTGCTGTGTTTCGCACTAGTTGCCACTTCCAGAGCAATCCCAAGGGAAAGCCCACACAAAGCATATGACAGCACTCCAGATGTGAGGTTGCCAATGTGCGATCCACAGAGGTAAGATCCTGTCCATGTAAGAGCATAGTTGGGGCACTAGCCCAAACTAGTGAAAGGTGCTTGCTAGCAACCAAAGGGTTTTTCTTCTAATGCTAATGATAATGCCAAAAGGAGTACTCATTGTCTGGAGGCAGTGATGGTTTGGATGAGGGCAAACTACCTGAAGTTGAATCCAGGAATGACTGAGATGTGATACCAGGTCCAGGATTTTCTTAATGTGGTTGCATTACCAGCTTATGCAGAGATGGATTCACCAGGCCCTGAACATACTCTATTGTACCTCTCAGCTAGCTCAAATAAACCATAATGAGCAAGGGTTGATAAATCAGGTTGTGAGTTGGACAGCTACAAGTATCTGGTCCATGTCCTCAGGCCACAAAAATAAAACTGGTCCCATAAAACTGGGTTAAGACTGGGCACTGATCACCTCATTTGGTACTTCAGTAATAGTAGCATTCAAGGCAGCAAAAATACAGGTGGCTTTCTTCTCAAAATGCTTTGCAAATTTGTCTCAGCCGTTCTCCAACTGCAATATATGACAGTTATTCCTACAACACTCCAAAAAGCTCTGAACAATTATTTAAGGATGCCATGGAAACAGCAAAAAAAGCCTTTGTAGCTTTCACTGCCATACACTCCAACATGTGTCTGGTTAACTTCATATGGAGCCTTACATCTCTTGCACTCCAGCCTGCTTCAGTGCTGCAAGTACTGCAGAAAACCAGGGAGCAAAGTGGGCTCAACAGTGACAGAGAAGGTATACAGGGGCAATCATGTGAAAAGCCCACTGCATCTTCCTATTCCAATGTGAGATTAAGGTCTTAGGAGGACTGTTGGCTGCCTACTACAAAATGCCCCAGAGGAATCCATCAAATTCCATTAAGTCTCAGGGGGGCGGATCAGATTAATGAGTCCTCCCCAATGCAGAGGAAGGGTAGTCACAAGACAGATAAATACATAAGAATGAATATTTATATATGGAAGGTCCCAGGTTCACTGCCCAGCATCTCCAGGTAGCGCCCAGGATGTCCCCTGTCTGAAAACCTGGAGACTTGCTACCAGTCTGAGTTGATAATACTGAGCAAGCTACCAACTGTCTGGGTAGAAGGCAACTTCCCATTCTCAGCTCAAAACCATTTCCTATTTTTAAAAAGCTGCCATATTCATTAGAAGTGCAATACCGAATCTAAAAACAAGCTTATAAATTTGCTGTCACTACCACTTTTCAACTGTACCTATATCGTCTGGAGGAAGCGTTGTCTCTGGACCTGGTCCTATAAAAAGAGGGGGGGTTTGTTAATTTTATATTTATTTATGTCATGCTTTTTCCCCCAGACAGGGAGTCTAGGCAACTTACAGATAAAATAGTAACAGCTAAAAAAAGTCATGTAAAAACAATTAACACTAATATAACTGTCTCTGAGAGACAGCTATTGAAATATAGATAATAATAAAAAAAATCACAGCACCAGCCCCACCAGTTCATAAAACATTGCATTGGAATTTATGAAAAGCAATTTAGAAAATTTTAAAAGAAAGCAAAGAAAACTGGAAAGCTTGTCTGAATACTTATACAATAAAAGACATGTCTTAGTACAAAGAATAGCATTCCATAAGTTACACAATTAATAGAAAGCCAGGCAGAGCTTAAGGACTCTCTAGCATCTAAAACAGCAAAAAGCCCCACAAATAGGAAAGTAGTAAGAATAAGTAAATGAAGAAAATTAAGGAAAAGAAGAAGAAAAAGAAAAGAGAATAAAGACCAGACCTTCTATCACAATTATTTTTTAAGGGTCATTTCATATCAAGTGATCCAACTTCTTTACCTCATGTCATCCAATTTGCTTCATATTTTGTACACTTATCGAATGATCAAAACTAAGTTTAAATCTTTTTAAAAATCTCCTCTTATTTTTGAGTTATGAGGGTTTGAAATTTCAATAAATAGACAATTTTGGCCTTGCTGAATAGCTGAACAGTGTGACAGTTCGAAAACAAAAACAGAATGTGGGATCGGGCAAAGGAAATGGAATGCACTGACTGGGGGAAATAGCTTGCTAAATTCTGAATAGGCACAGTTCAGAAGGAAGGCCACACATCACAACATTCTGTTACAGGTTGCTCTTACGGTGTATAATTCCAGTGTCTCAAAACTACTACAGCACTACCATGTACCCAAGTCTCCTCATGATATTCTTCTAATAAAATTAATCCTCTCTCTGCTGACATATCTCTGTAAATATTGACAAGAGTCCATTTCCTCCACTCTGGTTCTATCCATAAACTCAATTCTTGCTCCCCCCCCCCACTTCTTAAAATGCATCCACCAATAACAGTGAAAAGCAAATGCTTACCTGGTCCGGGGTCTACGGCGCCCTCTCCTCCGTCTTCAGTAGTTGGTGGTTTTGGACCACCTGTGTAAAGAGATTTTGAAGTGCTGACTACAACTGCCCTTACTCCTTCTCTCAAAATTAAGAACCAGGAAAGTCCATATAAGGTGCCACATGGTCTCAGGACACTGTCTTTGGACTCAGCTTTAGGAAGTTAAAATAGTTTTTTAAATGAAAAATAAATTGCTGTTGTTATTTATATTTTGAATTTTTTGATAGTCCAACTTTATTTCAACATCTGATTTTATCTGTATTTTCTCTCTAATACTATATTGGATTTGTCCATCATCCAGCTGGTGACTGAGTGCACGTGGGCAGTCAAGGAAGTTACGGTAACCTAACTCTTTGCTTTCAGCCTACTCAGATTAAAAAGCTTTCCATCTATTTGATATAAGATTTCTACTTTGCTGGGGAGTTTCCCTTCAAGGATGACCATTACTGCTGCCGCCACTAGCAGTGTGGATGCAGGAGACAGGACAGAATGAAGGAGAGAAAACTCTGAGTAGGCTGGTGGAGTGAGCAAAGCCAACAAGTGGCCCAAAGAAGAAATCACTACCATGCCCACATTGCTGCCACCACCAAAAGAAGGAAGACTGCACTTCAAAACTGCAGGCTTTCTTTTGTGGGTCAATATGGCAGGGGGTGTGGATGAAGGAGAAAAACAATATGGCAGGCGGCCCCAGCAGGAACAATGAGTGAGTCACTGGCCCGGGCAGGTGGAGCAGGTGGTGAAAGGGCGAAATCACTAACCAATATCATGGGTTGCTACTGGAGGAGGAGGAGTGACGTCCACCAGATGCAGTGATCCCCTCTCCTCACTCCTCCCCCTTCTTGGTAAGTGGCTGTGACCCAAGAAGTCAGGAAAACAACAGAGCCCCATCCATGCTGCCACCAAGAGGTTTCATTATGAAATCTTATATATCCTATTAGCATACATGGAGTAAGATAATCCTGACTTAAATCTGAGATATTAAAGTCACATTTTCTAACTCACCTGGGGTAAGAGTTGTGTTTCTGGGTTTGATGGTGGGGGCAGCTGTTGGGGCAGTTGGTGTGGTAGCTGGCAGAAAAGAGAGCAAAGAAATAAGGATTCTGCAACACAATAGCTCTGACATTTATTTATGAATTTATACCTTGTGCTTCCTCCCAAGGAACCCATTTAAGTGTAGTAGTAAGATACTTACTCTTAACACATTCTGGAGCAGGAGGTTGCCAGGCATTGTCAGCCCCACATTTACTACTGCTACTCCCCACCAGAGTGTATGCAGGATCACATACAAACTTTACACAACTGTTATACTGTATGTGTTCACGGGCTGGACCACAGTCACTCTTCCATTTTTTATTTCAGTTCTAAACAAAGCCAAGGGACGTGGGTGGCGCTTTGGTCTAAACCACTGAGTCTCTTGGGCTTCCTGATCAGAAGTTTGGCGGTTCAAATCCCCTCAACGGGGTGAGCTCCCGTTGCTCGGTCCTAGCTCCTGCCAACCTAACAGTTTGAAAGCATGCCAAAAGGTGCAAGTAGATAAATAGGTACCGCTCCAGCAGGAAGGTAAATGGTGTTTCCATGCGCTGCTCTGGTTTCGGTGTTCCGTTGCACCAGAAGCGGCTTAGTCATGCTAGCCACATGACCCGGAAAAACTGTCTGCGGACAAACACCAGCTCCCTCAGCCTGTAAAGTGAGATGAGCGCCGCAACCCCAGAGTCATCTGCAACTGGACTTAACTGTCAGGGGTCCTTTACCTTTATAAACAAAGCCAAGTAGGTCCAAAAGAAGGGGTACAACTCACCCCTTCTTACAGCCTAGAGTTATTTCATCACCTAGCTGCAAGTCCTTTGATTTTACGATTCTGCCATTCTCTAAACTTATTGTAGGACATCGCCTTCCTAACAGGAAAGTCAGAACAAGCATTAGCACATGCAGCCTTCATACTTTAAAATGAAAGGAATCGGACACCAAGGCCATTTCCGGCCCTTTTTGAGCATTCATCCTGATTTGTTTGGGGAGAGGCTATACGACACTGTATCAAAGATAATTTCCTATCATGTTCTTTACTGCAAAATGTCCAAGTTGTTTTGTTTTAATCATATTTGGTGTACAATATATAAAATTTACATACATATATAAAAAGATTTACTTTGGAGAGATTTAGCCAAGGCAGTACAAAACATAAGGGGGAAAACCATAAGACAAAAGAATGCATAGGACACAGCTGCCTACCATTACATGTAATTCTATTTTTTAAAAATAATATTTATTAATTTTTCCATTTTAACAATCCAATAAAAACCACATTAAAACATTCCAAATTATAATACAATCAAAAAAACCAAATATTCAATGCCAAATTATATCTTTTGGGTGGCTTCCCATGCTCTGAAGTTCAGGGGGTGATGATCTAATCTCATACTGCATTTCTTAATTAGTCCAAATAGTCCAAATAAAACATTTCCAATGTTGATCCTTTTTTTTTTTTTTTAACAGCCTCCAAATTAGTTTAGCAAGTGGATTAGTCTATTGTAGTTCTATGTGAATTCTTTATTTTCCTGTTATAATCAAAAGTCCTCAGCTACTCACTTTCGGTTTCTTCACACAACAGCAAATCTCAGCGCATCACATCCAAGACAAAGGGAGGTCTAGCCTTCCACCATTAACACCGGTCAGATATCCAAAATTCCCTTCCGTGATCTCGTTCCAGCTGCTAACAAGCTGATGCCTCAGCAAAACACCATAACTCCCATCAATAATTCTTTTTATCATTCCATTGAGGATTGTTGCCAGAATCAAAGTCAAAATTTCACAGTCAATTTTGTGGTTAAACCATGACGATGACAATAACAAGATATTCTTTCAATCCCGCTTGCATTTCAAACATCAGTCTTTCAGGAGAGATTTGCCGAATAAAACAGCAAATGTAAAGTACCGGTATATCAAAATAAGATAATGGAGGCTCACCTCCCTCAGTCTCTGAATTAGTTTAGCAAGTGGGTTAGTCCATTGTGCTTCTGTGCGAAATATTTTTAATTTTCTTCTCTTTATTTTCCTGTTGTAATCCAAAATCCTCAACAAAGCAACTTTCAATTTCTGCACACAAAGGCAAATCTCCGTGTGTCACATCCAAGACAAAGGGAGATCTAGCCTTCTACCATTAGCGTGGAAAAGATGAAAAACAAACAAAAAAAGACATTTTGCTTGAGAATCGTATGTTTCATAGGACATCTATGATGGTTACATTACTCTTCTTTGAGCTGTGTTAGAAACCCAGAAGTGATGAAGAACAAAACTGCATCTCTATCCTTGATTATTATTTTTTTAATCACACTTTGCAAAAAACAAAAACAAAACAGCAGCTATTCTTTAAGGTATAATTGGTGGAGAAGTACCTACTGAACAGGAAAAAAAACTATTTATGTATGCTACCACAGCTGCCCAAATGATCGTTGCCCCAAAAAATGGAAGGAAGGAACATATGGATGGAACTATCACACAATATTATTATTTGTGATGTAACCAGTTCAAAACTGTCTGAATAACTATAAATTTTGAATAAATGTGAGCTCTGTGCAAAGGATGCAAGGAGGGAACAGGTCCAATTAATGGTGGCTATCTTAAATAAATGGGACTTAAAATAGCAGAGTAAGTAAGAGAGCATTCCCAGAAAGATGACATTGCAGAACAGCTTTCTTTGGAAGAATACCATTTTTAAGGACAGTTGTACCCGTTTGCTTAAATGCACCCGAGTAAGGCTGGAAGGTGATCCAACATCCCATGTTATCAAGAGTCAGACCCAAAGTACAAAAATCATAGGAACAGGCAATTTTGGGGCAAAAACCTTGGAAAACGAAGGAGCACTGGCCAGTTCTATCCATTCCTCTGTGTGAGCAGACTGGCCATCTAGTTATAGCAACTACTTTTTATAACTATATCCCCGCAGAGCCTGTTTTGAATGTGTTGTATTCTTGAGGGATCTTGAGTAGATGAAACTAATGTATAATTTTGCAGATTCATATGAAGTCCATGTTTTCTTCCTCCAATCCTGGGTTGCATTCATGACAAATCCCCAACAAATATCCTAGCTCATTTGAAACCTTGCTGGCGACCTTTTGGTTGGCCCTAACAAATGTATATTTTGCCATATTACGGCCTTCAGCTTTTCAAGAATTAAAGTATAATCCTCATATCTGAAGATAGGTGGTATATACAACAACCACATTTACCCTCAGTGCTGCACACTTTATTCTTTTAGGAAGTTTTGAAGGCAACAAGAAAAGGACACCCTTAACTTTTAGTGAATTTTGATGCCCTAAATTTACATGTTTTGAAGTAACTGGCCTCTCAGTCTATACACAGAAAGTGGCTTTCTTGCGCTTAAGCTCTCCAAAACAACACAAGAGGCCGGCAGCTCATCTGATAGATAATGCTAGCAGCTGCCAAATTTGACCCGCCAGCTGTTTTGGGACTACCATTCCCATCATCCCTGACCCCTGGTCCAGTTAGCTAGGATTGATGGGAGTTGTAGTCCCAAAAGAGTTGGAGGCCCAAGTTTGGCCATCACTGAGTGGTGGGAGGAGTTGGACTTCTCCCCATCCCTGAGAAAGCCTTGCTTAGCCCTCAGACAACATTTAAGGTGCCAGATTTTCCGTCTTTTAGGCAAGGCAAGGCATGACCGAAAGGAATTCCTACCTCACACCCCGCCTCACCTCGAACTCTGGACAACGAGAGAAACAGCAGCAGGAGGAGCAGCGGCGACGGCGACAAAGAAGGCCCGCCAAAAGAGCAGGTGAGAGGGGCCATCGCAGCAGCACAAAAAGGAGAATCCTTTGGGGCAAGCCAGAAAAAACAGAAAGCACCACAACGGAAAGGCAAGGCGACGTGGCGGGCCCGGGAAGCAACTCGAGGGGAAGGGAGCGGCGGCGCTTTTTTCAGACAAGGGGCGTGAGCACTAGTGGTTTGAGCTCAGGAGCTCCAGGAGGAGGGTGAAGAGAGGGAGCCGTCTCCGCCGTTATCGGTTCCCGGCCTTAACGTCCCAGAGCCGCGCGCATGCCGGTTGGAGGTGGCGGCAAGGGCGCGCGCTCAGGATTGGCGGGTGGGAAACGTGGGGAGAAGAGCCGCGTGGTGCCTGGTCTGCTCTCTGCACCGCCCGAGGGGCGAGATCGCGGGATCTGCGCATGGCAAGACCCCATTCGGCCACCTTGATGTGGAAAGTAGAGCAGTACGTTTGGCTCTAGCTGAGCTGCAGCAGCTGCCGAAAGGAGCCATCCAACCATCTTTGGGATTCTATTCTGAATTTGTGTAGGGTTACAAAAGGCCTTTTCTTCTCCCAAAGTCTTACAAGGCAACGAGAGAGTTAGATTCAGATTTAATCATCCTAAGATGGGCTACCTACCCAGGTTCCTTCTACAACACGTGGAGAAACTGCTTTATTGATCACTGGACCACTATTAGTCTTGTCCACTCAATCTGCCAGAGCCTGTCTTCGGATGCAGGGCAAGTCCCTAACCACCTGGTTTCGCCAGCTAGCTGAAGCCATTTCCTGGTGTGTAGATGTCACATGCTGATAGCTTCTAGGAACCACAGATGAAAGCTGAGGGCAGAGTGGGAACCAAAGGTAGACAAATATCCCAGAAGGTGCACAACATGTTCCCCACCACAGGTACACGTGGTAGCTCTCACATTTTCAAGGATCCTGTGTACGTCTCTAGGCTGTACAAATTGAAATGTATCCAGTTTCAGCGAGTCTGAACTCCGTAAAGTAGTGATCCAACCATGACAATGGAGCTATAGAATGTTCCTGCACTCTAAGACCACCATCATCCAATTCTTCACAGAATACCAAGTCCAGAGTGCGCCCAGATGCATGAGTAGGGCCAGAAATTACTTGGGACAGAGTCGGGCTTCTGACAGAGGTATCTACGCATGAATGAAAGTTCCCTAGCACAACCTTGGGGGACTCCAGCACCAACCCCAAGACCTCCTTGGCTAGCTGAGGGAGACTGTGAGCCCCAGGGTACAGCAGCAGAATCCCTATTTTGTCCCAGCCACCCATCTTCAGATGCATACAATTAAACCCAACAAACTGGGAGAAAGGGCACTTGGTCAGGGGAGATTCAATCATGATAGACCGTTGCAGCTCTGCTTCCCCACCGCACTGATTTTGCCTCCTGCTGTACAGATAATTCTAGTGGCCAAAGCTGAGAGGTTACTTACCTGCCAGTTCATCCAACCAGGTCTCTGTAACACAAGGCAGGCCAGTATGCTCATCCCAGATCAACTCCTCGATGGCTGTTTTGCCATTCACCGACCTAGCATTGATCAGCAGCAACACTTGAGATACTAGGGCCCACCTGAGATACTGAGAACACTCACTTCTGTTCAAGGCACCATCTCGTGAGGCTTTGCATAAGAAAAAAGAGTGCACAAAATGCTTGGCTAGGTGCTGTAAAGGAGAAGTTAAATACCCGCCCACAAACATCTACAGTGGTACCTCGGGTTAAGAACTTAATTCGTTCTGGAAGTCCATTTTTAACCTGAAACTGTTCTTAACCTGAGTTACCATTTTAGCTAATGGGGCCTCCTGCTGCTGCGCCGCCGCCGCACAATTTCTGTTCTCATCCTGAAGCAAAGTTCTGAACCTGAGGTACGAATTCTGGGTTAGCGGAGTCTGTAACCTGAAGTGTCTTTAACTTGAGGTACCACTGTATCTTCACTGCATTGTGTATCTATGTGTAGCCAGAAAGCAATTTGAAACAGCTATGTAGCATTAGCTATATCAACCCAAGCTGTACTGCATAATCACATTGGGAGTAGAAAAGCTAGTGATAATACTTAATGTCTTTTATTCAACATTTAAATTTATTTGCACGCATTCTAAGATAAACAACTTTTCTTCTCTATACATATTTAATCAATTTAAATAAATAAAGATGCACAATTAGATTTTTAAAAACAGTGTATAACAAACAAAATACCTTCATGAATATAGCAAGCTTTAATTCAGCTATCTGAAGCACTGCACTTTTCACTCTAATTGATTTTAATGGGAGAGTTATTTTACTTAACTTGTTCCCACTGAAATTAAGGTGTTGTAAAAGTGTTGTAAAAGTGTTCCTGGATATTTCGGTTAAGGATGCAGAGCTTTTGTTTGCCTATGACCATGTGCGTGTGTGTGTGTGTGTAGACAACACACACACACACACACACACACACACACACACAGAGGCACATATCATATTAGGCATATATTACTGTTGTTTACACTTTTGAAAATCCTGTAAGGAAATCAAGGCAGCTTTTAGAATTATGCATGAGGAAGTCTTGAGGAAGTCAAAAGTTTGGTAAATTTTAACAACTACACTTGCCCCCTCCGTTTCATGAGATGAACAAGATTCTAGGAAACAAATGGTAACATTTCACATTTCCTACACAGAACCCATTACATCTTTACAAGGTTTGAAGAAATAATAATGCACCTTGCCAGGGTAGATACACAATCATTTCTGCTTGACTCTGTATTTGATTAAGGCACTTAAAGAGACATTCTTCAAGGGAAGCTGGAACCCAGTTCTATGCAAAGGTAAGAGCAAATGATGAGAGTTGTGTTGGGGCCCAGTACTGCTTCATGCTTCAAGTAGCTGGATGGCCAGTTCTTAATGAAAAAGGCTTTGACTTTTCACATAGTCCTTCCCTTAATTCTCATTTCCTGTTATAAAAATTAGAACTGTTAGGAATTAATGATCAACTGGAAGGGTGCTGGATTACAGGTTTACTGAAGAAACCTTGTTCAATTGAGAACCTTTGGCTTCCAATCCAGATTTTGATACCGACTTGTCAAATTGAGCAGGACTAGAAGGAGCTTCGGGTACTCTGTAAAAATAAAATAAAATATTTAAAATTAATACCTATGTTCCAAACATTACACCATTTTGTTTTGTTTTCCTGTCAGGAAGGAAAAAAGCAACACACAAATACATCTACATTCCACTTCATGTTATTCAAATTTTAAAAGTATTGTAAGTAACTTTCACATTGAAACAGTAGCCATGCTGTTGCTTCTTGGGCAGGAAAATAAATTTCAGAAGTTTCAGAAGTAATGCACTGATTGTTGGCAACTGCAGGATATTAGAAGTAAAGCAGATGATGTGAATTAGGATTATATAAGCAAAACAGATATAAGAGTGGGAGACTAACACACTAACTATAGAAAATAGTAACTACTAACAGATTCCTCTTAGATGAGCCTGCCCTTTACTCTACTGGGGTTGTTATTGCCTCTGCATAAAACAGAACTCTTGCCTTTGACACAACAATCAGCATGCTTTGGTATCAAATCTGAATCCCACAGATGTAAAAGACATGTAACCTACCTGGGACAGAAATTATTGCACTGGATATTCATAATGAGTAAATAATTTCTGTATTAATCTATGGAAACAGCTTAATTAGCACTCACAAAGCGATGGGAAAATATATGCATCATATCTAAACAGTAAAATCATGCATACAATGCTACAACAAAAATGGAAAGCACTGGATACAAATAAAGAAAGAAAAGCCATGCGAGAGAAATGTGCAGAATAAGTTATTGCTGCAAATTGTTGGTTTAGAATGATTATAGCATTGGCCTAGATTCTTCTAGGGGGAAAATAAAAAAAAACACATTACTGCCTTTAGACAGAACTATTCAACAAATCCATTTTCTTAATATCGGTAGTGGAGAAAGGTGGGTACAGCCCACCCCTGGTGTCATCCCCGAGGGGGGTGACATCGCCATGAGTGGCGCCCCCATGGGACGCGCACTGCTGCTAGCATACCCCCCTGGGACGCTCCCCGCTGTAGGTGCAACTCCGCGGGCGGCTAGCCCCACCCCTGCGGGCCACTCCGGGTCCTGGAGCAGCTAGCTCCGCCTCTGCTTACTATTTCTGAAAGTAATAACCGCAAACTGCAAGTACCCTTGGTGGCCCCAGTAGAATACAGAATGTTTTAAAACTTTATTTAATAGCAGATTTCAAGATTTTCAGGGCCAGAATAGTCATTGTGAAGTCAGCATTAGGATGGACAGCTGATGTAAATGGAGACAGAACATTTCTGTCACATCAGAACACCAAATGGGATAAAATACTGACTACCCATTCTAGAAAAATTACTGTGCTTTTATTCTGTGGTAGCAGATTAGTGCAACTGTTCAACAAAAAATGTGCAAGCCCTTTCTGAACACTAAGCACATGTATGCGGAAAGTGTGAGCAAAGTAGAAGGCAAAGTGAAGTCAAGAAGCATATGGTAGCTCACTCAGCAACCAAGAAGGCAACAGAGAATCAGGGACAGCTGCTCTTGGGCTGGCTCACCTAGTTTTCATGGACGATCTGTATTTCCAAAATGCAACAATTAGACAAGGCACAACTAAAATAGCCAGGACCAATCCTTGAAGGGAAAAAAGAAATAAATCCAGTGATATGCCGTAGTACCAATTAATAAGACAAAGTAATTATTTTTGTGTTGAGGGAAAGCAATAGTATCAATAGAAGTCACAAGACAAGTTGTTGAGAGCCAGTGTGGTGTAGTGGTTAAGAGCGATAGACACGTAATCTGGGGAACCGGGTTCGCGTCTCCACTCCTCCACATGCAACTGCTGGGTGACCTTGGGCTAGTCACACTTCTTTGAAGTCTCTCAGCCCCACTCACCTCACAGAGTGTTTGTTGTGGGGGAGGAAGGGAAAGGAGAATATTAACCGCTTTGAGACTCCTTAAAGGGAGTGAAAGGCGGGATATCAAATCCAAACTCTTCTTCTTCTTCTTCTTCTTACCTTGTAATGCTCAATGGACATTAAAGCCACTCGGGTGGATGAGTTACTTGGCACATATATACCTTGAGCAGCGAGTCCACTGTACATCTGCAGTTACCCCCTTTTGGGGCAGATGTGCAGTTGTCCTCAGAGATTGATTGCAGCAACGAGTTCTTCCTGCCCCTAACAGATGTCTGCAGACTTAGTGGCCCTAATGACAATCAAAGAGCAACTCTCCAACCCAAGCAGTGTGTGAAGCTGAAGCAGAGTCACCAGGTTGCCCCCAAGATTGAGGGGGCCCAACATGCGTGTGATGTCACACGTATCGCGTGTCATGCACGTGCAGCGGAGGAGACCAAGCACTCTGAAGGAGCTGGCACATTAGCCCTGTGATGTGTCTCACATACACAGCCACCTCAACACTAGGCCCCCTAGAGTTGGCATGCCTGAGCTCAAGACACCCTTACTCCTGAGGATTTTTTTAAAAGCCCCAGTCACACCCAGGTGCAAGAACATTAGAAGTCACAGCATGGGGAAGTCTGGGCTGAATTTAGAGACAGCTATGTACATTACAGGAGCAAAGATAGTGGAGGAAGCAGAGCTGGCCTCACCAAATAAATAAATAAACAGCAGATCTTGGAGAAAAGTTTGCACCCTAAGCATATTTGAAAAAGAATCAACATCTTCTCCAAGTAGGAGTCTTCAACATTTAAACCAAAACTGGAGTAAAAGGTAAAGGAAACACACATTACTACAAGGCATGAAAGTACAATAGCAGCGAAGTAACTTGCTCTGTAATTGCTTACCGATAATAATTGTTGCGGTGTTGTCAGATTCTAGAAAAGAAGTAAATAAAAAGTGTGAGCTAAAATTTGAAGCAATGTAATTGTGGCAGATCGTAGTGTGCTCTCTCTCTTTCTATGCCAGTATGCATTTGTGTGTGTCACACACTGAATAAAATATAGTACAACTAATAACTGGAAATAATCTACTCCAGTACACAATGGAAGACTGAATATAGAGGTATTTCGCTGGAACCAAGAAATGGGTTTCCCACTTTTAAATAATTCACACACATTCTAATTACTTATTTAAGCCTCTTCCCTTCCAAACATCCCAAAGCAGTTTATAGAATAAAATTCAATACTAAAATGTTAAACATGTTAAACATTTTAGTAGGTATTAAAATATAAACAAACTAAAATAAAATCAGCAGCAAACAATAAACAATGTCAGAGATATATATAAAATTTAAGTAGAATAATATTTAGTCAGAAAAGTCTGAGCATACAAATGTATTTTTAAGTGTCTTACACCCATAAAACAAATACAAAATGTATCACAAATCTGTAGACAAAGTTAATATAGCAACACAGCTGAATCACCTTCCAAGGAAAGGCTGAGTGAATAGGCAAGCTTTAAGCAGCTGCCTAAATGACAAGATGGCTGCCTGATGTTCATTTGAAGCGCAATCCAAAGGGCAGGTGCTGCCACACTAAAGCCCCTGGTCTTATTAGACATAAGATGAACCTCAGCAGAACATGGCACTACTGAGAGTGTATCTCCTGAGGGTCAAAGTGTCCAGGCAGCAGTATACAAGGTAAGGTGTTCCCTGGTTCCAAGTTGTTCAGGGCTGTACATGCCAATAACAAGACAGAAAAATAAGCCTTTGTAGCTTTCACTGCCATACACTCCCAACATGTGAATGGTTAACTTCATATGGAGCCTTACATCTGCACTCTAGTTGTCATCCAGCCTGCTTCACTGCTGCAAGTACCGCAGAAAGCCAGGCAGCAAAGTGGGCTCAACAGTGCCAGAGAAGGCATACAGGGGCAATTATGTTGAAAGCCCGCTGTATCTCCCTATTCCAATGTGAGATTAAGGTCTCAGGAGGACTGTTGGCTGCCTACTACAAAATGCCCCAGAAGAACCCATCAAATTCCATTAAGTCTCAGGGGGGCGGATCAGATTAATGAGTCCTCTCCAATGCAGAGGAAGGGTAGTCACAAGACAGATAAATACATAAGAATGAATATTTATATATGGAAGGTCCCAGATTCACTGCCCAGCATCTCCAGGTAGCGCCCAGGATGTCCCCTGTCTGAAAACCTGGAGACTTGCTACCAGTCTGAGTTGACAATACTTAGCAAGCTACCAACTGTCTGGGTGGAAGGCAACTTCCCATTCTCAGCTCAAAACCATTTCCTGTTTTTAAAAAGCTACCACACTCATTAGAAGTGTTATACCGAATCTAAAAACAAGCTTATAAATTTGCTGTCACTACCACCTTTCCGCTGTACCTATATCGTCTGGAGGAAGCGTTGTCTGTGGACCTGGTCCTATAAAAAAAGAGGGGAGTTGTCAGTGGTTTGTTTGTAGGTCCTATACAAAAGAGGGGGGGGGATTGTTATTTTTATATTTATTTATATCATGCTTTTTTCCCAGACAGGGAGTCAAGGCAGCTTATAGATAAAATGGTAACAGCTTTAAAAAGTCATGTAAAAACAATTAAATTCTCTCTCTCTCTCTCTCTCTCTGTGTGTGTGTGTGTGTGTGTGAGAGAGAGAGAGAGAGAGAGAGAGAGAGAGAGACCTATTAAAAATACAGATAATTACAATAACAAACACCACAGCACCAGCCCCCGCCCCCCCAGTTCTTGACAAGGGTCCATTTCCTCCACTCTGGTTCTATCCATAAGCTTACTCCTTGGTCACTCTCCACATCAACTCATAACAGTGAAAAGCAATTGTTTACCGTTTTCTGGGTTTAGGCCATCGTCTCCTCCTCCTCCTCCATCATCTACTCCTCCTCCTCCATCTCCTCCTCCTCCATCATCTACTCCTCCTCCTCCATCTCCTCCTCCTCCTTCATCTCCTCCTCCTCCTCCTCCTCCTCCACCACCACCACCACCTCCACCTCCAGTGGTTGGACGAGCTGTGTAAAGAGATTTATATCAACTTTCAAGTGCTGATTGCTCTGCATTTATGTGTTCTTTCAGAATTAGGAGTCAGAAAGGTCCGTATAGGGTGCCATATGGTCTCAGGACACCAGGTCCTCTATGGTCTCAGTCTCTGGAATCAGCTTTAGAAAGTTAAAATAGTTTTTTAAAATAATAATAATAATAATCTGATGTTACTTATATTTTGAATTTTTTATAGGCCAACTTTTCTTCAACATCTCATTTTTCTGCATTTTTCCTCTAGTACTTGTCCATCATTGGGCAGGTAACAGAGTGCACGTGGGCAGTCAAGGATTACCATTACTGATGCTACCACTGATGCGGAAGACAGGACAGAACAAAAGAGAGAAATGTCTGAGTAGGCTGGTGAAGTGAGCAAAGCAAGCAAGTGGCCCAGGAAGAAGTCACTGCCATGCCCACATTGCCACCACCAAAAGAAGGAAGATTGCACTTCAAAACTTGGGCTTTCTTTTGTGGGTCGATATGGCAGGGGGTGGGGATGAAGGAGAAAACTCCTTCTGCCCCTTGGTCTTCCTGCCCCCTGGTGGCAGGCGGCCCCAGCAGGAACAACGAGTGAGTCACTGGCCCAGACAGGTGGAGCAGGTGGTGAAAGGGCGAAATTACTAACCAATATCATGGATTGTTACTGGATGAGGAGGTGTGAGGTCCACCAGATGCAGTAATCCCCTCTCCTCACTCCTCCCCCATCTTGGTAAGTGGCTGTGACCCAAGAAGTCAGGAAAACAACAGAACCCCATCCATGCTGCCACCAAGAGGTTTAATTATGAAATCTTATATATCCTATTAGCATACATGGAGTAAGCTAATCCTGAATTTAATATCTCATATTTAAGTCACATTTTTCTAACTCACGTCTGCTAGCAGTTGTTTTTTTGGTACTTCCACCTGGACGGATGGTGGCAACAGTGGTGGTGGATTCTAGCAGAAAAGAGAGGGGGCAAAGAAATAAGGATGATCTGCTTTAAAGTGCAACACAATAGCTCTGACATTTATTTATTGGATTAGATTTTATTACAGTCAAAGACCAGCTCCCGTAACATAACACAATAAAAACAGCGTTCATAAAGATAAAATATACAATCGGAGCAGATTGCAGCAATAACTCATGAGTTAAAATTGAGATATATACATACACCCATACAACTACCATAAAAAAATTGACCCAAAGGGCAACTTCAGCATTTCCCTAGTGAGCTATTTTATTCTAGAGGATGATCTGTGCCTACAAATCTGGGCACAGAATCTGGCTACCAGCCAGGTTGTCCTGTGATCTTTGCCTAAGAGGAGAGAATTAAGTTTAGACTTGTCTGAAAGATCGGCGAGCCTCTTCAGCAATGGATCAATGGTGTCTCTACAGATCTCAACATAAAAAGGACATCTAAAAAAATATATGTTCAGGGCTTCCTATTTCCCCTAATGGGCAGGCGCAAAGTCTCTGTGCGTACAGGATTCTTCTATAGAAGCCTTCCAGAACTGGTGAGGGCAAGACCGAGCTTCTAGCAAGAGTAAAAGCCCTTCTTGCGTTTCTGGATGTGAGGAAATAGAGATATGTTGCTGGAGCGGCTACGTATCTCCCGTTTTCTATGGACATTTATTTATTGAATTTATACCCTGTGATTCTTCCCAAGGAACCCATTTAAGTGTAGGAAGATACTTACGCCTAACACATGTTGGAATAGGAGGTTGCCAGGCATTGTTAGCCCCACATACACTACTGTCATTCCCCACCAGAGTGTATCCACGATTACATGCAGATATTATACGATCTCCATAGGTGTACGCAGGCTTATATGCAGTTGTTATTCTTCCATTTTTTATGTCAGGTCTACGGCATACGACCACTGAAAAGAACAGCATTTAGAAATATACTTGTTATTTAAACTATGGCTTGCTAAAGCTTGCACAAGGACTTAACTATTGCCAATAAACTACAGTCTGATGTTAGCATATAAAATTTAAATTGTGGATTTGCATTACAGGTGCACCCAGCACCCTTTTCTTAACCGTGGCTTGTTTAGCCATCCCACCTCAGACAGTCACCAAACTGCAAAGATAGGAAGGAAGAGCGCCCGGAAAACAAAACAAAGGTTTGCTTATTTGTCTGTGGAAAAATTCGAATTTTACTTGTGGTTTGTTGTATCATGGGCTAGTGTTCTATGCAAACCAGTCAAATGGACTTCCAAAACGGATTAAATTAGGCGCTTTTGTTTTTGCTATTTATTTTGTGTTTTTGTTGTGGCTTTTTCGGTTAATTTGTTTTTGTGATTGTGTGGAACCCAGTTTAGCTACTAATTGATTGTGTGACTGTGGAAATGGATACCCCCCCCCATCCAAACAATGACTATCATCAGTGCAGGTAAGAATTTTTTAAAAAAAACATTTTTTTTATCATCTACAATACAGTGGTACCTCAGGTTAAGTACTTAATTCGTTCCGGAGGTCCGTACTTAACTTGAAACTGTTCTTAACCTGAAGCACCACTTTAGCTAATGGGGCCTCCCGCTTCCGCCGGAGCACGATTTCTGTTCTCATCCTGAAGCAAAGGTCTTAATCTGAAGCACTATTTCTGGGTTAGCGGAGTCTGTAACCTGAAGCGTATATAACCTGAAGCGTATGTAACCCGAGGTACCACTGTACTGCCTTATTTATTTTATAGTACAGTACGTTGATTATTGCTTTCATTTTATGGATCAATGGATTCGTTAGATAGTAAAATTCATGTTAAATTGCTGTTTTAGGGGTTGTTTTTAAAAGTCTGGAACGGATTAATCCATTTTGCATTACTTTCTATGGGAAAGTGTGCCTTGGTTTTGGAACAGACTTCCAGAACGGATTAAGTTTGAGAACCAAGGTACCACTGTATGTTTATTTTGCATTTATTCTCTATGTAAAAGCTATGTATCAATGAATGGTTCAATTCCTGTATTCTTGATACCTTATGTGAACCTCTGAACTACAAATTTCCTATATAGTTCTCTCTCAAAAATTGTTTGCATAGTTTATCAGCACAAATGTTTAGGATGTTTAGAATATAGGCTGCTCTTACCTTGAGTCTTCCAAAACATGGGAAGCTACAGGAATGGTATGTTAAGGACATTTTAATGGTCTGGTTGTCATGGAAGATGGACGATAAGTGGATGAAATATGATTCCTGAGGCTCCAGAGTATGGGGGTACTCAAGATAATGAATGAAAGAAGATAATATAGAGGAGCAAGACCTGTGACCTCTCTTTACGTATGAGTGTTATTGGCTAATAATGTATTGTGTTTGGAAAATCTTGTAAAAGCTTTGGTAGAATGTGCCTTTGAAGCAGTTCTCCTAACTGGTGGTTCTGGTTTAGAGAGGCTTCCCTACTGCAATGGTTCCTCTAATAAACTGGGTCCCTACCAGATGCTGAGCTTGTATAGCTCTCTTGGTTGCATTTTGCTTTAAGGTGTTATTTCTTCACCTAGGCATGAACCATTAAGGGGTGGTTTGGAAGTAAATTCTTAGCACACCTGTTTGGGATTTATTTTATTTTATTTTATGGATAGGTGAACACACTTCTGGTGACTTCAAATAACTAATTAAGCCGATTAAAATATATAATTTCAATCCAACTAAATTTCTACAGGTCTATAAACTACTTCAGAGACAGGCATTATCAAAATTCCTGCGCAGATAGCTCTTAGAATGTAGAAAGCCAAACAAATCTAAAACTATAAAGGATAACAATTACTACTTAATACTCCTCCATTTGTTACAGGAAACATTATATTTATATTGTTTTTATTCTTCCTAGCACCCTGAGCAAAACAACCTAAAGGCAATGATTAAGTCCAAATGAAATTAATCAAATACATACTCACAACCAAATCTAGGTTCCTTTGTTCTCAGTGGGACATAATAGTGATTATTTTAATTGGACCAGACCATAAGCTCCTCTGAAAATGACTCAGGTTAAAACAAGCAACTCATTGAGGGGGCAGTGCAGTGTGGGCATCTCCCACACTGAATCAATTGCAATCCCACTGAAAACCTCACAGGCTGAACAGCAGCAGCACAGTGCTTAGCAGACTGCAAAGTTAGCAAATTCCAAGAAGGATTTACTTTTTCCTGCCACTGTTCACAAAGGACATTAACATAGTACAGGAAAGGTACCAAACATTAGTTTCCATCACCTTTACATTCAGGTGCAGCTGGACGCCACTCTCCGTTTACACCATCTGCAGCCACTAAACATGTAATAGTACGGCTTCCAATAAGTGAGTAATAAGCATTACAAGTGTACGTCACTGTTGTGCCATAGTCATAATGTCCATCGATTGACTCACTGTGTTGACCATTGGCAATCTTAGGAGGGGGGAAACAGGGGATTCCTGGGGATCAAAAGCAACATTAACTGTTCAGTAGGACGACAACTGTAAAAGCATCTCTGTTAGCATTGCATTTGGACTAAAGTTATTTTCATGGAAAAGATGTTCCACTTTATGAAGTAATCTTCTCATAATTCAAGGCCTGAGCATCCATTTTAGCTGTCACCCAAACACTGAACTAAAGTGGACTTTAGGTATTAGGTGTGTAGGTATTACAACCTCCTCAAAAGCAAACTAGATCTTCTGTGAAGCAAGCTAGCCTTGAAGCTTCACAGAGGGAGCTGTCAAAGCCCCAGTGCCACCTTCAGAGCAAGGAATGCTCGGGGGCGGGGGCTGTGGCCTCAGCTTCCTTACTATTAGCCTTTATTTCCCCTCATGCATGCCTATGGAGACAGGGCTGCCGTCACAGCTGTGCACAGAAAAATAATAAAGACTGACCCCAAAATGCAGGGTATCAAATGGGATTTAATGACAATATACATAGTCCATATACAATTTCATATCGCTCTCGAACAAATTCATACATGACATAAAACCAAAATAGATAAACCACAGGTATGTGAATGCATGAAAGGAAGTGACTAAAACTGTATATACCATAGACAGAATGGTCAGACAAGGAAAGGTTACAAAAACAAGGACCCTATTATACCAAGGGAAAGCAATGAGAGTATGTGAATGCCCTAAGTCACTTTAGCAACCATATTTGCTTGTAGGTCAAATAAATTTGCTGAATTCCATAGTTTTTTTAATTAATAAAAAGTATTTTTAAATGATGTAATAAAGGATGAACCCCTGAAAACCACTGGGAGCGGGGAGAGAACCTCCGCATGCAGAAAACCACTTGAAAGGTATGTAAAGAGGCCCAGAAGAGACTGCTTTAGATGAAAAGGCAAATGATGTTCCAGGAGGTTTCCAGTAATTCAGGGGGATCTGACCCAATTGCTCCCCAATCCACCCACAGGTGAAACTCTAATTCCAAGAGTATGTAAGTCCCCACAAGTTATATAGGGCAACCAATGGATGATTCAAATTCAGGCTCCTCAGAGGCCATGGTTAAGTGTTAAGCACTCAGGCCAAAAGGTGAGCCCAAAAAAATAGGTAAAAAATGTTGAAGCATTATGGAATCTGCTGTAGCCAAATTAATTTTTAATTTTTTAATTCATTTCATTTCATATTATATTATATTTTTGTCTCACCTTTCCTCCAGTGAGTTCAAGGTGGTATACATGATTCTCTCCCCTGCTCCCATATGAAAAACCACAGAGATGATGACCTTCTGGTGCTCCCCAAACTAACCCCTTTCACCAGTGGCTCTGAGCACAATGTGGGATTAGTGCAATGCACACGTTCTATTTGCACTGCTTTACTCCCTTAGATTCTCTTGTCTGAATAAGAACAATGAAGCAAAGATGCTTCCACTAAAACTTAAATGCTAAATTAAACGGAAGAAATCGTTTCTGTTCCAAGAAACGTTGAAAAGTGGCTTAATGGACAGGCTCTGTAGGGTTCCTGATTAACAATATATCCATTTGTAGGGAATGGCAATGGTTTGAATGACTTCAGCAATTCCTTATGCACACGACTTCTCCTTGATCTAATACCAATTCCATCAGTTCCCATTTATGTGTGATTTTGCAAACAAATGGGTTATTTCAGAACACCAATTTCCTGCTCTGGGGAAAGCTGTAGGTGAAGTCAGCTAGTTGGCAACAACCATGACGGTGTGTATATGGTACATGATCAGAAAATATCTTGAACTCTGTATATTGGTTACACTTTTGCAATAAACAAAGTAACACAGTAACACATTGAGCTCACACTTAATAAATTCAAACTAGCTCATCTTACGTTGGCAAAGTGGAAGGTCTCTATTCCAATTAACGTTGTTGTTTATAAGCCTACATCGAAGAGTATTTATGCCTACCATTCTGTACCTAAAGAGAAAGACAAATCTTGTATTTTAATGCACGGGACATAAAGTGTGCAGATAGAGCATATTTCTTATCTAGTACACTTGCTTTATTTAGACTATATCCCATTCTACAGAGTCACCACTGTGCTAGTTGACATAAACAGAAAAAAAATAAAATCAACCACACCAGTTCAAAAGCAGTTACAAACAACACAGCAGCAAGAATATAATAACAGTAGGATTGAAGCCAGTTCAAACAACACTGAATGAGACCTGGTAAAGCGGTCTTCCCTTGCTGCTAAAACAATGTGAAAATGAGCCCAGGGGAAACTTCCTGAGGAGAGGATTCTAAAGGTGGGGCAACTGAAAAAGCCCTTTCTCTGGGTGCTCTCAGTCGAGGTTGAGACAAGCTAGCAATTTAATTTAATTCCAGATACAGGAATTATCTCTTTGTTAAAGAGTGCCCAGAAAAAGTCACACCAACATAAAAACACCAGTAGCTTGGACAGCAGCAACCTAGGCTTTCAAATTTCATCGTAGTGGACTTCCTCGATTCAAGGTGAAGTACTTGAAATACAATTCAGGTATCTAATCCAGGACTGACATTCAGCTATGATGGGGAGTAGTGTGTGACCTCAAAAACAAAGGGGAGCAGTAAAGGCAGGAATTCATGATCTTCCCAACAGACCTTATGTCATTAAAAATGCCATCCCACCCCACTTGAGTTTATTGCCATTAAGAAAATTACTTTCCCAAAGAGATTATAAACAAAATCCACTATTATTACACCATATCGCAGGGTGTCTGGCTGAGAGAGTGTGGATTACACAAAATATTATTGTGTCTACTTTGCTGGAGAGAAGGGATTGTAGAACACAATTGTAGATAAAATCCATGATTATCACACCATATCATAGGGGGCAGAGCTGTGGTTGAGAAAGTGTGGATCACATGAACTCTGCAAAATATTATTATGTATATTTTGCTGGAGAGAACGGGAAGTTAGAGGGGCATATGAAAACCCTCTAATATAGTTATTCTAGCATATTTGTTTTATTTTATTTTTAGAGAAATGAACAGAGAACTGTGAACTTGCTTGAAGCAGCAGTGCACTTAATTAAGGGCTGCAAGGAGTAAAAGGAGCCAGGGAAAGAACTGGGGATTTCATCAGTGAGTGGAAAAACATCCAGATGCCAGCATTGAAAGACAGTTCTACACACTGAGAAATAACCAAATGAAAGACCTGAATACACATTTCTCAGAAGCCAGAGGTTGCCGTTGCTCAGTTACCAAATCAACCAGAAATGGTAGACCTGTTCTTAGGTGCTGCTTATTTGTGTTTATTAATTTATTTGGAGTATAATAACAACACAACTAGATAAGAATTAATGTCAAAAATCTAGCCTAATATTTTAACAATTAATATGTCTGTCACGAGCCCCTCCCAGGAGTTCTAAACAAAGCAAAGTAGGTACAAGGCAACCTACAACTCACCCCTCATTACAGCCTAGAGTTATTTCATCACCTAGCCGCAAGTCTTTTGATTTTACTATTCTGCCGTTCTCTAAATTTATAGTAGGACATCGCCTTCCTAACAGGAAAATCAAAACAAGCATTAGCAAATGCAGCCTTGATTTCTTTAAAAATAAAATAAAAAGGGTACACTACAGACACCAAGGCCACTTCCAGATGATCTGTTTGAGCAGTCATCCTGATTTGTTTGGGGAGAGGTTATACGACATTGTATCAAAAAAATTATCTCAGTATCTCCAGTGCAATTCCCTGTCACATTCTTTACTGCAAAATGTCCAATTTTTTTTTTTAAATCAGATTTGGTGCACAAGAGAACCAAATACATGTCAACTGTGCTACCTGAATTTGTTGGTATTTAATTGAATCCCTCCTACAATATAGAGACAGTCTGAAAGTGTCCTTGGAAATACTATATTCATTAAAGGATAATTCAATATCCAGTTTTACTGGTGGTTCACAATAATGTGAACAATAATAATGCAGACGTTAAGTGTTCTTTCTTTTTTCCTTCATGAGTTGAAAGCAGTTGAGAGACCATTTCTTGCTTTATGTACACTTATTTCTTTGTTGCCTCTGGCATATAGATGTTCAAAGTTTATGGACTGTTGCTGCTGACACTATCCAGTATCAAAAAGTTGACATCTGAGATCATTAAAAACTCTATTTTGTTTACTATAAAGTTGTAATAGTACTCCCACACCCCTGTATGTTTTACAATAGGTAAAACAAAGGTATATTTGTTCAAATAATTTTAAGACAGTTATACTTTTAAGTACAGTAGTTTTGTAAGCATACTATTCATCTGCCATGGTGGAGAAAATTCAGGCTGGGGCAGCTTCTAGTCATTATTTAAGGTGAGAACCTCCAATACATCCTCCTCACCTACTTTTGGAGAAGAGGTGACAGTGTTGGTACCTCTCACCTTCACAATATTATAGTGTATAGTGTGACTTAAGGGTCATCAAGTCCAACACCCTAAAATGCAGGAATCTCAACTATATCATACATGACAGATGGCCATCCAACCTCTGCTTAAAAACCTCCCAGGAAGGACAGCCCATCAGCTATGTTCTGTGAGGAGAATCAGAACTTACAGGGTTAAACAGTTCTGTGTATTGTCTAGCCTACTAAGGTGTGGCTTGGCTGATGAACCGGAGGATGGCTGCTCGATCTCCCAGCTATGCTGTTCATTAAAGCCTCTTAAGATTAGAAAGAAGGTTGCGTATGTACTGTGATTTATTGCACCTACACAAGGCACACACCACTGCTGCGATACTCTGCTTGGAGCCAGGAAGAAGTCTGAAGGCTCAGAGGCACAGGGAAGTGTGCTGGACGCCACTCTTGCCCAAGAGCTTATGGGAGCTGCCACGTCATGCCTGTGTGTGTGGGTGCAGCAAGACCAGCTGGAGCTCCTGCCTAAGGTTTAAGGCAACGAAGCTTCACTGGGTTGTTTTTGCCCCCTTAGTTCCCTTTTAAATATCTGGTACTTCTGCAAACTTTGGGGTTCATTCAAACATGCTATTGCTCTTTCTTGTTTCTTAGAAGCACCTTGTATCTACAGACCCAAGGGCATTCACCACTTGAGTTCATCATTAGGAGGAGTGATGCTCAGAATATTCCATTTCCCTGATTTAAGTCTCCAATGTTCTACAAAAGAAAAGCCCCCTTTATTATTTCCTAACTTTCTGCAATGTTTGGACCTCCTCCAGTTAATAAGCAAGTTACTGACATAACTGGTCTGATCTAAGGTGGCTGTTCAACAGTTTTAGATATTCAGAAAATTAAGTGAAACTTACCTTGACAAAACCTAGGATTTTCTACTGACCATTTTGAATCGGCAAGACATGTAATAGAAAGAGTCTCTCCAGGAATAGGCTCATAACCTGGGATACAACGGTACTGCAAAACAGTCCCAGTAGGATAGCTGTCTCTTGGACTCCCAGTCCTTATGCTAGCATTGGCTACATGCAGATGGGAGCAATCACCTGGAAATAAAAATTCAGAGGAAGTTCTGAAGCTATGGAAGAGAAAACAAGGTTCATTGTAGTGCAGAACTCTGGATAATTCATAAATCTTTATGACATTTTCCTCTACTGGGATCTATAGGACCATGTTCCAATTGATTCTGGGAGTTCATGTGCAGAGGACAGCTGGAAGAAGACTGGCACCATTAAGACTTATAGAGTAATCATAACTATGTCTCTTCAGATGTAAGCTCTCTCGAATTTTAAAGGGCTTGCTTGTAGGTAAGTGAGGTTCAGATGGAAGCCTTATTTACCACCTGCTACTCACATGGAAAATACTGCAAGTGGTTGCCTTTTCATCTAAACAGACTTGTGAGAACCATATGGGTGGCACACCTGCTACCACCATCTAATGACTAACAGGAGACAGAGGGAGCTCTGTGCAAAGGATGCAAAGAGGGAACAGGTCCAATTAATGGTGGCTATTTTAAATAAACAGGACTTAAAATAGCAGATTAAGGAGCATTCCCAGAAAGATGACACTGCCGAACTTTCCTTGGAATAATACCATATTTTAGGACAGTTATGTCTATTTACTTAAAGTAAGGCTGGAAGAGGAACCAATATGGCATGTTACCAAGAGGCAATATTCTTAAAGTATAAAAATCGTAGGGCCATTTGGGGGCAAAAAGCTCAGAAGGCCAAGGAGCAATGTGAATCTTCCATCATTGGCCAGCTCTATCCATTCCTTTGTGTGAGCAGACTGGCCATCTAGTTAGAGCAACTACCTTTTATAATTATATCCCTGCAGAGCCTGTGTGAATGTGTTGTATTCTTGAGGGATCTTAAGTAGATGAAACTAATAAATAATTTTGCAGATTCATACAAAGTCCATGTTGTCTTCCTCCAATCTGGATTGCATTCATGGCACATCCCCAACAAATATCCTAGCTCATTTGAAACCTTGCCGGTAACCTTTTGGTTGGTCCCAACAACTATTTATTATTGCCATACCATGACCTTCAGTTTTTCAAGAATTAAAGTATAATCCTCTTATCTGAAGATAGGTTATATGCAACAACCACATTTACCCTCAGCGTTTGACAGTTTGCTGTTTTATGAAGTTTTGAAGGCAACAAGAAAAGGACACCCTTAACTTTTAGCGAAATTTACAGGTTTTGAAGTAACTGGCCTCTCAGTCCATACACAGAAAGTGGCTTTCTTGCGCTTAGCTTTCCAAAACAACACAAGAGGCCGGCAGCTCATCTGGCAGATATGCCAACAGTCTGAACAAGGCGGGGTACTACCGAAATGCATTGAATCCCCTCACCCTACCTCACACCCCACCCCACCTCGAACTCTGGAAAACGAGAGAAACAGCAGCAGTAACAGCATCAGCGGCGACGCCAACAACAAAGGCCCGCTGGAGTAACTTGTAAGAGGCGCCATCGCACAACAAGGAGAACCCAGAGTCAGAAAAACAGAAAGCACCACAACGGAAAGGCAAGGCGACGTGGCGGGCCCGGGAAGCAACTCGAGGGGAAGGGAGCGGCGGCGCTTTTTTCAGCCAAGGGGCGTGAGCACTAGCGTGGTTTCAGGTAAGGTACTCTAGGAGGAGGGCGAAGAGAGGGAGCCGTCTCCGCCGTTATCGGTTCCCGGCCTTACCGCCCCAGAGCCGCGCGCATGCCGGTTGGAGGCGGCGGCAAAGGCGCGCGTTCGGGATTGGCTGATGGAAAACGTAAGTAGAAGAGCCGCGTAGTGCGCTCGGTATCGCGCGGGGGAAGAGATCGCGAGCCCCCGCTGGGACGCGGTCACCCGCGGGTGGTGTGGGGAGGAGCAGCGCTGACCGACGGTTCTCCACCTAAAATTCTAGCCCTCATCAGAGCAAGTTGCTCACAGGAGCCCTCCTAGCAGTTGCAACAACCAACTTGCCTTGCGCTCTGGCGTCCTGGATGTGCTCAGGGAATGCGATGGATCGCTGAATTCGCTCCACAGTAGGCGAACATGGAATGGCAGCCTTAGTTGCAGGAGTGCCAACATGGCCCGGCAACCTGGGTGCCAGGGGCCGTGGGTGCCATGCAGCGTGAATGGCCCTGGCGCCAAGATTCGTGGATCCCCGGCCCCTTCGTGGGGAATTTTGTGGATGCTCAGGCACCCAGGACCTATGCTTAGTTCCATACACAATACTATAAGCTAAGCAAGCTATAGCTTAGGGCCCCACTCTCTCGGGGGCCCCCAAAAAAATTAAAGGGAAAAAAACCTGGATGTACATTTCCAAAATATGAGATAAAAACAATAAGATAAAACCTACATACAGCAACAGTGTTTTGTGTTGTGTAGGCTCCTATTTGTTATGCGCAAATAAAAAATGGCTTTAGATACCTATTAGGTCCATAAATTACCATATAGCATATATTCAACACACACACAAAAGTGACAATTTGTTCTTGACAAAAGACAGCTGGACATATAAAGGGCCCCATTACCTTCAGTAGCTGAGGGCCTCATCAAGCCTAAATCTGGCCCTGGGGCTTGGACATCTTTTTTTTTTCATCACAGGACCCCTTTTCTGTCTTATATTCTGCAGTGTAGTTACATACTACTTAGACACGTCATATTGCCTTTCCGGTAGCGTCGTTCCTTTCACCCACCTACGCTATACTATAATGCCTCTTTCTGGCTCACCCACAGGGCTTAACAATCCAGAATTGCTCTTCCCTCTAGTTCTACTTGCAGCCAATCTGGCTTTTCTCCTACCTTCACTGTCATTTTTCCTCCTGTTAAATTTTTCTTCTTTTGATTCCTTCATCCTCTGTTCCCTTTTACTTATTAGTTCCCTGCTACTTTCCCTTCAGCATCCTGCTTTTCATGAAGCTGCTGTCAGCATTTAAGCAGTGCTTCACAGCTCCTGCCACTACCTGTGTTTCCATTTGAGCAAGTTTGGAGAAGCGTGGCATGGAAGGCAAACACAGCAGCAGCTCTTGAATCCTTCTAACAGATCAGTTTGATGAACAATTGCAGGAAAGTAACAGGGAGAAACAAGGTTACATTAGTGGAATGCTTTTATTATACTTCACAAATCAAAAAACATTGTGCAAATACCTTGGAACATGAGATTCCAGCATTGTACTATTTAACCTGGACAGCAACATGAAAGAAATTCTAGGCATTTCCCCCTCAAATATAGAATTTGAAGGCAAATGTGTTGTTTGCCAGTTCTTCACTTAAACCTACCAGTTTAGCCTATTTCACACACTCATGCATGTCCTTTTTTCAGGGTCTGAACTAATTCTGACCTGCTTAACTGAACATGTATTTAAAAAACAAAACATATCTATGTTCTACTAATAGGAACATGCAAGGACAAGGCATGCTTCTATTTACTTACTAAAGTGCATAACAGTGCAATAATTACTCTTTCATAAAGCATATAGATCAATCAGATTTCATTTTAAAAATTATTGCTATGTGCAGAGCTTTGGGTAATAAAAAGAGAAGATAAGTCACATTTAGCTACTAATCTAATATGGACAAAACTGTGGTATGTATAACCAACTCCTCACTTACTTTGGGCCATTGACAATTACTTTCTATTCTTTATCATTCCCATATACTACAGCTCCAACATCTGTGCTTTCATGTCTGTTTGGAACTAGTATATTGTATAATATTTGGTGTGCAATCTATGGAATGCTGTGTGGCAAACTCCTAACACTCAAACTGTTACATTCATTCCAGTGTGTATTTGTGTGACCGAATGCCTTATATTCTGTTGTAGCCAATGGTGATCTGTCTGAAGATGAAACTGAACATTTCAGTTACAAACCTGAATTTGGATTGCATTGCCTACTCAGTGGCATTAAAGCAGTCCAAGCTGAAGGCAATAAGCCCCATTGAATTGAATTCTCACATATAAAGCTACAGTATATTGTTACATCTGCTATAGGCTGCTGTGAAACAAAACCCCTGCTCTGTGTCAGGGCACACTGCTCTGACATTGGCTCCCAGTACGTTTCTAAGCACAATTCAAAGCGGTGGTGCTGATCTTTAAAGTCCTAAACGGCCTCGGCCCAGTATACCTGAAGGAGCGTCTCCACCCCCATCGTTCAGCCCAGACACTGAGGTCCAGCGCCGAGGGCCTTCTGGCGGTTCCCTCACTGCAAAAAGTGAGGTTACGGGGAACCAGGCAGAGGGCCTTCTTGGTAGTGGCGCCTGTTCTGTGGAATGCCCTCCCATCAGATGTCAAGGAAATAAACAACTATCTGACATTTAGAAGACATCTGAAGGCAGTTCTGTTTAGGGAAGTTTTTAACGTTTGATGTTTTATCGGTTTTTTAATATTCTGTTGGGAGATGCCCAGAGTGGCTGGGGAAACCCAGCCAGATAGACGGGGTATAAATATTAAATTTATTATTATTATAAATAGTAGTAGTATTATAGTAGTAGTAGTAGTAGTAGTAGTAGGCCCACTTTAAAGCTGGCCAGAGGGGCTAGATAACCAGAGACTCTACTAGATGATAACTGGGCTCCTCCCTGAAAGGAAGGCTCTATTCCTGCATTGGAAGAGTTAAGCTTTCCATGTGCTCAGTCAACTGGTCTCTTCTGACAGAAAAGAACCTTCTCTATCTGGAAAAGTGAATCAATCAAGAAGCCTGGGGTAGTGCCAAGTTCTCTGACTGAGCCATGCTCATTATCCAACCTATCTTAGAAGCTACTGTTTAAGATAAAATGGGATGTTTTCTTGAGCATGTGTACTAGACTACAGCCTAGTTGTACAGTTAAGGGCACAAAGACAACAACAGCTTTGGTAAGTCATGCAATGGGGTGACAGTATCATACCCTCCAATATTTCTCCGATGAAAATAGGGACACCCTATTCCATGATAATAATAATTTTATTGTTTATACCCCCCTCACCTGACCGGGTTGCCCCAGCCATGCTGGGTGGCTTCCAACATATATAAAAACATAATAAAACATTAACAAACCTCCCTATACTGGGCTGCCTTCAGATGTCTTCTAAAGCTTGCAGAGTTACTTATCTGCTTGTCTCGGGGGTCACATAACTCCATACCCTCCAACATTTCTCCGATAAAAATAGGGATGTTCTAAGGAAAAGCGGGACATTCCGGGATCAAATCAGAAACCGGGACGGCCTCTGTAAATCTGGAACTGTCCCTGGAAAATATGGACACTTGGAGGGTCTGCAGTATGTATCTACTGAATGATTATCAGATGTCATAATGATTTGTTTTATTATCGAGGCACTGAGCATGGGTACCATTGTAATGAACCAAAATCAGAGACTTCTGGGTCAGCGCCATCAGTGAATGGCGGAGTTCCTCCGTTCGGAGGAACGGGCTCCGTGGAAACTGGGTCTTCCCACCGCGGCGAAGGTGGGGACCCGCTAGAAATCCCAGGCGGAGGAAGCCTGGGAACGTGGGGTTCGGCAGGGCACCAGGAGCGCCCCCCTACTCGCAGGGAATCCCATTTAGGGGCTCCGGAGCGAAGTGGGGTGAGAAGCACGGTGCTGCGAACTGACTGCTACTTTCACGGAGTGAAGCCGCACAGCCATTGCCGGAGAGCGCTGACTTTTTCCTGTGGACAATTGGATTTAAAACAAGTACCCGTGAGTAGAAACGGAAAATTGGATCAAGAAATTTCTTAATTCGGTAACGAAGCGGGAAGGTTCAAAACAGGAAGTCTGCCTTCCGCTTTTTGTATATAGACTAAAGCAAAAACTTTGTAAACTAAAGCCTGGAAAGCTGTCAAAAAAGTCTAAATTTCCTTCATTTAGAATTACTGAAACCCCCTTGGAAGCAGGAGAAAAGGGGGGGAACTTTGTTCAACCCTAGCAGGAGAGGGAGTGAAGAAGGATAAGTTTCCACCGTCTCTAACCTGGGAACGGGGTGTCAGAGACAGAAATTGTTGGAGAGGTTCATTGACTGTTAATGGAATATTTTGACAGATAGCTAAAGAAGAGAAACAAGCTGATTCCAATGTTGCCTTTTGCATCTTAAAGAAACAAAATATCTGAAAAATATCTGAAAAATGAAAGTAATTTTCCTTTGTTGGACTTGCCTAAAAATGGATACAAATAGAAATTGCCTCCTCTAGAGGGAGCTTGTCAAATTGTTGCTGCAGTACATTTGAGGGCTCAACAGATGTGAGATTAAGACCGTGGGAACAGGCTTTTCTGACCTTGACTAAAGATGAGTTGGAAAGAAGAATGGGTGCTTGCCTTATGCAAGACAAGTGCCCTGCTGGAACAGATGCATGAGAAGATGGACTTGATGAATGAGAAAATGGATTTGACTGTTGCAGTTAATAACTGTGGGCAAACAGGGAATATTGATACAGAAATTATCCAGGGACCAACTCAGGAATCTGTACTGACTGGGCAAGTGCAGAAGATAATGGAGGAGGATGCGGTTGCACCCCAAATAATACAAATGGAGAGTCCCGAGGCCCTACAGGAGTATGAGCTGCTGTCATTGAAGATTGAAGTTGGAGTGGGCCAGGGGGCGTCTGGAGTTGAGGAGGTTCCCAACGTTGGAGAGACCTTGGAATATGCTTTTAAATACTTTTTGGACTATATTGAGGATTGTGGGGAGTGGGACTGTGGGGAATGGGCGGGTTTGATGAAGGGAGATGGAGACAATTTTGGCTTGGAATACCCCAGAGGCCTACCCCTCAATGAGAAAGGAAAGAAACTAAGAAAGAGACCAACAAAAGACAAGGAAAAGGGCAAGTATAAACAAGAAGAAGAAGAATTGCAGAAGGGACATGGAAGAGACTTAAGGGCCTCGGACATAAGGCTTCCAGGTTGATGGACTAGATGAAATGGACAGTAAGAATTGACACGATCCGAGACCAGGAAGAAGGGTCGTTGGATGAAGATTGGAAGAAAATTTATAAAGAAAATTTTCTATTTGGGGAATTGGCTAAAAATTAATGAATATTAGGGAAAATGTTGGAATGAAACTATATGACTTTAGCAGAAATGATATCAGGAGTAATGTATATTTGATAACTAAGATTCAAGCTTTAAGGTGTTTTAGGGTAAGATAAGGTTAAATTAATTAAGGTAATGTGAATAATAGAATATGGGGAAAGATGGAAAGGATTGGTTGAGTTAATTATTAGATTAAATTAGGTTAGGATAATTTTTTTAATAAAAATTGAGAAAGATGGAAAGAATTTGCTGAAATAACTAATTAAACTAGAATACAAAAAGGGAGGTGTGAGGAAGTCAATGAAACAAGCAAATGGAAGTTTTAGATATGTAATCTGGGATTTGTGTTGTTTTCTTTTTTCTTTTTCTTTTTTTGTTGTATTGTTGTATTGGTTTTTGTGTTTTTTCTTTTTTTTTGTCTATTATAGTGTTGTTTTTTAATGTTTTTTCTTCTTCTTATAATTCTGAAAACTACTAATAAATATTATTTAAAAACAAAAACAAAATCAGCATAGGATTGCACTTGAATGATTACCTACTAATGTCTGTGCTTTTAAAACACATATTTGCATTCTGAATCTAAGGCAACAGCACATTACTCACAACACTAGTTTTAGATATACAAAAGGAAATTTCAGACATCCCTGACCAGAAAGCATCTTGGTCAAGACAGGCTGTTTGTGGCAGAAACAACCCCCAGCATTAAGAAGATTATTATATTACAGCAGTGATTTTAGTCAATGAAGATCAAACTGCTCATTAATAAGCAGTCACATTCATATGTCCTGGCATTTAAAACATATTTATTATTTACCTCTTGATGCAAGCAGGGAGTCATTATCAAAAACATCCCCTCATAAAACTGTGCAAAAGATACAGCAGTATATTGTGCGTAGAGCCAATAGGTAGTATATTAATTCTATGGCAACATATTTATCCTAATTGTAAGCAGGACTGTGTACTTTGGTAGCATCACATTGGAATGTGGTTATGGTATGCTTAAATATATTCTATGGAAATTGCTTAATTTTGTGAGACTGTCCCCTATATATTTTCTTTAGAAGCATCAAGAGTAACAGTAACTCTGCAATCCTATGCATACCTACCTGGGAATAACTCCTATTGAATAGGGTACTTCTGAGTAAACAAGGATAAGAATAGGAAAGCAATTCTTATTTTTATCTGTAAGCCACCTTGAGACCCGCCAGGAAAAAAGGCAGAGCATAAATAAATTAATAATATTAATAATAGGAATGATTACACTAAACCCTTTTTAGTGGGCTCAATCAGCAGAAATAAAAAATATGCTATTAATCCATTATGTAACACAGAGCTTTCCAAACTTTTCATGTTGGTGACACACTTTTTAGACATGCATCATTTTGAGACACAGTAATTTGCTGGCAAACCGGAGATTAAACTAACCCCTTTCCAGCCCCGAGAGAAGCGCGACACACTGGCACACTAATGTGTCGCGACACACAGTTTGGAAAGCTCAAACTCACTGCATATAGATTTCTCTCCATTCTGTTCAGGATTCAGAAAAAAAGACACACAATAATGCCTGAATGAACTTCTGAACCTACAATGCCCTGCCCTGCAAATTACGCTATGCCAAACTATGCCTGGGTATGAATGTGTGGGCTCTGAGAGAGATGGTGGCCACTGACTTTGCTCCTCCCTGGCCATTCTGTAGCTATGCCATGACTTAAGAAACGCCTGCTGCATCAGGCCACTAGCCCATCTACTCCAGTGTCCTGTTCTCACAGTGGCCAAGCAGATGGCTGAAGGCAGGCAGAACACAAGCAGAACAGCAATCTGCTCACTCGCCATTTCCAGCAGCTGACATTTAGAGGCATACTGCATCTGACAGTGCAGATGGAAAATGCCATTGTGCCTAGTAGTCGTTGATCCGCTCCCCATGAATTTGCCCAATCCTCTTCTAAAGCCATCCAAGTTGGTAGGCATCCCTGCCTCCTGTGGAAGTAAGTTCCAGTTCAACAGGGAGTTGAATTAAGTATTTTCTTGGATCTGACCCTCAAAATCTGCTACAGAAGGTTGGGGGACTCCTTGGAATAGCGTTGGGATTGCAGGAGAGAAGGAGAAACGGCAAAAAATATCACCTTTCTCCCCATTCTCTTGATGGAAACCTCCATTAGATCGAAGAGCATTTCATCAACATTGATGGACGCCATTGGATATAACTAATATTTCCCATAGGTAAACCTGAAACACTGTGAAATTAGTGTACCCATAGCATATTTTCAAATGGTTATACATTAAAATAAATTATTAGTATTTAATAAGAATTGCCTGACTTTCTCAAGCCAATGGCCCATCTTTAGTAGTATGTCTACCAACAGTGAAAGACAGGTGTTTCAGGATGGTTAGCAAGAAAGTGTCATTCTAGAGTCTGTTAATTTCTATTAATCCAAGCCATGAAAATGGATCTTGCATAGTCAAATGAATCTTGCCTTTGCTCTTGGAAACCTTAATGCTAGCAATTTCATTAAGCTGTGTCTATTTTTGGAATGGGCACTGAAAAGCTAAGATATCATATCTCCCCATGATTGAATGTCTATGAAAAAAAGCTCCAGAAACATTTCAGAGTTCCCACAGAACCAAATGAGAAAAACAACTAGATTTTGCTTGGGCTTTGTGGCAGTACTGTCAGTGTTTCAATGTCACATATTTAAGAAAATTCATCATGTCTTCATGCTTCATATGTAGGCAGAAGACTCCTCTCAGGATCTCTTCTACAAGGAAGAATCTTCCTAAGTATTAAAAATGCAATTTAGATTGGGCAGACAAAACACAGGTTGTGATGATAGCAGACAAGAAACATAACACATAAGAACAGCTTCCTGGATCAGGCCAAAGGCCCATCTTGTCCAACATCCTGTGCTCATAGTGACCATCATGAACTACATTTCCCAGAGCTACCTTGTCAGGAACTGGGTGACTGAAATAGATTTGAAAGTGATTTAAATTTGAATGGCAAATATGCCTTAAAGATACATGATTTCTTGAAGATCTAAAAGTGCATCACCAGAGCTTGAGAGGTTCAAAATGAGTTTGCTCTAGAGCAGGTATGGTGAGTATCTGACTCTCCAGACATTCCTGAACTACAACTCCCCTTAGCCCCTAGTAAGCATGGCCAATGATCAGCATGATGGGAGTTCAGCAACATCTGGAAAGCCAAAGGTTCCCTGCACCCGCTCTAGTATTTAGATTAGACATAACTAAACTCGGCCCTCCAGATGTTTTGGGACTACAATTCCCATCACCCTTGACCACTGGTCCTGTTAGCTAGGAATGATGGGAGCTGTAGTCCCAAAACATCTGGAGGGCCAAGTTTGCCTATGCCTGATTTAGATGTTGAGTAGCGTGATATTTTTCACAAAGCAAATTTTCAGCACTACCATTTTTAGAGATATTAAGAGAACTTGTCATTGGTCCAGAAAACTAGCTAGTCCACCATGCTTTAGTTTCCTGAGACAACAGCTACATTTAACACTCAGGATGTTGATCAAGTGCAAGGGGTTGCAGTCCCACGTGGCTTATTTTCTGAGGCCTCCGTGACGATTTCCCATCACACAAGCGGAATGCTTCTACAGTGCTATGCCAGCTGTTCTCTGTAAAGGAGAAACCAAATGCAAAAGTCAAAACTATGAACATTTAGATCCTAAAGGAATTCCACATTGCCATTCTCAATATTGCTGATCACTTTTTAATTAACTGTAAGATCATTCAGTTAAATGCATGATGTTGGACCACATAAGATCACTGGAATTAAAGTAATGTTTCACAAACAGTACAAAATTGTGCTCTACTTCTAGAATGATTAAGTCTTCATGGCATCTCCACCTTCAAATCCTCATTCAATATACTCATCTAGCTGCCAAGTTCATAGCACCACCCCTTCTCTCAGCATCTGTAGGCATGTTTGTTGTGCTACTCTAGCCTAACTCAGCCATCTTTAACTTGTAACACATGCCTTTATTTCCTCCCAAAAATGGCTAATTGGTATTGTACATTAAAAAAACTTTAACTTGTCATTTTCCAAACTATGATGTTTTAAAAAACAACAGATCTATTATTTAAAAAGGCACACAAATCCATTTGCAATCATCAATCTGGCTTGAAACACACTGATCTGCAGAAATATTGCAAATGAATTCTACAGAGTTTTCTTCTCTTTGACTATTTCATAATCAGGGAAGTCCACTGTCTGTCCTTGTCACAGCTATATACTGTGTTATTATCTTTCCATATAATAATTTTAATCAGGGTTCATATGGAATTCAAATAAGTATAACAAGTCTGACTGCAATGAATTCCACACATGCTCAAAAAATAATTTTGCATTGCTCATCACATTTGTTAATTTTGCATTTCGAAGTGCATTCAAACCAATTAAAGCCGCAGTCCACAACACATTTATGAGAGATCCCCACTCAACTCAGATGGATTTACTTTTGAGTAAAACTTGCTCAAAGGCAACTTTTGTGGATGTGTCCAATAACCTCATCTGCAAATTCGTTCTTTATAACATGTATTTCATGCATTCATAGTTGGTCATATATGATTATTAAATGTAAATACTTGCAAATACTCACAAAGTTGAGCTTAAGCGACCTGTCACTGGCACATTTTTTTAAATGGACATTGATGAAATGAACACAGGAATAAAAACAAACAATGCTTGATTCAAGAGTTCCTTAAACCTTATTTTGTATTTCGGGCCTTGACACCAAAAAGAACTTTTATTTCTAGGGCAGCCTTCTCCAACCCTGTGCTGGGACTAGTGGGAATTGTGGCGCAAAACATCTGGAAGACACTAAGCTAGGGGAAGGCTGCTTTAGGGTATGGTTCACATCAGAAAATATATATTTTTGCCTTTCATACACCTCTTTTAAATGCTCAAAGACCTGTCCAGGGTTAAGAGATGCTAGGTTTCAGTTTGAAAACTGAAAGTGGCTGTGGCCAGTCATAGCTCTCTGATGATTGTGCAATGTCTGCAAACATATCTGTCACATTTATACAGGTATGTATAAGATGTAGAGTGGGACCCAAAGGTCAACCTTCCATAAAGCATGGTGATTTCAAGTTCTCCCTTACAATGCTCTCCCAAGAAGCTCTTCTAAAGTCTGGAGCCCCACCACTGGCTGGTCCTTCCCCATAGAAGTGCTTTCCACCTGCACATGGATGTGAGTGTTTGGATTCCAGCCGCGATGTGCAAAGCAACCACTTACCCTTTACATCTGCCTGAGCTCCACACAATTGAGAAAGTGCATTTTTGCCTCCAGCTTTACAAATTGTTACTAATTTTGAAAAGAGTGCCAGCACAAAGTAATGAGAAAGAAAAGCATTGCAGCATGGTGGTTTGCAGTGGGTGAAATTTTATTTACCTGGTCCACAAGAAAGTTCACAATTGCTAATACAATTATTTAAGATGTCTCATTACAATATTGATATTCAGGCTTCCAGTCTAAAACTGCCAACCTTTATGGAAAAAAACCTGCTGGTTTTATGACTTCTACTTATTTCTGCACAGAAAGTTAACAACTGGCAGTTTGATGCTTTTTAGAAGTATACATTCACACAGCATAATTGCACATATACACACCTGCAAATTAAATGAAATAAACCAAGAAGATATGCATACAGAGCAGACATGATTGAGATATAAGATCCAATAAATCTGTCATTGGTAATTGGGCGTTAAATTTTTGCTTAAATGAAACTATTATGTAGAGAAATGAAACACTGTGCAGCATTTTAACTTACAATTATATAGGATGAAAAATATCATTATCTACCTGAGTGCTTTCATTCACATGACATCAACATGAGCATAAATATGGCTATAGTTACAAATGCACCACCACATAAAGCCATGGTGCATCTCTCAATTTGAGTTGTTTCCTGGGCAATGCAACTTAATAGTGGTTCTAGGCCTTGGTCTTAATTTAAGCCACAATTAACAGCATTAGTATTTGGATTCCCATGGAGTGTAATAATGGTCTCATTTGTATGTCCCTGCTTAGTCGATAATCTGGAATGATGGGGCAATACAGTAATAATGGAGCCCTTCTGCATTTGAGCCAGCATAAGCAATGCATCCTTGATTATCCAGTTGCTCCTGCCTATTGACATGTGTCAAAACCATAAACTGCACAGCAAAACAGTTCTATATGCATTAGCCTTCAATTATACAATTAAAAAAACTTCTACTGAATGTATAACAAAGTTGTTGCAGCAAAAAGTCATCTTGTATATGATAACATCCTTGTTCTGGCACTTGGAAAATTTTGAGGTTTATAAAAGAAACAGATGGGCAAAATGAATTACACATGTGTGTGTGTATGTGTGCATGCGCTGAGAGAAACCTCCACAGTGCTCTGATGCCATCTTTATAAAGTTACCTTTGACCATATGCAAAACATTCATATTTACACATACAGGAGATCATTATTTAAGCTTGTGCATTATTGCAGCTTTGGTAAAAGTCAAATTGCTTACAGTGTACATATAAATAAACACATAATATTTATTATGATTTCACTATTATTTCAAGTTCACCGTTAGAGAGCCAAGGAAAACAAGGCACATTGCCCTCTAACTTGAAACACATTCATTTGTTCTAAGAAACACAGGACGGTGATTCATCTCTGAAAATGCTGACCACAAATTATCAAATGAAGAATAAATCCATCAAACTTACTCCTAATTCCATACTTCCAATAAAGGTTTAAAGAACCATCAGAGATCTCTGAGCAAGAGACTACAGGAAAAAAAGAGATGTCCAAACATGCTAGGAAATGAATTTGCTGAAATGAACTAATTGTGTTTTGGCTTGGGTGTGCAGACTGATGGAGAACCCAGCTTAACCAGCCTAGTCATAAAATTGTCTCTACTATCTTCTACAGCCCTGATTTTCTAGTGGTTAAGCTCGCATCCCACTAACCATGTGCTTTAGCCACGAGCCGCATTCAAAAGACTGGGGAAGAGCAAAGTGGCTGTGAGTGTTTCTCTGGTTGCCTGCACATTTATGCGTCCTTACCACAACAAAGTATCACATAGGATTTTTAAAAGAATTAATCTTGGGTCATATGTTGCAGACTAAAACTGCTGAAGTCTAGCATATGAACTTCTAGATTAAGGGAGCAATTCTAACCCCTGATCCATAGAACTAGAGGCGATTAGGATGCCAGAGGTGTCCCTCCATCAGGCTCTGGTGTTGGTGGGGAGGCTCCGCCACCACATAAGACCTCACTGTGCCCGCCAAAGGTGCTGGCTTGTGCTGGTGGTGCTCCTTTTAAAAAAAGTTGGTCTCTCCCCTTTCCTGACTGGTAGGAGCTGATGTTGCTTTGACTGCAGTAGTGGCTCTGACACTCTGAATGCCCCCAGGCCTGGATGACCCAGGGTTGGGGTTGCTCTGTAAGGGTAATACAGAATAAAGTCCTAGATAAGAAGCTAAACTACATGATCACTTTTTGAGGTCATCTCTCAAAGTTGGGAGTTAGGTGAAACAGTAGTCTGGGTATCTTTTGTGTGTCTGTGCACAAACTACTTCTATGCCTGCTAAGCTTGCATTAGTGTTGAGATAACTGCTCAGGAAAAACCAGAAAAATCACAATGCACGCTTATATTGGTTTTGCTACAGCTTTGTCTTACATGACGATAGAATGCCATTCACAAACCCCCTACCAGTCCATTCTGAACATGGTGTTTCAGTACTAGCAACTAGTTACCTTTCCATTTGTAACGTCTACATGAAAACTGGCTTTGTATGATGAGCTACCAGTAAAAAGAATAATTTAAGGCCACTCAGCTACAGACAACAGCAATTGAATGTATAGTACTAGGGGTAAAAAATTGTGCAAGTGTGGGTGTCTTGGCTCAGATTCCCAAAGAGTATGTGCTCCCCACACTCTTTTACTTCCTTTATGTGTTCATTAGCCTAAGATGAGCAGGCTAATGCATTTTTGCCTCTGAAAGCAAAACCTAGATATGTTATACAGGGCTTAATTAATTTGGAATTAAGCATGCTGTGATGGCAGCATTACATCCAGCTACCCAATTCAAAGTGCTAGTTTGGACTTAAAGGTAAAGGGACTCCTCACCATTAGGTCCAGTCGTGGCCGACTCTGGGGTTGCGGCGCTCATCTCGCTTTACTGGGCGAGGGAGCTGGCGTACAGCTTCCGGGTCATGTGGCCAGCATGACTAAGGTGCTTCTGGTGAACCAGAGCAGTGCAAAGAAATGCCGTTTACCTTCCTGCCGGAGCGGGACCTATTTATCTACTTGCACTTTGACGTGCTTTCGAACTGCTAGGTTGGCAGGAGCAGGGACCGAGCAACGGGCGCTCACCCGGTCGAGGGGATTCGAACCACCAACCTTCTGATCGGCAAGTCCTAGGCTCTGTGGTTTAACCCACAGCGCCACCCGCGTCCCAGTTTGGACTTATAAAGCCTTAAATGACTCAGGACAGCAATACTTCAAGGACCACATTTCCCCATATGAACTGACCTGAACCCTGCACTCATTACCTGAGCTCTTCCTTCATGTACCCCCTCCACAAGTGACCCAGAGGGTGGCAACATGAGAACGAGCCTTTTCTGCAGTGGCTCCCCATTTGTGGAATGCTCTCCCCAGGGAGGCTTGCCTGGTGCCATCATTATTTAACTTTTGGTGAGAAGCAAAAATGTCTCTCTATAACTAGGCTATTGGCCTTTTACCATCTGTGGCCTTTTACAAATGTTTTTAATGTATTCCCATCACTCTTTGTATTAATGTATCTATGTGGTGTTTATTGTCTGTTTGTTTATAAGTTACTTTGGGTTGCCTTGGGCAAGATAAAGCAACTAACAAATTTAATAAAAACAACTAATAAGAAGTATGGTAACGGGTTCCATACTAAGCATGTACATATCCGTGACTGGATAAACTGTAAGGTGGCAGTTCGTGGAGATTTCCCTGCAAAAACCATCAAGATACAGTCTAGTACCTTTACTGGGGAATTCCTTAAAGGGTGGTGGTTTAAAAGTTAACAGTATACATCAAAATGTAAGATATCAAACTCCTCACCTATGCCTGCGGTTGCCATATGTCCGGAATTTCCCTGACACAGCCATGATTTGGCTGTTTGAAACTGTGTTTGGACAGAAATTGCAGAAATGGCTTGGAAAATCTGTATGCATATTGGAAGTTTAGTTTTTAAAGAAAATTTTAACTTTTTTTGTTATGAGATTTCAACAATTTTGTGCCACTTTTTGAAATATGGCAATCGTACCTTTGCCTCTTAGGGCTGTCCCAAGGCTCTAAAGGGCTTTGTGTAGATCTACCATAACAGGAATTGTATGTTTTAGAGGTCTACTATGTAATTATAGGCTTGTGTATTTGGAGAATATAATTTATTCTGAGGGTTTACTCTGAAAGTGACTATCATTCAAGTATGCAATCCACTAATTCTTTTGTTCTAGGAGAGTTTCATCACTCTCTTAGTGGTTCTGTCTTTTTCCAAGTGCTTAAAACTGTAAAAAGCAGGTACAGTGGATGAAAGCACGTCTACGCATCTTGAATGTGTATCAGGAAGCAGAAACCAGGATACATCCACTGTCATTATTCTAACCACAGAAAGTCTGTGGAGTTGGTTGTTGTTTTTAAGTAGATTTGTTGCACCAGGGCAACTTTAATCCACTTTAATTGTGCAAACCTAACTTTAGTATGAGCTTGAAGCCCTCCTGCAAAATACTGACAGTCTGGAGGCAAACAAAACCTGTGGGTTTCTCCCCCACTCCAACTCCCATCAGTCTCAGAGCCAGCAGGACCAGGGGTTATAGGAGCTGAAATCCAGTAACATCTGATGGACTACAGCTTGCCCATCCTTACTTTATGTGGCTGGTCTGGGCAGAAGTCTCATGCTCTCATTTTTCCTCATCACTGCCCCACCCTCTTATTCCTTTACTAATCAAGCCGTTTAAAAATAATGGAACAAATTTCCAATTTAAAATATTCAGTCTTTCATCAAAACCTGGCTGCATTTCACAATCCTTGAACCAAGGAGACCCACCCTGTTGCCTTCTCTTTCCCTCCAGCAAAGTGAATCAAGTTTATCAGGGGGTGGATTATTGAAAGTTCACAAATGTAGCATTTACCAAGATTATTATTACTATTATCATTTTACAAAACATACACCAACAAGATTGCAATTATGGGAAAATGCAAGCATGGGTATGGGAACCTATGAAAAGGTTTCCAGGACAGCCAGGGACAAAACTGAAACATTTTCAGCAAACAATAAAGCACATTGTGCAGGCAAATAATCTTTCTTTGGGAGTGTTCCCATTAAGGCAAAGTACGGGAACAGTGCCAAGTATCGAAAGTGCATTCCAGACCCTGAATCACATATCCCTGCATCTATTTCCTAATATGCAGCAAATATTTAACAAAAAAATAATCTCTATTATTAAATCATTCCCATAAAGCAGCTAGGGACCACAAATGGATTGTGGTTTCTAGGAAAAAATGCATTCTATAAATGGCAAGGAAAAGCGACTCCCACATGTGTTGCAAGGCAGCTGTCACAATCACCATTACATGCAGGGCAGAAATCTAACTCCACAAAGCAAAAATACCACAAACAGAAATACACAACCTCCCTCTCTCTCTTCCACACACACACAATTGTACAGGACGATCACAGCTATTGGGGAATGTTACAAAAATAACCACAGATTTACAAATATTAATACAGGTGAGGTCCACACACAAAATGGAAAAAGCTAAGATATCAAAGAGAGACTTGCCACAGTTACATTTAGTAATGCTGCAAAGGGGAATGCAGACCAGCATAGTTGCAGAGCAATAGAAGGGGAAGGAAATTTAAGAGACTGGCCATTCTGTGCAGGTTTGCAGCAAATGCCTCCTTCATGGGACAATCTCACTTGGTGGTAGAGAGACCAGGGGCTCACAGATGATTGCGTCTGATTTCTCCCTGTAGAGAGGGAAATAACATGCCATTGACATATCCTCTCACATTATAATGTGAGAAAGAGACAGCATAGTATTTTCCGGCTCTTTGTATTCTGCTTCTCAGGGACAACAGACAATGTCTAGGTGTGCTAGACACATCTAGCTGGCACTGTTAAGGCATGACATTTCAGGAGGACTGCAGCACACAAGCACTGCAAGAGCAGAATCAGATCTGATCAGACTACCTTCCTTACCAAGAAAAGACAGAGGATTCTTTACAAAGTGTGTGAGTGTGTGTGTGTGTGTGAGCAAATATGCAATAACCAATTCACAATTGCTAGATGATTTGTTAAGCATGTCCAATAGCAATTGGCTGCAGCAATGTGATGTCACAGAATGTTCACAAACTGTTAACAGATGAATTCTTTCATGCAACATTCTATGAGAGAAAGTCTGTCTCCTCATATGGCTTATGGCTCACATTTACAACACAGTCCTATGCATGTCTGCTCACAAATAAGTCTCATTGAGTGTGACAGAGCTTATACATGGGTATAAGTCAGATACAGGGGTATAGGAGCCTCTGTGACTTCCTACCTATCTCTGAACTTCTCCTGTGTTCTTAATTTCCTTTCTTATTTCTTCCACTTATATTTATTTACTCTTCTGTTATCTCTCATTCTCTCATTAATTCATGGTCATAACCTACACCTCCTCATTATATTTACTCCTGCGTGAAGGGCTGTAACCTGGTGGTGGAGCAGCTGGATGAAGGTCCCTGGTCCAATCCCTTGCATCTTCAGGTAGGGCTTGGAGAGTCTCCCATCTGAAACCTGGACAGCTGCTGCCAGTCAGTGTGGAAAACTGGTCTATCAGCTTGATGGACCAATGGTCTGATGTTCCTGCATTCATTCCTGTACTCACTCCTGGTAGGATTATATTAGTTCATATGGCCAGAGAATGTGTGTGTCATATTACTTAACAGATACTCTCTCTTCAAAATAGTGCACAGGTTCTAAGAACCTACAGGTACCAAGTCACACTTGGCAATTTCTGCAACGTGGTAGCTTGCTTCCACTATTCTGAACTTCTTCCCACTATTCCTGGTACTGGAATGTGACCAGCAGCTCTCAGCCTTACCCTCTCAACAGTAATCTCCGACTTTTTGTGAGATGCAGAAGTGTCATTTTACAGGGCTATTGGGAAGCAAATATATGATTTACAAAATTCCTGTAAACTGAGCCTCGAGAGGAGATTGCGTATCAAGGGATTAGAAGATGCCTTTGTCAAAATGCTTTGTCATTCATTTGCTTTTATCCTGTCTCTATGGCAATGCAAGGCATGCCTAGAATACACTGCTGTGAATTTAGCCCAGAATTCATCCCATTGGAGAAACTTACAAATAACTGTAGACTCAATAGGTAACTGCAAACCATCGTGGCTTCCCCACGAGTGCAATGGCATGGAGTCTTGTAGGAACCACAGTTCAATGGCAGAGCTCATGCTTTGTATTCATAATATTTTATTCTGTGTTCAGTGTCTGGCATCTCTAGTTGAAATAGGATCATAAGTAACAGGACTTGGATGGAACACAGCCTGAGATCAGTGCACACCATAGTAGACAATACTAAGCTAGCTAAACCTGTGGTCTGACTCAGTACATGGCAAACTTTTACATTCATGTTTTAAACTCATTTGCAAACACCTGCAGTCATGCTTTTCATTTTTGGCTTAAAACTTAGCACATCTTCGGAGTATGAAAAAGATAAATTGTAGTGGTCCTAATAAGATAAGGCTTGTACAGCTTCAGCAAGTTTACTTAAAGATAGGTTTTATACTTGATTCTTTGTTGTGCTTCATCCATCTTGCTCATTTTGAAAGAAAAGTCACTTTTCTATAAATGGATATTGATCTATGAGCTGTAAAATATTCCACCCAACTTAAAGGGGCTCTAATTTGTAGGAGACTTATTTGGTACTTTCTCCCCATGTACATTCCTTTGAAACAGACTTCTAATCATCTCTTGGTAAATGTTTATTTCTCAAAAACGTACAATTACACATGCAAGCTGTTCACAACGATACTCACAGGCAAGCACTTCCCACTTGAAGCTGCAAAGAAAGAAAAAAACAGTATAGGAAAGCTCAAGCTGCAGTTCAATGAAGATATAAAAAGCAAGAAAGCAGAACAGCACATAGAAAGCAGTCTTCACAAGCAAGAAGACCAATGTTAACTTGCATCCAAAATTATTGCAAAATGCAAGCCAGTGACTGTTAAATGGCTACCGGCCTAGCATAATTACATATAGCTCTTTCCCTCCGCAAGCAAAGCAAGTGAGCAGAAGCTACAAGAACAAATTGTCATCTGCATTATTTTTTTTATCACCATGCCCAAGAAACACATTTCAGTTTTAGCATGAACTACTTATTAGTTGGAGGTGAGGCCTACTATCAATTACTGTTTTTTATACTGAAGTCTTTGACGAAAGGCTCTGCAAAGAACAAGATTTCAGCACCAGTTTTTCCTGTTCTTCCATCAATCTGCTTCTCATATATTACAGTGACAAACCTGGGTATTTTTATTTTTTTTAAAAGATCCTGGACTACCATATCAAATAAAGAGATTGAAAATAGTCTGAAATCCTGTTTCATCTACAGCCTCACTCCAGGAACTTGCTCTGGTAGAGACTACTGTCTGACATACGCCCTGAAAACTGGGTCTTTGTTTTATTAAGCAACAGAGCACTATGTTGTAGCCTGAGAAATAAGCAGCTGATGAAAAAGCAAAAAAGCAAAATGCAAATCAGCAAGCAAAATTGCAGTGATATTGGAAATGCTGCTGAAAACTCTATCCAATCTGAGGGATATACATGGGTCAAAGAAAACTGCAGCAAATTACTGCATATATAGTACAGTGGTACCTTGGTTGTCGAACTTAATTCATTCTGGGAGTCCGTTCGACTGCCAGAACTGTTCAAAAACCAAGGTGCGGCTTCCGATTGGCTGCAGGAGCTTCCTGCACTCAATCAGAAGCCGTGTCAGATGTTTGGCTTCAAAAAACGTTCACAAATTGGAACACTTACTTCCAGCTTTGTGGTGTTTGGGAGCCGATTTGTTTGAGAGTAAAGCCGTTTGACAACCAAGGTACCACTGTATAGCAAATATGACTGTCCACTGTAAGAAATTATGTATATGTTGGGTATACTGTGTAGAGCCCATGAACTCAGCTACAAAGTACTATGGATCTGACAAATCTGTCTTAAAATGCTCACTTTAGATAACAGCCTTATTCAAGGGGCTTTTGCTTAGCACTAGAAACATATTTTCCTCATAAAAAGGAAAGTTTTGCAGCAACAGAAATCATTATTACTTTTAAGTGTCCACCTATAATTTTCAAACCAGAATACTTCAAAGTACATAGCTATTTGGAGTGGCCTGACATGAACCCTTTGGCCAAAATCTAAAAGGCCACACAGAGTTCTTTGCATCAAGGCCTCCTGAGCTACTCCACTTTTGTGAAAGTCACACCCTGAAGGTTAACAAATGTGGTGCAAAAGGGCTGCAGCTGGGAGGGAAATTATTTAACACCCCCCCCCGCAATGCACGAACAGAAGCATCTTAATCATGCACAGTAGGTTCTTTGAATCCTGACTTTTGATGGTAGGTTCTGTCCAATAATCTCACGTAAAGCGTCACCAGTTTTCAATTGGCTTGAAAAGGACAATTTCTGAAGTAAGGAGTGACAGGTGAAATAATACTGCACAATTTTTGCTGTGCTTGAAATTGGAATAGAAGATTAGGATAGAGATATTACCACCTGAACACTGTCTTGCAGCTTTTGTTGATCAGCCCCGTCTTGAGCCTCCCGGAACAGAAGAGACCCTGCCGGATTGAGAGGCTGGCTCCCAACACTGTAATTGCGAGGACGTTTTAATGTGTCCGGACTGGCTAGTGGTGTAAAGCTGTTCCTTCTCATCCTTACAGGGGTTTGGCTCTTGGGAAGGTTGTTCTGATTGAAAATGGAGGATATTATAAGGGGTGAGAAATCGAATCACAGAATTTTAAACCACAGTTAAAACACCACTGAATATTGTTGATGCCAGGCGCATATATATATATATATATGCCACTGATATTCATATCTCTGCTTCATATGGTGTGCTCTCCTGCGGTGAAGGAGTACGGGCACATTTCTCTCTTCCTCCAAGTGCTTCTCATAAGTGCAGGGAGAAGGCTGCCATGTTATTGTGAACTGTTGTTTTATTTTATATACATCTAGTTTTTTGTACCCTGCCTTGTTATTGCCTATGAAAACAGTATAAATATTGTAAGTAAAACATTAGCAAAATAAACCTAAATCAGGTTCATTTCTACCCAGCTGTATTTTCTTAGAGAAGAAAAGGGAAATACAAATGAATGAGTAGAGTTTTACCAGGTAGGGAATCCTTCAGTACCGCTCAGCCAGGTTAAATATTAAATGCTGCGTGCTCAAGGTCTCCGCATGCAGGATATAATTCTTGCTCACCAATCAGATGACTTCAGCTATTTTTCTTACGTAAGCTCTTTGGAAGTGTGACACTAGGGCAGCCTGATTTTCAGGGTCTACTTTTGGCTACAGCATTTCGAGTGAATATTTTGTTGCTGCAGCTAAAGCAGCACTCTGTGATGCTCAATTGAAATAGAGCTCATTCACAGCTCCCTGCAATTCCTGGTTGCAGGGCTGGGCCAACACAAGCCTTCTTGGGCTAGTCTAAGAGCTCTCAGGAAGTCACAGAAATAAGTCTTCACGAACCCTTCCTTTGCTTTAAGCCCGTGGTCTCTTTTATAGCACAGCAATGTCACGGAAGAACTGGCAAGAAGCAAAAGTTCAGCACTGTCCCTTGCACTTGAACTATAACACCTGTTCCCTTTGGGTGAATCTGTCAACATAGTGACAATGCCAGGCTGTTCAGTTTCATTCATTTATTTTCTATCTTTCATGAAGTTTCCTTGATTAGTCCTGAAATCAAGGGAGAACTCCTGTGAATACAGTAATACTTGTTCCGAATGTTCATATTGAACATACTGGCCAGGGAACTGCCTGAAGGCCCATGAAGCCACCAAAGGAAGTCTGGGTCTGTTCAGTGCTTGGATGGGTAACCACCCAGGAACCACATAAATACTGCCTTCTGTTCTACTAGCGACACAGTACTGCACACCACTTTCCTGGCTTTTGACCCTGGCTTAGAATGGGACAAAAAAAAAGAAGAAGAAGAAAAAAGAAGCCTGAAATCAAAACGAAGATGATTTAAACAAAGTCCTAAAAAATCTTGGTTCATGCTTACTTTCACCCTACTGTGGCTACACACTGAAATGTATTTTTCTGCCCTTCAGCGTTTTCATAATTGTTTTGCTTTCTGTGAGTCCCAGAAAAAACAGCAAATCTAATCATTTGAAATCTAGATGGAGTAAGAGAGGTGAGGATGGAGGGTAGGGGGTAGAAGGCCTTCCTGCAGAGCAGAGGGCATCTTGTTTCAGAGAAACACAAGAAAAAATACCTTTGTAATTCAAAAGAACATTCCGGTCATTTATTTTATTCATAGTATAGACTGAGGGAAGCTAAGTTAAAACATCCCAAAAGTGCAGTGGTTCACAGTATATTGAAGCCACCTAGTATTTTTTGGTCTTAACGATGCCCTGGGACTTATTTTCCTTGTAAAATAAAAACTGCAAACCAGCAAATTCATAGGATATATATGTCATGCTGTAATGTAGTACCAGTTGCATGCAGATTTTGCATATTCAAAGCACTTAATGCTTTTGAACTGAATGAACCATTGCTATAAGATTGCTAAGCAGTATCTATTGCATACTAGCTATTACAGAGCTGAAGGCAAAAGGCCTAACTGAATGCTTAAAAATAAATAAATCTTGAATTGTGAGTAAACCATTTTTAGCAACCTGAATTAGATCTGTTGGTACAACGGCACTAAGCTCGCAGCAATCTTATTCTTACAGTAAATTAAGCAACCAAAAAAAAGGCAAGGTTGGGTTTCAAGCTGTAATAATGTAACCTTATTTCCCCAAATAACTATATCAAATATATTGGCTGCTATTTTGGCACTTCAAGAAGAAGAGGAGTTTGGATTTGATTTCCCACTTTATCACTACCTGAAGGAGTCTCAAAGTGGCTAACATTCTCCTTTCCCTCCTCCCCCACAACAAACACTCTGTGAGGTGAGTGGGGCTGAGAGAAAGAAGTGTGACTAGCCCAAGGTCACCCAGCAGCTGCATGTGGAGGAGCGGAGATGCGAACCTGGTTCACCAGATTACGAGTCTACCGCTCTTAACCACTACAAGATTTCCCTCCACTTATGACAAACTGATATGCAAAGGTCACATTTCAGCCTTTTAATACAGTACAAGAACATACAATGTGTGTACAAGAATTTGGACTCATCCTGTACTTTGGCAACCTCTTAAAGAGGCAATAGATCACCTGTTACATGATGACTGGTGCATGGGTGAGGTGAGATTTTACTTCTTTTTCTGCTTCCTCAGATTTCCAATCAGGTTAGACAGACAGGGGAGGTAAAGGTTTTCAAGTGATTATGTCCACAGGGAGTACATTGTGACCTGGTAAATGCTTGCCTGGATTCATCTTACAGTTCGCATATCTAGATATGCAGTTCACGTATCTTGCATGCCAAGAGCAACAATACAAAGCCCAGATGTGCCTACTCAGAAGGAAACACCAGCGAGTTCAGTGGAACTTACTCCCAGGTAAGTGAGTACAGGGTTGCAGCCTGAGCTACTAAGTCTAAGGATGCATCTTTATATTTTACAACTCAACAAAATGGACCATATCTGGAATGCAGCAGTGCTTTTTTTTTACTTCCTAAACCATTAACAGTATACTTTAAAGCTCTAAAGCATTCAAACTGAAGATTAGACATTTATGTCTGAGGTTTTTAACGAAATACTATCATGATAGCCCTTTGTGCATTTTTAAAGTAATAGCCTAAAGAAATACCTTATTCATCCCTAAACAGTATTTTCAAAGCATTCAAAAAATGAGAATAGGCACACATGCACACATATATGAGAATTCTCCCACTGTAAATTTGATCCCTCAGTTCTAATCTGATAATATATTCCATGACTTATTTTGAAAAAAAACTACAAGAAGGGGATAGTATTTTCTCAGAACCGAGGGTGGGGGGAGCTGAGTGTGCCAGAAAAAGATTACCCTCCTCATGAGTAAAGCACAATAGGCTCCATCTGAAGTGGACTAGGAGCTTCCCATTGATTTCCAAGTGTTTTGTACCCATAGCCCAATGAAACCAAAGTACTTGGGCCTAAGTTGTAAAAAGTTAATGAGATTTGACAGCTCAAATCTAGGTACATCAAGTTAACAGTCGTGGGTCAAACTTTCAGTTCAGCAACAAACAAAACAGAATACACAGGAAAGGTCTGGCATATATTTTACATACTGTTGTGGGTGGCTTGTCCCGGTGTGTGTCCACAGCTTCCACATTCAGGGAAATCATTTCCAATTTACAGCCTTCATAAATGTGAAAAGGGAATACACTTAAAATCATGCATTACTACATTATTAGACAAGGGGGGGGGGGGAGTTACAATAAACACAGAGGAAAAAAATCTTGAAGTGTTAATTTTAACTCCAAAACTGAAATGCAAAGATGCTTCTGAGGAAGAGACGGGGCCTCCACTGTATGCACCCAAGTTTCCTCAACATTCGGTCTGGATTGTTTCTTATTTGGGCAAAGAATTCAACAACACAGGACAGGTTATAGGTGCAATCCAATTGGTGCTTCCTGTTCTTTTGCTAGAAGAAGGGGCGTTTTTTGACCATTCTTGCTTCTTTCTCTCTGCAGATCCTTCCATGCTACCTTCCACCTGCTCCAGATGGTCCTCCAACACTCTGGAGCTGATTTTGGGGGCTGCTGGGAGCTGTAGGAGGGAACTTCCTATTCTGTTAGTACAGTCATACCTTGGTTGTCGAACGGAATCTGTTCCGGAAGTCCGTTCGATTTCCGAAAATGTTCAACAACCAAGGCATGGCTTCCGATTGGCCACAGGAGCTTCCTGCACTCAATCGGAAGCTGCGGAAGCCGCATCGGACGTTCAGGTTCCAAAGAATGTTCACAAACTGGAACACTCACTTCTGGGTTTGCCAAAACGTTCGACTCACAAGGCGTTCGGGATCCCAGGTACGACTGTATGTGTGTCTGCTATGGCAAAGGCACTTCTGCAGATAAAAGGGCACCAGCTGAACACAACCCTATCAGTCCCTCAATTTACAGGAAGTGGGGGGGGGGGAGATGATTCAGGGTGGTGAAATGACTTTCTGCTAGCTCTGTGAAACAGTTGCAATCTGAACCCTTGTCTCAAGTTAACATTCTAAGCACTAGTAAGCACTAGAATCATTGCTTCCTCTCTCCCTGCCCACGTTAATAAACCAACAAATACTTACCATAAGCAACTGGTGTGAGTTTAAGGATGGTATGCAGAGGGCACCTCAGGTAGGGCAGTTCATCTATAAGAATACAAGTGGAATCACAGAGTTGGAAGGGACCCTGAGGAGCATCTAGTCAAACCCCTTTCAATGCAGGAATCTCAACGAAAATAAGAATTAAAAACTACCAAGCATGGTCCAAAATGTACTTTATGCAACTCTCCTTGTTGCCTCAACTCAGAAGGAACTTTGTGGTAAATGTGTGAATGTACCTACAGCCTCTTGACAGTAATGCTCGGAGAATGTAGTAAATGCTAGATGTGCAAAAGCCAATTAGCAAGAGATAATTTCTATCAGTCTGTGCAATTATATCCAGTATAAATCACTCACAAAGTGGTTTACAAGAAGTAAGATCCTACACTTGTCTACTCAGTAATAAGTCCCATTTGGATAACTCCTAGGTGAAGTGTGTGTATGGAACTGTAGCCAAAGCATTTTTTAAAATAAAAGCATACAGTCATAATGAGAATGAAAATTAAGAACAATGAAATAGGATAATAGGCATAGAGGAGTTGTTAATGTTGGAACTGCAGTGAGGAGTATGAGCTTCGGAAGTCATGATAAATCTGGTTCCCATGCACTGAAGCCCTGAAGAAAATATTGCGTTTGGGTGATTTGCATCAGAAAGTTTTTAATAGTGATGTGGTTCCTGATAATGCATTTAGGTCATGTGCAGTTTGGCCCCGTGTTGTTCCAGATAACAACGTGCTTTGTAATAGTAAAGATGTACAAAAAACAGCTCTGCTCCTTACCCGCACTCTTATCAAGGAAATAGGCCAGTAAGCATCTCATAACTGCTTGATGAGAAATAACTAGAACATTGCCCTGGCGCTCTAGCTCCATAATCACAGGTTCCAAGCGCTGGACCAAATCTTGGTAAGACTAGGAAACAAAAACAAATATTTACCAGAAACAAAAGGCACTCACCTGATTTTACAACCTCACAAGTTTCAAAGCGATCAGAAATATATATATTAAAAAAAACCAGCAGTGGAATTCAATGTGGTACTAAGGAGAAATGCTTGCACTAATGGAACTAATGGAACAATCTCACCTCTGCTCCCCTATATACTGTTCTTGGGGTTCTTCTTACCCCCCAGTGCAGATCTGGGGGAAGTGCAGGGTCACCATGGGGGGGGGGGACAGAGAGAGGGAGGAAGCCCTGTTACACTAGCTGAAGTCCTTGTTCCGGCTTTTGCTACCGGAACTGGGTGGTTGAATCTGCCCCCAGCTGAGTTTGTTACAATTAGTTAGTTAGTTAGTTAGTTAATTAATTAATCAATCACCACCATCTATTAAGGCTTATTTTCTGACTCTTCCTTTAGAAACAACAAATGCCTTAAGTGAACCCTTGTGATAATTCTAAGTTATGACAGAATCACCCAAAGTTAGAAGTAATTACTATTTTAAAGATCAGCAGGTTTTCTTCCAAGTTATGAGAATAATCATAATGCCTGAAATCTATCTGACCATACTTAAGTAGAGCTTAAGAGTATGCCTTAATTTTTTTTAAAAAAACAACACTTAAATTTCACCCAAAAAAGTCACAATTTTGATGATGTGGAAGGAGGCTACCTAGGGAAGTCACAATGAATTCAGATATTCACATTACAAAATTGAGATCTAATAATGGGCCAGACAATATGATAAACTATTATGGAAACAAGCTGCAGTGACCATCAGGCTCCCAGGCTCCCCTCTCTCTCTTCATCAGCACAGCTTCAAGGAGGATTGGGGCAACTGGCTAAAATGTTTTAAATGGTTCTAATTTTTGTTCCTCTGTTTCATTTTTGTTGGGTTGGGGTTGGTTGTTACTTTAATTAGGGTATAATTGTAAACTGTTTATTATTACTGTATTGTTATTATTATTATTGGTTTTGATTTATTGGTTTGTTTGTTGCATGTATAGGATATCTTGTTTTTTTAATGTTTGGCGTTTTGTTGTGTTTTATATGCTGTAAACTGCCCAGAGTGGCTGGGGAAACCCAGCCAGATGGGCGGGATAGAAATTATTATTATTATTATTATTAGTAGTAGTAGTAGTAGTAGTAGTATCCCTACTGTAACCACGGTTTGCATTTGGCTTGGTTCAAAGAATGTACAGTAAAGATTACCCACATTTTGCTAGAGTGGACTAAACAACAATAAGCAGTTAATCAAAAACAAAAGCAAGCTTCTGATCTCTTCTTTACTACTGTTCTGAAAGAGAGGTGAAGAGGAGCTCACTTTGATTTGTTCCCATTATGAGATACAATGGTTTGTCTTAGCTTCTGAATCAGCTCAGTAAGAGTCCCTGCTGTAGTTTCCTGTTTTACTGTATTTTGCAGTTGTATTAGCAGTTTTATCATTGATCACCGCCTATCCCTTCAAAACTATAAAGTCAAAAGCAGTAATATTTTATTAATTGATGATCAAAGCTCCATACCTCTCCTCCAGGGTAGCGATAAAGGTATTTATCTTGATCCCGAAGTGCAAATTCTTCTGGATACTTCCTCTGAATTCCTTCATAGGTCATTTCTTCACATACTCCCTAGCAAAATAGGAATTAATTCCAGAAGATAAAAAGAAAAGCTATCTGCATTCAGAAATTCCCCTTTTTAACATATGTGACACCAGTTTGCATTCACTTACAAAAGAGTGAAAATAATTTCAGTGGATTATAGAAGGTTTTATCTCAAAACATGGAGGTTCCATAATTTTGATGACATTGAGATTGTAATCTCATGCCCACTAATTTAGGAGTAAACACTACTGAGTATGCCAGAACTTCCTTTGATTTAAATGTTTGTCTGTTACGTTTTAACTGCACCCTTCCTCCTATCAGAGCTCAGGACATCATGCACCAAAATGAGTAACATCCAAAAATGCAGAACATTTCATGAATTTGTGTGTCAACCTTTCACAAGACTGAGCTTCAAACTTTTGAAATTTAGACTAATTATACTTTTTGAAAAATTTGGCTTACTTGTAATTTCTTGAAGTAAGTAAGTAAAGTTTTATTTAGATTATTATCCTTACATCAAAACAAATCACTTGCAACACCCACCACCATCTTCGCCACCAGTGTGTGGCCTTTCTGTAATTTTACTCACAGCATCAATCTCGTTCAATATCTTCCACTGCTCATATGGGACTCCCAGGGCCTCTGCTGTCTGGATAGTTCTTTTCAATTGGCTAGTCCAAACCTTCAGATCCACAATCTCCTGCTCCTTGATGAACTTTTTCAATGCTTGTGCAAACTAGGATACAATACAATACAATTGAGATGCCTAAGCAGTTTTTAGCTTGTTGTCCTGGGGAAAGATTCCTCTTCTTTTATTAAGAATATGAGAATACCAATCGAAGTCTGATGCTGCTCACAGTGCTAGGGCAGGTAGCTACAAGGGCATGCAGAATCAAGACAGATGATGGGAGTCCTTGGAAAAGCACACTTTCCCAAAAGTATGTAAAAACACAGTTTGGTACAGAATTTGCCATATTTTTTTATATAGGAGTAGAGCCAACCTTAATTTCATGCAGCCCACAAGAATGGGATTCCACAAAAACAAAGAGAGATTTGCAGTGCAGCAAACTCCACCAGCTTTGGTTGTGGTTTTTGTCTACCACTGGATGTGACAACCAACTGACTTTTCCTATGGGCTATTGACTTTTCATACGAAAAGATTTCCTCACTCCTGTTCTAGAAAGAATGTATCTGTGAAGACAAGTAAAAGTATACTTTTGACTTAAGTTTAGGAACCTATCCAATATGAACGATCACACACAACTCTATAAAATTAATTGAAGAACGAGGCTTTCGACTTACAAAAAAAATGATTAAATCGATACACAAGCAATACAGTCGTAACTTGGATCCCGAATGCCCTGGAACTTGGACGTTTTGGCTCCCAAGCGCCGCAAATCCAGAAATGATTGTTCTGGTTTGCAAACGTTCTCTTGGAACCTGAACGGCCGACAGGGCTTCCAAGGCTTCTGATTGGCTGCAGGAGCTTCCTGCAGCCAATCAGAAGCCGTGATTTGTAAGTCGAATGGACTTCCGGAATGAATTCCATTCAACTTCCAAGGTACGACTGTAGTTGTGTAACTTTCAGATATGTAGAAGTTATACGTGTTTTATCTCTTTTTAGCTACTGTTGATTTTAACCATCATCTGCATGTTTTTAAATAATGAAGAAAACTGCTTTGAGGTTTCAAATAAATGAATGAAACATCTGTAGGTGTTTTCTCAGAAAGCCATTTAATAAACGGAACAATTTTACCAGCCGGAACCCTAGCAGGGTGATAAATTTAGGATTATGATTCTTTTCTTTGCAATTATTGGCTGCATTGGCACATCATGGTGCACCGTAAACCATGGCTTAACATGCACGAGCAAACTGCACCTTGTCCCCACTAACAGTAGGAGGAAACAAATCAAAATCCCTGGGCTAAGAGTTATGCCCAAAATGAAGGATTGATATTTGTCTCACTCCCAAACTACAACCCTTGGTTTGAATGAATTGTATGAAGGGATCCTTGTTTGATTCCTCCTGGTGCAAGGAAGGAGCATTCACGTTGAACCATTAAGTATGGCTTGCTGTGACTTGTGACTATGCTTAGCACAAATGAAGGTGAATTTTGGCAGAAAATCTGACCCTCAACTTAGCTCTTAAAATGCCAATACAGAGAGCAACAAAACTTATGCGTAGACCATACCTGCTTCCCCCGCGCTGACAGGCCTGAATCCCCACCAATCTTGCTAACCAGGTTGCACTCACTCTCACCATGTCTACAGAGATAGATGGTGCGTGGCTGAACATGGATATTCATAAGGTAATAGACAATTTTACTTTGGATGTAATCTTGGACTCTGTTGACAAGGAAGCGCTGCCCTACGTTGATCACTTTAATGAAAGAACGGTCTCTGGAATTCAGAAAACACCAGAAACATTATCAATATAATAATTCAATACAGTGGTGCCTCACAAGACGAAATTAATCCCTTCCGCGCGTGTCTTCGTCTAGCGGTTTTTTCATCTTGCGAAGCAACCCTATTAGCGGCTTAGCGGATTAGCGCTATTAGCGGTTTAGCAGCTATTAAAGGCTTATCGGCTTATCGGATTAGCTGCTAAAAAAAAAAGGCTATTAAAGCCCATAGGGAAATTCGTCCTGTGAAGCAATCAAAAACGGAAAACCCTTTCGTCTAGCGGGTTTTCCGTCTTGCGAGGCATTCGTCTTGCGGGGCACCACTGTACGTATTTTCTTCCATATGTACATGTTTCACAACCCATAAGTGAATGTATACATATTAAGTGCTGCATGTAAAGTTGGATCACTGAACTCATTTACAACAGCATATCCACCGGGATCACAAACTGCTGCATAAATACAGGATACAGTGTGGCGTGAATTCCCATCAGCTGGGTTTGGAATTGGCTCAGAATTTATAAGCTTCATCAGAGATCTGCCAGGGCCTTAAAAATAATTTTGGGAGGCTTTTGTATAACATAGCCCAGCCTGAACCAAGAAATAGGGCTGGCGATGAAAAATACATAAATATGCATAGGGCAGTTGAAAACTCACTGCTCAGCTCAGAAATGATTTTCTGCATATGTGCAGAGAAATACCTACAGGAAATGATGTCGATTATGAGCTGGATAAATTCATTTTCCAAACCAGGTAATTATGAACTTTGGCAACACTGACACTTACAGTAGCGACAGTGCAACTCTGTGAGCCAAACCAGACATGTTTGTGCTAAGGTGATGAATGCTTAGTCTCTTAAGAGTACAGAACAACAAGGAAAAAACCACCTTTCTTTTCTTTACAAAGTGTTTCCAGTTATCAGTGATGGAGAACTTCAAACATGCAAGGATAGTGCTTAAAATTCTAAGCAGAGAGGAATATTAGAACATTCCCAGGACGCAAGAATGGATATAAGTATAAGAGATTGCTGTTTCTGCTACTATGAAGAGTGTTTTCGCATGTTCTAAACAAGTGTGGGGGAAAAGGAAGTCAACTCATTTGAACTTCCTCTCCCCTTGTTGGTTTAGAACATATGAATTTCTAATATCTCGTACAATATCCTTGTGGAAATGCTGAATTGTCACCACATGTAGTTCTCTTCTTGGCTTCATTTCCACCCCAAACACATACAACAACTTGAAAATCTCCCGACTCCTTTGTCCTGCCTCTTACTTGTCATAATTAACTGGATCAAGAGGCTGATAGGTGACTTTATAGCATTCTATTCGCTTTAGGAAATCATCCATCACATTCTCTCGGTTTCTTTCTGGGTAGTCAGGGCTGGAAACCTTCACTTCCTGATCAACAAAGAAAGTTGTTTCAAAAGTTAAGCAAACTTTATACATAAAAAGAAAAGAAAAAGCACTAGTGAAACAAGTGTCTGACTGGCTGCTCCTGAAGCAGCGTGGCTCCAACACACATGATCCCTAAGCTTCCAAACAAAAAGATACTGTTTAAATGTCTGTCTCATCCTGGCACAGAAACAAAGGACAATACTAAATGAATAGTGCATTATTTGCTTTGGGAATAGATAGACTGGGCTGCCCTTTCTATTACCTTTCAATGCATGCTGTTTGCAAGCTTGTGCCAAAAATATGTTCCAAGGTCAATAATCTGATGACTTAATTTTAGCTTCCAAAGTCTTACATAACTTACGTAAATACATCCATTAGCCTTAAGTTACCATACCTAAACCAACACTATTTTCTTCAAGCTCTGCATATAAGGAAGTAGCCATTGCCAAAAGCTATTACTTACACTCCCCACCCACCCCATTGGAGTAAAATTATGGAGGGGGGAAGTATATGATACATATAAACTTGATAAAATTACTTTTGAAATAGAAATAAGCAAACCCAATGATCACTGAGATGTTCTGGATTTATTTACTCACAAAGCTCGGAAATTATTTAAAAAGTGTCTTTTATGGGGTCAAACCACCGTTCCACTGATCTCTAAGGCCAGGCCAAAAATCCCTCCTCTACATTTGCAGGGCCATTTCTCCCAGCTGGGTTTACTTCAGATATTGCAGCCTGGCTGGGGGAAAAATAACCTCATGTGGGGAAATAACCTCAAGTGTTGAACCCCCTTTTCCAGGTGAGGGAAAGGGGTTTCAACATTCTACAACTGCAGATAGCTTTTGTCATTAAAATCACATGCCATTTGAAAATTGGACTGATGAATCTGTAAAGACACACATTATCTTGCGTAACCTGGCATCTAAGCATGACACTAAAATGCAGGTGTGCTGCTAGCAGGAAGTCTAACTGCAGTGCTGATAGCCAATTTACATGGTTACTCTGGCAAAGACCAGGGTCACCCCATTGTAACAAGTGTACTACGTAACATGTGAAGGGCAATATGTGACCATAAACATATGCAGACACATACCAGGGAACTCCAGCCACAGTATAGAGTGGCCCTTTGAGAACTTGAAACAAGAGTCTTGGAACAGATAGTGTTGGCAACAGCACTGTCTAATACTGCAATATAAAAAACAAAACCACTGAATGACCTTGGACAGCTCTCATCAGGGCTGGCCCAAGACATTTTGGCACCTGAGGTGAACCACAAAATGGCATCCCCCTCCCCACCAGGGAAGAAGAAGGGAGAAAATGTAAAGATCTACATCGAGATCTACTGTCCCTATGGATTCTGCCACCTGAGATGGTAGCCTTGCTTTACCTCATGGATGAGCCAGCCCCAGCTCTCATCGAGAACTAAGAACTAAGCTCTTCAGTATGTGCCATTATTTTGTTTGATATTTTTCAAGTGGTGTTCAAACTGGACTGAATCCAGAGTCAACCCTCAAGACCAGATTTCCAGGGAGATGCAGGGGGAAGGAGGAACCCATGAAAATTGCTGCCTACACCCTTTTCCCTGGCAGAAGCATTCCCCTGAACAGAGTTCCTCTCACAGGAAGTCTACATCCAATCTGTAGTATGCCTTTTCTTTGATGAATATCCACACAACACTGGCAAACCAGAAGGAAGAACAAATGATGAATGAAATGTGGAGCTGATCTAAAACATCACAAAATGGTGGTCTTTCTCTAGCAACACCGAACTAATGCCAGTTAAGTATTCTGTAACAAAGAAAATCTAAGTAGGCCAACCTCTGGAATATGTCAAATACTCACCAATATATTGGCAGCAATGACCTCTGGATCATCACAGACAGACTCCACAAAAAACACCTGCAAAAGGGTTGGGGGTTGGAGGAGGAAAGATGCTTATTAAATTGCAGGTCCTCTACAGGCTGCAGCCACCTCAGCCTAATTTCAAAAGGCCTTGGTATGCAATTAGTTCACACCGCCCACTGGAATTCTCTGCCACCAGTAGTCAGATCACTGGGTAGAGAGGAAGGTTGGGGAGAGAAAAGGGAGGGTCAGAAAGAGAGGCAGAAAAGAAGGTAGCAGAAGAGGAGAGGCAGAGGGAGGAAGTGAAATAAACAATGAAAGAGAGAAGGAAAGAGAAATGGGGTGGTCCAGCCACTTTTGCTCTGGCTTTGCTTGATATGGGCTCACCACCTGAATGGGTTTTTACTTTCATTTAGATTTTGTATCTACAGCTGTCATCAGGCCCCTAAAATTTCTACTTCAGTAATAATAATTTAATAATCAGTAAGTCCTAATTTAGCAATTTAGATAATTCCTTCCCAATTAAAAAGAATCCAAAATGAGAGGTAACCTGCTCTGAGAACTTATTATACACCCCCCACCCGCACCCACCCCTGCTCTAGCACACAATGATAGACAAGCTCATTTTTTACTTTGAACTGGGAACAAGCTTGTAATGAAGTCATCACCTTAAAAGAATTTTCTTTAGCAAAGGTCAAAATCATGTCCCGCCTCTCCCGAGTTGTGTTAGTTGCATCAAAGACCTTAAAGAGATAGACAAATGTGCCCATCAAACTTAGGTATCCACGGAACATTAGAAGAATAGGCAGATAACATACAAACACACACATGCCTAGACAGCTTTAAATCTCAGCTAAACATTTAATAATGGATTGAATTCAAGTCCGTCTCATAACAAAATCTCAAAGAACTCTACTGGACTCCACACCTTATTATTTTTAAATAGATAAGCTGGCAGAATCTCACTGCACATATGAAGCAGAACTTCCAGGTCTTAATTACAACTCAAACCACATACTAAAATCTTTATTACATTTTAATCTGCTGCCTCTCCGAGAGCCTAGAGTGACACAACAAATATAAACAGAGATAAAAACTCAAACTTAGGATAGATTGACATGGGGTAGGGACCCTGCTACCCAAGTAAATGAGATTGGCGGGGACAAACGAGGAAGTTTTTTCCGGCTGTGGCTCCAATCTTTGGAACTTCTCACCTTTTGACACCTACAAGTCCAACACATGCCAATCTTTTCAGAAAGCAGTATTTGGAGACAGCCTTAATTATGTATTCAAACATTTGTTTACTGCCCTTCATTAAATTTGATGCTACGATGATTCACAACAATAAAGCAATGAACATGTTGACACTGACCACAAATAAAAGCAGCGGATAAAATATCAGAAACTGTGCTTAAAAGGCCTGGGGGAGTAAAAACATTTTGCCTGGTACCTAAAAGATTATGTTGGGGTTGGACAAGTCCCTATGGAGAGGGAAGTTCCATAACTAGGGCAGTCTAGCCAAGAAAAGTCCTCTCTGTAGTTGATACCAACTTCACTTCAATTTATCTCAGTTTCTGATGGGAGAGGTACTCAGAGAAGGGCATTAGCAGATGATCTTGGAGTCCAAGCAAGAACATCAGGAAGAACTTTCTGACAGTAAGAGCTGTTCGACAGTGGAATGGACTCCCATGAGAGGTGGCGGATTTTCTTTCCTTGGAGGTTTTTAAGCAGAGGTTGGATGGCAATCTCTCATGTATGATCTAGCTGAGATTCCTGCATTGCAGGGGATTAGACTAAATGACCCTTGGGATCCCTTCCAACTCTACAATTCTATGATTCTATGTGTCTAAGAGCTTTTTCTTTCTTCTTCTTTTGCCCCGACACTTTCCCCATGAAAACCCACTCTTTACTGCTGAAAACAGTTCCACAGAAAAACTGGATTGCTGTTTGTTCCAATTCACTGCTAAAGAGCGGGTTTTCCTGGAGAGAAAGCCATGAGAAATTACATCCTGTTATTAGATACGAGTAGATGTATTCTGGGCTTGTGCCATAAACTCTAATTCATTTAGGGCCCACCTTGAGATCTTGGACACGCCATTAGCCCAGACATACATTGTGAGGCCAATTCTTAATTTCCCCTGTGATGGGAAGTGGTGCTCTTGTGTCTCGGTCCCGCCTGTAGTGGGTCCCAAACCACCAGCTGAAGGCCAATAATCTTGTGTGCACTTACAGCTATCTGGCCAGACTCCTCCATGAGATAAACTTTCACATCTTCAAGAGCCACCAAGGCACATTGTCTGCAAGATAATCAACATCATCATCATCATCGAGTAGGATGGTTTAAACCAAAGACGACATCAAACCAAACTACAGTGGTACCTCTAGTTACGAACTTAATTCGTTCTGGAGGTCAGTTCTTAACCTGAAACTGTTCTTAACTACAGGTGTGCTTTCACTAATGGGGCCTCTTGCTGCTGCTGTGCTGCCAGCACATGATTTCCTTTCTCATCCTGGGGCAAAGTTCTCAACTCAAAGTAACTCTTCCAGGTTAGTGGAGTTTGTAACCTGAGGTGTTTGTAACTCGAGGTACTACTGTACTGGATGCAGTGAGTCAGTGGAATATGTTATACAGCAATAGCCTTCTCCCTGTTTATTTTATAGTGCAACCCACTGAATCAGATATGGGGGTGGCGAAATGGGATGGGCTGCCCCTGGTACAGTAGGATAGTTTCTTCACATGCCCCCCTCTACCCTACTATTCCGCCCTTCCTTTTATTTATTTCTATCCCATGGGGATAACTTACTAAAAGTTGAATGATATCTTGGCTTTTCTATCTTCAAAGGTTTAAAAATAACATCTCCCTGTGTTTTGAGGTTAATTTTAGTGAATTCCAAAACTAGCAACATAAATACTGAATTATGATTATCTGTTATTATTTAACAGTCACCAATATTTTGAGAGATGCTGGCATTAACTTACTTTCGAATCCTCATGGCTTCTTCATTATCATGCCTGAAGAAATCATATGACTTGTACGATTGTACTGCTTCACGGCGGTAGACTCCTAAGTTAAATACTTCACAAAACGGAAATTCAGTTGTCAACATTCCATAATAAATAGTGTTACAGTACTAATAGCAGATGGAAATCTGGTATCTAAATGCCAGTCATCAAAATACCACTATTCAATCAGATTTTACCTTCACTCCCCTCCTCATGGGCCTCACTTAAAAAAGGAGATTAAGAAATTAAAAACATGGCATCAATGCATCCTTTTGTGATCTAAGTACAAATATTGCTGTACTACATGAATACCTATAAATGGTTATTTCCATTTTCCAAATGGGAAAACTGAATCACAAACACTATGCTTATAGAGGCCCACCAACTTGTTTGGGATTCTCAATCACCTAAAGACTCTGGGGATCGCAATAAGAAACTTTTTTCAAAAAATAGAGCCGAAATTAGACTTCTAAAGTACCACTGAAACATATTTCTTTTCCTTGTACTGACACTGCCAAAAAGTAGAATACTGTGATACCATTGTTATTTAGCACTTGTTCAGAACAACTTTTCAATTATAGGAAGAAATAAAAAGATAACCACATCTAGGCATAATCAACCAGGACTGGATTAATGCAAGCTTCTAACTACCAGCTTTCCCAGCCACTCGCAGCTGATCAGAAACTATTTATTGTTTTAACTGCGTAATAACTATTATATCTCATGCATAGAAATATAAAAAACCTTTTGTAGGCACTCCAATCCAGTTGAGGTAGCGAGTTAATTTCTTGGACACATAGGTCTTGCCTCTTGCAGGGAGGCCAATCATTACAATCAGAGTAGGGGAATTGGTCATATAAGAGGCCCATGCTGCAAAGAAAGCAAAGACAGAATAGGTGACTTCTACAAGACTGAAAAAGAAAAATGCTAGCAATAAGCCAAAGTAATGACGGCTTCCCACAACTCCTTCTGCCCATACATCTGCCATAGACAAGGACACCGTGTTCTGCTCCCATAATCAATCAGCGGACTATGGCATGGTTGTATCAGGTGTTTGCTAACGAAGAAGGCTAACCAAGCAAAAAATAGCCACTGACTATGTGCCTCAAACTGAGTGTGTCACTCAGTTAAAAATATTTTCCAATTAAGCTGTGGGCTTTTCAAGGTTAACAGAAAAATGTCACGATCCCTCTTGAGAACACCAATGGAGCCAGCTTCCTTTCTGAACATGATGAATATAGATCTGAAAAAAAATTAAACTAGTCTTTTATTTGCTTTTTGTCTAAGATGCCGAATTTTCTAACATTCATGCTGCCCTCAAATGAACAGGAGCTGCGTATGATGCTTATCAAGAAATATATTATTTTTCTTCAGTGAAAGAATAGTCTGCAGTTCATGGTAGATACGTGTACATGATTTGTATTCGGTACAGCAATGATCAAAAGCCTAACAAAACAGATGTCTGTGGAACCTGCAGACAAACCTTCCCAACATGATACTCTCTAGATGTCATTATTTTTAAATGCAAACTAAATAGAATTTCTCCCCATTTATAGCCCCAGCTTATGGAAGGACTAGTTTGGGGGTGGCTGCTGTAGCTACTACTCCAAGAAATCCTGGCTCCATTTCAGTCAACACCAATGTTCTCAATTATTGTAGTGGATCCAGGATTAAATTGCATAACTGAACATTTTACCAGTGTGTGGCCATATCCATCTCTGACAGATTCATATGAGAGAAACCTGAAGCTACTTCATTACTGGCTTGCCTGGATCTCTTGAAATAAGGTGGAACCCCTAAGCCTACCAATTTTACTAATGAGATAAATTCTCCTCTCAAATGTAATCTGGCAATAACCTAAACAAAATTTCTTTTTTATCCCAAGGTTAAAGGAAGTAGATTGTAACATAAAAATGGGTACAACCCATTCTGCAAGCCGGGCTGAAATAGATGGAAGTTGCAGATGAAGAAATCTCTATTTTTATGCAACTTGCTTTGTTTTTAGTGGGGCATCAGCAAAAGAAGTTCACTGGGTCTAGTGTCAAAAATAAGGAGACATGTAAAGATGAGCTAGGTCTGTCTGAGAGAAAGAACAATTTTAATAGCTTATCTCTACAAGAGTTAAATCACATTTTAGCTTCGGTGTGACAGTCCTGAAAGTACAAAACCGCAGACAACAATAATTTTCCAGATCAAAATTTTGTGTTGAAGGAATTGGGCAACTTATGCTGAAAAAGCAGCCCGGCTTCCTCAAGCTTGGCCCTCCAGATGTTTTTGGCCTACAACTCCCATGATCCCTAGCTAGCAGGACCAGTGGTCAGGGATGATGGGAATTGTAGTCTCAAAACATTAGGAGGGCTGAGTTTGAGGAAGCCTGCTCTACACTGATTGTCTGCTCAAACTGTCAGTCTACCATGACTAAACCCTACTATGGGTCTGTCTGGCCTTAATTTTCAAAGAATAGCGTTGTGAGTTGGGTGTCTGTGTGTCAGTCTGGATTATATCCTTGGATTCCTTCCAGACCTGTGAGCCTGTATCCAGTGAGGGTTACAATCTAGGAGGCGCTGCTGAACAGGTCAGACAAAATTTCTATGTAAGATAATGGCTTTAGCTGGCCACTTAAGTACTCTCACTGGCATGTCAAAGAGAATGAACTAGACTGCAATAGCTACAACTAAGTGATGGTGCTGTCCAGGGATGGAGGGTTGGCATTCTCTCCACTCCCCTCATCTGACTAGATGCCACTGTCATCATGAAGAACAGTAGCATGGTATGAGTGCTGTGTGTGTGTGTTTAGCTGGTGCTGGAAGCTAGACGTATCTGTTCTGTCCTGGATCTGAAGCTGAATTTTGGGCTTCCCTGGAAGCCTAATGGAGAAGCAAGATATGATGCGGTGTTAATGCTATATGAGCCCCTCCATATTGTATATAAGTGTAAATAAAACCATGTATCCTAAAGGCACCACAGTCTGCTGACCTTCATTCCAAGGAAATGAAGCCTTGAGTAACGTGCAGGCACCCCCACAGTCTCTTGCTACTCAGAGATTAGGCTGGTGCACTACAGTAGTATAGGATTCAACCAATAAAGTAAGTCAGTGCCATTACAAAAAATTGAGGGATAGGGTTCAAGAAAGAGTCCAAAAATTTAAATTAAAAAAAAAAAGTCATGTCAGCAAAAACAAATTGTATGCAGGCTACTGTACTAGAACAATGCAACAAACCTAGCTATTACAGGCAGTGCTTTTTTCCTTTAAATATGTTTAGGAGTACTCTCAATTTTGACTCAAGAAAATCACCATTTTATAGTTCAAATAGGGAAAAATAAAAACAGTAAATGAACAAAAGTACAAAGATTCACAAAATGTTTAGGGTATACGTCCCCCCAGAAAAAAGCACTGATTACAGGAATACTGCAGGGACTACAGTCATACAGCCAGAGAGAAATATTTTGGAATAGGGTGCAGACAAGCAATTTCCTGGTGGTAGAGAGAGACTGGCAGTTGCATGTATATTTTCTGTAATCACAAGACTGCAAGAAGCCCTACCAGCGTAGAAGGAACTGAATGTAAGTTACCCTACTGACCTACTGGACTTCACATTCATTTACTTATTCACCCTCTTCCCAGAGGATCTAAAACAAATAATGAGTTCTAAGAATATAGGTTAAAGGATCCTGGTACTGAGGTTGTTTATTCTTCATTAGCAAACTATCTCATGACTCTGTGACAGTTGTAGGAAGTCTCCTAGAAACTAGGGTCCTACAGCATACAACTAACCCTTTGGCAGACATTCTAAAAGTATACAGCTATTCAAAGTGGGGGAAGTGGTAGTAGTTTAGTCACTTTAACAGAAATGACACAAGTAGCCGTGGGCCAGGCTGACAGTAATTTATATAAAATTAATCCCATTATCAATTCCTTTAAAGTATTTCTATTCCAATTTTATTTTTATTCTGCCTTTCACAGAACTTCACATATCAAATTAACATGGTTCTCCCTCTTCTCTTTCCAGAGCTTTTTTTCTCCTCAGAACAACCCCTGTGAAACAGGTGAGGCTAAAAGAAAGCTTGCCGCTATATATAATTTAGCTTGGTCTCATAACATCAAGGGTTGTGCCCCGGGGAATAATTCATCCCTATATTTAGCACTGTGATAAATTTGAAACTTGGAGCACACCCACCCACACCCACACACCACTTTTGTTTCAGTATTTATATATGTGCTGCCCAGCAAAGCAAAGCATCACAAATACTCACAGCACTTTTTCTCCGAGAATCGCTGATTTGAAGGTTTGTTTTCTTGGTTGCAACCGTTGCTGTTTACCTGCTCTGGTACTGGAGCTGCATCCCCTGACATTGCTACAAGGCACACACTTCCTCACTTTTGATCGCCAGCCTTCTTCTGGAAAACCAAAGGAGTATTATGAAATGCTCAGCTCTCTGGCAGTAAAAGAATAACACGCACAAACAGCAATCTGACCCTGATGTTCCTTCCAAGAGGGACTAAAGTGGGGCAGGGAAAAGCGGAAGCTACATTGAAGTTGCTAATCAAGGTCAAGAGATACTCATCGTACTATTTTCAAAGATGGCACAAACCCCATAAAGAAGGAAAGTAGGAAAAGGTCTCATTCTCCCCGAAGAGACCATTACTACCAGGAAATGGGTATTTGCACCATATATAATCCTTAGCATCCTTCATTTGACAATTACATCATCATCTTTCTCTTTCTCTCTTTTTTGCAGAATTCCAATTGCTAAAGACCTTTCTAGGCTAGAGGGCATTACAGTGATCAGCCCAAAGCCAGCAGTAACACACACCGGTGATCCCAGACATGTAGCCGCGAATAACTGTTGACGAGGATTTATATCTGGAGTTAGAGCCCTCCTGTCAGTTCAGCAGCTGGAGCCTCAAAATCTCTTGCTCAAGCTCAAAGAGCCTTTCCTCCCGCCGGGCCCAACACACCTGCAGAATTTAGCACGCCGTCGCTGGAGACAGCAAGTCCAGCGTCTTGAGCACAGAACGGGAGCCGGTCCGGCAGCTCCAAAGCAGAAATGCAGATTGAGAAAGAGCCCGCCCCCCCTCCTGCCTGCCCCCAAAGGCCAGTGAAGCCAGGGCACTGCAGTGCATCCGAAACCTCAGCAGCAGGTATCCAGGTGCATCCTATTTTACCTTCCAGACGCCGAGAGGGAAAAGGAGGCCGGCTCTGCGAAGATGCGGAAATGAAAACGGCCAACCGGCAGCGCCGGCTACGAGGTGCGAATTCAGTAAGTGACGCAAAGAAACGCAGAAAGAGGGAAACGGGAAAAAACAGTGGCAAAAGGAGGGTTAGCGTACACTTGCGTATGATCACAAGGGTATTGCTCAAGGGTGGTGGTGTAGTTAACGATGTGCATGAAATTACATAAGCCCTGTACATCCATCTTATTTCTTGGGTGTTGCAGTGCTACCGTCGCACTCAATGCGTTCACACGTTCGCGGACTGAGTTTGAAAAGCAACCCGTCCACGACACGTAACCGCGGGCAGGAAACTTATCCAGAGGACTGGTGGCACTTATAATGGGCCAAATGTAATGCAGCAAACGGTTCGGGACCCACGCCGCAAACGCATGTGCAAAGAGGCTCCGCGTAGCAGCGGCTCCTGTTACAAAACAATGTGGGGGAAAGGGAGCGCAGAAAGCCGCCGCCACCGCGACGAGGCATCTTAAGCCTCCGGGCTCAGAGCCTCCTCCACCGCGCATGCGCGTGGAAGGAATGGCGTGGGAGTCGCCTAAGCCGGATGTTTTCAAGCGATCTTTGGCTGGGAGCTCGCCCCCGAATCTGATTGGTTGCCCCGGTGCCGTGCACGTTGGTTCGATGGGGGAAAGGGACCAATAGGAAGTCTGAGGAAGGAGGCGCGAGCGCTGCCGGTAGCCGCCGCCATTTTGCTGTTGGGGGGCTCTGAAACCCGGCAGCCGCCGCCGGGACAACTCTGGAACATCAGGCGGCGAGATGTTGCGGTTGCGCTGTAAAGCCCGGAGCGGCTCCTATCCGCTGCCCGGACTCACGGCGCACTCCCGCCTGCGCGAGCTCCAGGCCGCGATCGCTACCCTCACCGGGGTCCCCGTCAAGGCCCAGCGCCTGCTGCTCGGTTTCCCCCCGCTCGGCCTCGACCTCAGCGACGAGGAGCGGCGCCTCGGGGAGCTCGGCATCCACTCTGGTAGGCCTCTTCAGATGAGAAATTTTTGGGGGGTGTCTTAGCTTCCTCCTGAGAAGCCGGGGGTTTCCCTCGAAACTCCTCCTGGCCCTGTACGATGTGTGGTAGTATAGCCTTCTGTTGTGTAGCTGGACGAAGGGTCAGTTCACGAGTAGCCTTGGGATATGCGTCCTCGCAAAGTGGCATTCAGAGGCATCTTACACCGGAACTGGGAACACAGGGTACCGTAGGTAGGCATCGCAACCAAGTGTTACTGGTCTTATTCTGCTCCGCGAATTTGTCTGTTCCCCTTTTTAAAAGCTTCCAAGTTGGTTGCCATCACCACACTTTTCAAAGGTAAGATCCAAGGTGGTGAGCGGATCCAATTATGTCCAACACTGATTAAAAGCAGCCTGTAATAGTAACATAGGTTGGGATTTTCGTTCAGTTTTTTGGCCTGTTAGAATGGATGTATCTATCCTTCCTCCCCAACCTGGCGCCCTCTTGGGTGTTTCAAGCAGTTCCCTCCAGCCCCAGCCACACGACCAATGGTAAGAGATGATGGAGACATAGTCCAGTAACATCTGGAGGGCACCAGTCATTTCCTTTTCTGCCAGCTGGTAAGGAAGGGACAAGCCTGATTTCAGTTGGTGCAGCTGAATGAGTGTTTTCGCAAATGGTTTTAGAATGCAATCCTGTGTTCCTTGGAAGTGTGTCCCAGAGGCTATAGGATAGAATGGATCTACCCCTTTAGTGTTGGGAAAGGAGACCTGATGTCAGAGTCTCCTTTTCTGTTTCTTCCTCCTTAGGTGTCTTGGCCCAAACAATGTTGGAGCTACAACATGGTGGGGCAAAAAGGGGGTGTTCTAGGAAGCTGCAAGGATCCAAAGCTATCTATGCCCCCCACAAGTCCACATACAGTGACACCTTGGGTTAAATACTTAATTCGTTCTGGAGGTCCATTCTTAACCTGAAACTGTTCTTAACCTGAAGCACCACTTTAGCTAATGGGGCCTCCTGCTGCCGCCGCGCCACCGGAGCACGATTTCTGTTCTTGTCCTGAAGCAAAGTTCTTAACCTAAAGCACTATTTCTGGGTTAGCGGAGTCTGTAACCTGAAGTGTATGTAACCTGAGGTACCACTGTACAGGGAGGAGGAAGTTTAGACACACTCAAAAAATTGCCAAAATACGTTGCTTCCCTTTCTTTACTTTTGCTTCTGATTACAACAGGAAACGGATAGAAATGCAGGAGTGCCCTTTCTTCCCCTCTGCTGGGTTTACGTCCTATATATCTTAGAATAAAGCAGTTCAATTGTCTTCCATGTTCTCCTCTTACCTGCCCTCTTTAGTATTGGCAGCTTAAGAGGAATAGTTCTGTCCAGCAATAATATTAGGCTGTCTTCTTAACAAATTGTAGTTATCAAAAGATGAGTGGTGCAACATTTCTTTGGAGGGAAACTACACATTGCAAAATATTTCTGAAGCACAGCATGTATTCAATCACATAACAGGAAATATTGAAACAATGACACAGATGTTTTGACATCCTATAATTGTCTAAAATTGGCTGGGTGTTGGTTGTTACTACCCACTAATTAAATTTCAGATTTTTGCTGTTAGTATTAGTATTGAATATTCTCAGCCTACCCTGATGCACAAGAGGATTAGTGTAGCTTCCCCTCTATTTAAAATGGGGAATATGCTCTCTCTCTCTCTTTTTGTGTGTATAAATCTTGTTCGGGAATAGGTTGTAATTCCAAAAACACACTTAATGTGTCATAAAACTCAGTGAGCTGTAGTTCTATATGCACAATAATCCCGTTGACATCTGAAGAAAACATTCAGAAATTGTTGACTGTTAATTTTAAAGCTATTTCTAGAAACCCTACAATGAAATTTTGAGTTTTCTGATTTCTGCATTTAGCCACCAGGAAATCATGCTGGCAGTAAAATCTAAATCTTACCTACATATTCATGACCAGTTTTTATAATGCTTTACCTGAGTATCAGAGTACTTAATATATTTTCTCATTTCAGCCTACAGAATATTATTACCCTATTAGATAATGTCGGGGGGGGGCCACCTGAAAGATTAATTCATGGTCGACTGAGTAGGGAGGGACTTGTAGTTCATGCTCTTAATTGCTGCAGTAAACTATACCTTTATTTCTTTGTTCTGTTTTTCTTGACAGGTGATACACTAATAGTTGAAGAAGATGCAGCCAAGCCCAAGACTGAGTCACCCATAGTTACAAAACGGACTGTTCCTAATTCAGTCAGGGAAGCACTCCCTGTGCTTGCTCGGAAGGTTGTTCCAGCAGATAACTCATGTCTCTTTACCAGTATATACTATGTGGTAGAAGGTGGGGTTTATGACCCAGGATGTGCCCCAGAGATGAGAAATCTTATAGCTCAGATAGTAGCAAGTGATCCAGAATCCTATAGTGAGGCAGTACTAGGAAAAACTAACCAGGAATACTGTGAATGGATCAGAAGAGAAGATACATGGGGAGGTGCAATTGAGGTTTCCATTTTGTCTAAATTCTATCAATGTGAAATTTGTGTAGTGGACACTCAGACGGTTAGAATTGATCGTTTTGGGGAAGATGCTGGCTATGCCAAACGGGTTCTTTTAATTTATGATGGTATTCACTATGATCCACTTGAGCGTAAAATTCCCAACTCAGATATTCCACCCCAGACAATTTTTTCAGCATCTGATGACATTGTCCTTGCACAGGCTTTGGAGTTAGCAGATGAAGCCAGAAGAAAAAGACAGTTTACTGACGTAAACCGGTTTACATTGAGATGTATGGTGTGTCAGAAAGGATTAACAGGGCAAGTGGAAGCCAGAGAACATGCCAAGGAGACTGGGCACACCAACTTTGGAGAAGTGTGAATTTTCTGTGGGGTTGGTTATATCTACTACCTCACGGAACAAGAACAAGCCTCCAGGTTTTTAAATAAGCTGTATGTAATCAGATGAATCCATTATAAGCTTGAAAGACCTAAATTTAATTATGGCTGATGCGCACAGGTTTGCTGTGGTTAGTTTGAGAAGTTTACAAGCGTGTATGTGTGCCATTTTCCAACTGGCTTGGAGTGTTCTTTTGCATGTCTAAGAGAACTAGAGACAACTATTGATACCAACTGCTCTTGAAAGAATCTGAACAGCTGATGCAGGAATTCCTCTGTGACACAACTGATTATGCACTCACTACTGTAGCTAGCTAGGCTTGCATATAAGATTTTAGAATCACTGATGGAATAAAAATGTCAGCTTGGTTACAGAGTTTTTGATTATACAGTCTACTGAAGAGTTTAAGTTGGTTTCCATTCAAATTTGGTAAGATTACTTGTGTCTCTCAGCTTTGTTCATGCAAAATGTGTGTATTTGTTTAACTAAAGGCAGATAAGCTACACAGTTGCCTCTTCAATATAGGAATCCCAAAGTTGGTTTATTTCAAATCACTGAACAAGCATACCATGTTTGCGTAAGTGAAGCTGTCATGATAAAGGGCTTCAGCTTGGAGGTTTAGTCTTCAGCTGTCTTAGATAGTGAAAAGCTACCAATAAGACCACATTTCCTTAGTACTTAATATATTGGTGCCCATTAATTACATTTTAAACTGTTGTTGCCTGCTTGGAGGCTTACGTGCATTACGTGCATGGCACGTTCTTCAAAATTACTGAAATTCCAACATTCCAAGCAATACAAATAAAAGTTTTTTAAAACAACAGATAAATCATATACTCAAGGTGCATTGGGGGGGATATTTCATGCCCCCTCCCAAATTGCCACATGTTTATTTGCTTAATGTGGAACTTTTGGGGCCAAATTCCAAGTAAGTCTGCCTCTTTTCTGGTTTCTAAATATGGCAGTGCTGGATTTTGCTAACTGCTGAGTGTCTCCTCTTGAAACATGTCCAAGAAAGATGAACCTCAAACATGTACCTGCTTTATGATGTGAACTGAGGGGTTAGCATGTTTATATAATCTGTCAATTGGGATTGGTGCTTCTCACCAATAGTGGTAGTTCTTGATCTATATCCAGTACCACAATTTGGTGACTTGCTAATTATACATTTGTGGTTGCCATTATTAATATGACAGCAAGTGCTCCTATACTGTGATCCAACTCTTATTATATCGCATGGTTAAGTGCCACAGTCTTCTTGCTGCTGAGGCCTTTAAGTGGGTAACGTGTCACTGGTTAGTGTAAGCTATTTTGTACATGGGCTCTTGGCGTTGGGTCTTGAAACTGCTTCAGTATTTGGGTTGTACCTGGTATCTAAATAACTTTGATCACTTGAATGCTTCTGTCTTTAATTATGAATAATTAATAGTTTGGTTTACATGTACATTTTTTATTTTTAGTAGAATCCAGGTCATTAATAGATTGCAGAACACCCACATTTACCCCTGGGCTAATTTAATTTCAGTTTAAGTTAGAACATTTTTTTTAAGGCAAGGATCTTTTTAAAGGCATTTTTTTTTAGATCCAGTAGGTACACTTGTTAGGACTAAGAATCTTATTTTCCTATAATTAAAGGCCTGCATATTTATAAAAGTCCCCCAACTCATCCATAGTTAAGTGGGAAAATAAATGGTTGGAATGTGGATAGAATCAGTAGACAAGAGTGTAGCATGAGCCTTGGAGTTGCAAGGAGCCAGTGCTAGCAGCCTACTATGGGTTTACATTATGCTGGGATCAGCCATAAATGCCAATTTCAGCACAGCATAAAGTTGTCCAACATAAACAGGTTGAGGCTTATTCCATGACAGAGTCAGTGGCATCAATCCCGCCCAGAGTCTAATATTTGATTGGTATTGGAATGAGATTGCAGCTGACATGCACTACTGACGTGTTGCACTACGATGTTGACATGGCTGTTTGTGCTTTCAGCTGTCTGTGCTGTTGGTTTGGGGTGCTAGACCTTAACATTATGCTTTTACCTTTTGAAGGATTCTTTACATTCACTACATATGTTTTTTAGCCATTTTGCTATACTTCTACATTATTTCCATTTGGAAACATTGAAACGTTTGTGTTCATCCAGTTATAGGTGCTCAGAATGGTTGATGAAAACAGATTTGTTCTGGCCAGGTGATGTTAAGTTCCATTTATAGCAAAGGGAAAAGTTAGAATGAAATACTTCCATTGCTTTCAACAAAGCTTGCACTACAATTCTGTGCATGGCTACTCAGCACGAAGTCTGACTGTGTCTAGTGGTGCTTTACTCCCAGAAAAATGCATAGGATTACACCCTAGCTCATAACTAACTAGCTGGGTCAGGCTAGTGCAGATACTACATAGAATTGTCCTGTGATATTTTGACAGAAGCCTTAATTGGACAAGTCAAGTACAGTAGGGCTATGCTTCAGGAAGACACTTCCAATTTTTCCTTGGCTGAAGGAGGCAAAGGTCGTACCTCGGAACTTGAACAGAATCCATTCTGGAAGTCCGTTTGACTTCCGAAACATTCGACTTCCAAAGCGCGGCTTCTGATAGGAAGCTCCTGCAGCCAATTGGAAGCCGTGGAAGCCCTGTCGGACATTTGGCTTCCAAAAGAACGTTCGAAAACTGGAACACTCACTTCTGGTTTTCGATCGTTCGGAAGCCGGAATGTTCGACTCCCAAGGCGTTCGGGAGCCGAGGTACAACTGTAATTCCAATTAATGTGTTTTCGGCTTTGCTTGATTGTGTCTTAAGTAGTGCATATGAAGAGTGAAGCCAATGAAACAGGTGGATTTTGAATAAGTGATATTGGTACTGATGTTGACTTTCAAGTCAGACTGACTAAGAGTGCAGCACACACATACCTAGGAGTGAGTCTAATTGAACTCGTGGGTTTTACTTCTGAGTAGATATGCCTAGCATTGCACTGAGAAACTAATTTAATTTTTTAAAATAGTTCTGTTTTAAGTCTCTTCCAGTAACTTTTTACAAGCCTGTGCATATAGGTCTAAAATGTGTGGAAGAATAGAGGAAATAAATATGTGACACATTTTACACAAAATACTTGAGCTGGCCTAACACCAGGCCTAAAGCCATGTACTTTGAAGAAGTTTGCATTAAAATCAGTAGGACCTCCAATTGAATGTACTGTATTTTTTGCTCTATAAGATGCACCAGACCATAAGACGCACCTAGTTTTTGGAGGAGGAAAACAATATTCTGAATCTCAGAAAACAGTATTCTGAATCTCAGAAGCCAGAACAGCAAGAGGGATCGCTGCGCAGCGATCCCTCTTGCTGTTCTGGCTTCTGGAATAGCTGTGCAGCCTTTATTCGCTCCATAAGACGCACACACATTTCCCCTTACTTTTTAGGAGGGAAAAAGTGAGTCTTATAGAGCAAAAAATACGGTATTTGAAATAAGATACAAAAGCTGTGATCTGAAAGTACTGATTTGAGTGAAATTCACTTGAATCCCTGTGGTCCTTTAGCTCAGAGTAAATTTATATTCCTGTATTTGTTCACTTTAGGCTCATCCACACTTCTGATTGCCCTAGGAAAACCTGCTGTTTACTGCTGAATCGAACCAAACATCAGTCAGGTTTTCTGTGGATTAACGTTTGCTTCAACTTAGCACTAAAGAGCGGATTTTCTGGGGGAAAGGGGGGTCGGACAAAGGCAGAACCTCTTGAAGTGAGCCTTGACTATCTCAAATTGTTGGTAGACGTATTATTTTGTCCTCAGTTTGCCTGGTTGAGAAATTAGTAATGTTCACAACAGTGGTGTGAAGGTGACCTATTGTTTGCATGGACAAAGATTCCCTAGGTCATTAGTTTTGTATATCTTTTCCTAGTAAATGTTAATTTTGGAAGTATATCTCAAGCTACAGTTTTATGGTTTTGCTGTGGTTTTTCAGGAGGCAACGCTTGATAATGGTTAATATTGAACTAGTAGACTTTAACCCCCCTGCAGCCTATCTTTAAAAAAGTGAAAACAAGTGCAAAAGTGTTATTTTGTCTTCCTGGATTTTACCATCAGTATTATGTATGCACATTACGTTTTAATTCTTTTTGATAAAATATTTTCAGATGTAGATCAGGTTGATTTTGCTGAAACCAGGAGCAGTGTACCTTCAAAGGACCATGAAAGATTGATGCATTTGAGGAGCAAAATGTTTGAAATTATACAAACTGCCTCAAAATAGACTTTTTAAACTGAAAGCCTGTTAAATCTCGCTGGCTGTTTTAATCAACCTCGGCACAAAGATGATGGTTATCTCCCGTTTCTCTTTAACATCTGGTTATCAGAGTCATGCTGCCTCTGAACATGGAGGTGCCATTTGACTTTTGCCAAATAGCCATTGATAGACCAAGCCATTTAAGCTAGCAGCCCTTACCGTATGCTTTAGTAGTAAATTCCAGTGGTTGTCTGTTAAGGTTTTTTGTACTGAATCAATCACAAATCACCAATGGGTGACCCTGAGTGCTATTATTATGAAATGAGTGGGGGGAAATACCCTCCCAGCTTCCCCCATGCTTTGTAATCTCATAAATTGCTCATGTTTCCCTTTGCCTCTTCTAGACTAGTCCTACACACTTAAGATTTTCCTTGTAGGGATGATACCCCCATTCCTCCAAGCACCAATCAAATAGGACATAAAGCTTCCTGCAGGAAATGCTGTTCTTCTGTCAGGATGTCCCATTGCCTTCAGAACTACTTTGCACAGAAAACTCAAGTATGCTGGTAAATCCGAGGCCTAGGTCACAGCCTAGAACACATTTTTAAAAATAAAAACTGTATTTATCAAATAGTCAGTGTTCCCTGTTCCTTTGTGATGTTTTTTGATTATTATTTTTTTTAAAAAAAAAATTACACCTGCATCGTCTTTAGAAGCTACTGTCTGCGTTCCTTTTATAGATACAGAAATACAGTGGTGCCTCG